CTAGATTAATAGGAAGTACCATATAGGTTTTGATTCCCTTGCGAGTGTCAAAATATGCGGCGCGGAAGAAACGGCCATATTCTTTGATCCCGTCAACTTAGAAGTTTGATTTTTTTACAGCTCCAAGGGATTGCAAGTTTGAGTATTTTGTATTAATTTCAACTTGATACCTCCACACGGGCCTGAGAAATAGGATATTGACGGACAGACAGACAGACGAAAAACGAAATAATCTTATAAGGTTTTCCTTTTTTGTTTTTTTGAGATACGGAACATTAAAAAGCAGCTATCTGTCAACGCTAGAGCAATAAATGCCTGTCAGATACGGTTTGATGCAATTTTAAATAAAGTTTAGACATCAATTACATTCTTGCTTAAGTAATACTAAAGTGCAATTATTCTTTGATTTAATAATATAGGAGATAATTGTATATTATTTTCGTATTGAATTTATTTGTTATCAGACTGTGTCTTGTAATTGTACTATATTATTGTTTTATTAATTTACTAGCAGTTCACCCTCGCTTAGCTCGGGTTCGCCTCTAGAAAAGCACAAACTGTTTTATCCCACGGGAACCACACATTTTTCCGGGATAAAAAGTAACCTGTTGTTTGACCGACAATATAAGGTATCAGCATACCAAATAGGTGCATAACTTGTTGTGTAATAAGCTATATAAGTAACTATAGTTTTTTAACTATCTCACGGAAACTCTTTAATTTTTCGGAATAAAAAGTATTTAAAATGTTGGTCGGGGATATAAGGTACTACCATGCAAAATTTCATTTAAATCGGTCCAACAGTTCGGAGATTAGCCTGTACAAACAGACAAAGAAACAAAAAAAAATAAAAAACTCGATTTGTTCTATTTTTCTTCTTACATCCCCCTGACTCGGTTTTTAGCATTTTTTTCTATGTACAGACACCTCTACAGTTTTATTATACCTATATAGATGTATATTTTATTACTATGTTATTATGACTTTGATATTACTCATTTGTATAATGTTTTAAGCAAATTCAAATATAATAATATTATATTTATTATTAAGACGATTACGTTGACGTGACGAAAATTATATTAAATCTTAAACTTACGATTTGACTTTAGAACTAAATGAATTTATAATACTAGCACTCACATTCACATTTACAATATTATAGCTTTTGCGAATTTTGCCCAATCCCGTAATCGAGTCATCTGTTATGTCTTTAATTACTATATTTGTGCCATTGTACTGGTTTGATAAGAGCATACATATATAGGTATGAGTATTATAATATGGGTACCAAATTTATAAATGTAATTATGAGATGATAGTCCACACAGTTTCAAGGTTCCTGTAGTTAACGTTGGAAGAAAATCATAAGTTGTCGCGATCCTCATCAGTGAGGGAACGAGGGAGAAAATGCCTGCGAAAATATAATAAAAGAGTTATGTATGTTATTTACTATTTTCGCTTATGACATTACTGCTTAGGCCTGTGCGTACCTAAAGAACATTGTTATAAGCAGTATAGTATTTTTCAGACTTGCAATACTAATACCATTATAACTCACTCTGCTACAGCACCATACAAATGTGATTTATTTTTATAGCGCATTGAACTCAAGGATTATGTGGCTATCTATAAGTGAAAGAATTATACATGGAAAATGGGTCGTTAGTTACGGAGATTACCTCATATACACAGACTAATAAATTTTACCTTTTTATAATATTAGTTTCGACAGATTATATTGGGTAAAGTTCCCCTTAGACGCATGAAACAAAAGTGCATGTCCAACTTTGTATTGGTTCTGTGGCGTCCAAACAATCAAAATAAGTGATTATGTAGTGACACATCTACTTCACTCAAGTATGATCAGTGATTCTATATAATTGTATGAATCACGCTTATTTTTCAAAGATATCACTAGATATATATCTACGTCCTATGATAAAATGTGTTAAATCGACTTTTGCTCACTACACATCCGTCAATAAATTTTTACTTAAAATATGAAATTAAAATCATATGTACACTGTACAATATATAAAAATATAGAAGTTATTTTTTCTTTCCTTGAAAGAAAATACTTATACGTGTATAAAAATAGCTTTAATAGCTTTAAAAATAACTAACCTAACAAGGTTCTCTGAAGGCAAACTAATAAAAATTTTATTTTGGCACATTTCATTTGATATTCACTGAAAAGTAAACTAATAGGACAAATTTTTGATATTGTAAAGTTTAATTGTAATTATCTTTTAAAAATAAAGATGAGCATTTTATTTGTTCCGGTTCAACTTCGCCAGTCACGATTAAGTAAATGTTAAATTCCTCTGAGCACACGACTCCGAGCTGGAACATCAGTTAAGAATGATATAAATCATTACATATAACATTCAATAGTAACACTTGTGTATTAGAATTTAGTTTGTCATACTTAGGAATGTATAAAAGCCAAGAGCAGTAGAGAGTAAACGGATTTTGCCTTTTTATACTATATATACTTTTATATATTTGACGACACGTTTGGCTCAGTTTGTAGTGACCCTACTTGCCGTGCCAGCGGTCGCGGGTTCGAGTCCCGCTGGGGGCATTCATTTGTGTGATGGGCACGAATGTGTGTACTCTAGTCATGGGTGTTTATATTTATAATATGTATGTATTTAAAGAGATATATATGTAATGTATCAACTATCTGGTATCCATAACACAAGCCTCGTAGCTTACCATGGAACTAGATGGCGCTGTGTGTTAGTGTCCCAACATATTTATTTATTTATTATTATTTATTTATTATGAGACAACTGAAACAGCCATTTTAACTAAAAAAGAGTTTACTGAAGGACGTATAATTAAAATTTGAAGTAAATTTCTAATGAATAATTGAAATCTATAATTATGAGCATAATACACATGGCTTGAGTCTATCCATCTAAATAGAAATATTAAAATCAATTCACAATAAGCGAAGATTCTGAATACATGAAATTAATTAAACACCTAATTTAAAAATATCCTCTTTATTAGAATCAAAAAATATAGGCGAGTTGTGCTTGAAATAAATTGCGATATATAGTAAATCCACACCCATGAGAACGCAAATAGAAGTAAAAGTTATATGACGAATATAATTACAATTAAATATAAATAACCAATCTTTAAAAAAGATCCTAAATAGTATCTAAAATAAACAGTAGAACATCACTAGCGTTAGTAATCAGACTCAGACGTCATTTCATCATCTACTTAGTCATTTCATAATCATAATAATCATCATAATTTATGCAAACATTAAAAATATCAATTTCTTATAACACGATTTAAAAATGTTTACTGTATCTATTATTACTGACTGCTAACTAGCGACTCACGCTCGCTTCGCTTGGGTTCGTCCCTACATTTTTTTTGAGCGGAACCCTAATTCTTTAACTGAAATAAAAGTAGCCTAATTTACTCCTTATAACATCAACTAGTGAAAGTCCCGTCAAAATCGGCCCAGCTGTTTCGGAGATTAACCGGATCAAAGAGACAGACAGACAAAAATTTTTAAAATTGTGTTTTTCTTATAAATACCGTGTATAATTCCATATGCATTTAGTAAAAAAAGCTGTTATTTTGACATTACAAACAGACACTTGAATATAAAATAAATAATTATCTACAGTATGGGACTTCAACTCGGCCGAATTAAAAAACTGGCTTGTAAGCCTATAATGTTTGTAAAGCAATTTTACAAAAACAAAATCAAATGATTTTTTTTGTGTAGGCGCTTTGGTCTTTAGACCTCACAATCTAGTCATATAATTCATTTCTCTCTTTAGTATTTCATTCCATTCTTTATTATATCGTTATTTTCTTCTCTTATTATCATTTTGTTCAACCCTTTCTAATGTCCCACAGCTGGGCTCAGCCTTTAAAACGATTACTTAGTCCATTGTACATACACCACGCTCGCCAAGTGCGCTTATTTAAAATTATATCTGCTAATCGAAGACAAATTCAGATTTATAATTTTGACCATTTTTGTGCTATTTTTAAGTACTAAGAAGAAAATTTTTCCTCGCCATTGTAAATTTGCTATTAGATTTATAATTTACATTTATAGTTATATTGTTAAATAACATAAAAATGCTATTCTAATATGGATGAAAGTTGTATTTAAAAGCTCAATATTTTCGAAGTCAGATATTGAAAATTTATACTGAAAAATTGTTTTATTTTTAAAGTTAGAAATGTAAAAATTGATTGTAAACCTTTCGTTTGTATGGCAAACAGAAATCCCATGAAAACTGCTGTCAAATTAAAGATGTATATAATATTAAAAGGATTCCGCATACAAATAGGCAAAGACAAAACAGTTCGGTACGTTTTTTCTCTGTTTGTCAACCAATTTTTTTTTGTTTAGTAGCTACTGCCTTTTAAGGAGCATTCAATAAAAAAAATTGGCAATACTTAGTTTTTTTTATGTAGATCGGTAAATATTATATGTTTTTCTCAAATTGTCAATAATGATTATGGTCGGACACTGAGCAACACTAGTTTCTGTAAAAGTGTCGAAAGCTCTAATTAATAACTAGCCTACGCTACTATTAATTAAAATACAATAACAATTTTGTTTTTTTTTTGCTATAAAATATTATTATGTAGATAAATTAATTTTTAGGTCATAATTTAACATTTTTATACAAGACAATAATAACAAAATATATAAAATTACCTTTGAAATGATTCCATTTGAAATGAATCTATTTTTAGCTTGTTAAAAATTTTGATTTACAAAACCCACACCACTTAATAAAGATAAAATAAAAGTGCTCCCAAAAATGTATTATTACCATTAAAAAAATCTAAAAAATATGTTATACTAAAATAAAAATAAGAACATAAATCTAATTACTTTTAAATTTATTTATTCAACTGGATATCTTATTTAAAAAATATTTCATTATTTTTCTTATACTAAGTACTTCGCAGAAGTTAAATCATATTTTTGTATAAAAATTTCAACGTTTATAAAAATGATTTGAAGGTCCATCAATTTCGTAGCCGTCATAGTCTGGAAACTGACCACCAAACTTCGGATATACTGCAACACAGATATATTTATGTTGAATTAAAAATTTTGGAAGTTTTATAAATAATCTTATTAAGTACATAAAAAAAGTTTTCCACGAGGCGAAAAATTATCGACGCCATTCTTTCAAAAAATAAATGTCTAAAAAAGCATAAATTATCTATTTTTAAATATATAAAAAATATTTTTCTTTTGCTTCGTTAGCCTTCATCATATCTATGTATCATTTATTAAAAGTTCTAAGAGTAAAATTTTGTCAGAATTAGTAGAATTTCAATGTTAAAAAACAATTTTTTTTTAAATATAGCTTTTCCAATTTTTTTCATAATTGTACTAATTCAATATACGAGTATGTAATCCAAAATAGAAGGAACACGTATATTATTTTTATTTTCGTAAGAATAAAATGTATACAGGTTTGTAAATCAAACTATTTTATCGTTTGTTTTCATCTTGTAAGATAATTGATAGTAGATTGATATTTCTCTAACCTACCTTAATAATACTTAGCTGAAAAAAATGTATTCTTGACTCACGAGTCACAACTTACCTACGAGTCACAGATTACCTACGAGTCTCAATCAGATTTAAAAATATCGTTTTGCAGACTATTTATTGGGAAAGTTTGTAAGCTGTGTAAAATTGTACTATGATCTTTAGGAATGACTAAAAGTTTATGTGAAATATTTGGACCTTTCTCTTTTTACGAGATGATTTAAGATGCGTGTTAACAGGCTTCTCCTGGGCACCCCCCCCAACGTGCGTTCACCTTGTCGTGGTGGGGGGGCTCAGTAGTAGTAGCGAAGCTAAGAAACGCACAGGGAGGTTGACCACTTAGGTGGGCGGTGGGAGGTGGCCCTCTTCGGGGGCGGTGTACCTTGCGGGTTGCTCCTGGTACTTCTCTGATAGCAGAGTGGACCTTGGAGCAACCCCATGGTTGTGGTGGTCTGCTTTGGCAGACCTGCCGTCGGGGCGTCGTAGTTGAATGCGTAAGCGATCCTGCGACGCCCCATTAGACGGGAGAAGGTTTTGTTGGGTTTTAGTGGGTAGTACTGGCTGTATTGCGCCGGTGTGTCCCACACGTCGTGCGTAAATGCATTTCCCAACGTTAAAAAAAAAGGCTTCTCCTGGGCAAACTCGCTAGATCCTAGACCTTCTATGGCTTCGAGCTAAAATGAAGGTCAAGTGTAAGCCCATTTCTAAAACAAAAACGTAAAGCAAAATCTTCTTCTTATTCTCCTTGCTCTTATCCCACGTGGGGTCGACACGTGTTTCCTGCTTCCACTTTCCTCTATCAGCTGTCATCTCAACACACACAACTTTTCACACATGCATCCTTTTTCACACAGTCAAGTACACAGCCAAAAAAACTATAATCTACTCTAATATAATAAAGAGGAAATATTTGTTTTTTTTGTTTGTGTGTTTGTATCGAATAGGCTCCGAAACTACTGAATCGATTGAAATGAAATTTAATAAGAAAATAGTTTGAGACCCTGGTAAGGACAAAGGATAGTTTTTTATCCCGGAATTGACTTGAGGGGGTAAAAATGGGGGTGAAAGTTTGTATGGGAAGCAAGCAAGGGTGAGTCGCTTGTACATAAAATTTTGATGGTGAATATTCTACAAGGTAAAGTTGGTCTACGCAAAAGTATTATAGACCAATGCTTAACAAGTAGAAGAAAACAATAGGGCTATGGATCGTTATACACGCTATTATATCTTATCTTGCTTGTGCCTATTTTTTCCTTCTGTTGTACTTGAAACTTCTAAGTATTTATTTGTAAAACAGAAGCTTTTGTTAGATTTGCGAATAAATTAATATCTAAATGGTTACAATAAAAGAAATACATAAAGTTATTGAAATGAAGAAACTGAACATTTTTGATACACGTTGGGCTAATAATGTTTTGTAGCCTTAGTTACTTTTTACGTTAAAAGGACTCTTTTATATATGTATATGCTGATTAACATATATATATATATATATGTGTGTGTGTGTGTGTGTGTGTGTGTGTGTGTGTGTGTGTGTGTGTGTGTGTGTGTGTGGGCTGATTTTGATGATTCATACGTTTGATTCGTTTTGATAACGCGATTGTCATAGGCTATTAAATAATAGTTACAAATTAAAATGGCGGATTTCAAGCGCCAATTTGTGTGACTTTAAAAAAATGTCTCCCAAACCAATGCAGTTGGGTATTAAAATAAAGATTTTTAAGAGGCGATCACAAAAATATTAACAACTGATATGTTAAAAAGTAATGTAGAATAATACTTTAAATGTCTAATTAGCAAAAACTAAACAGCCATTAAATAAAAATATATAATATAAAAACTAAAAAAAACCTGAATGCATAAAAGATAACTAAAAAGATGAAAACAAGTTTAAAAAGGAAAAAGAGGAAAGGAATTGTAAACGACGGTATATATATAAACACTCAATAGTTATTACACATTATTTATTTCCAACTTTCTCATTTACACCACATATTATAATCACTATTCACTTGTTATATATTTCATAAATCTATCTAATAATTCACTTAATCACTACACTTCACTGATTATATTACACTGACACTTATACACCATAACTTCACTTGCACAGGAATGAATCGTTCTTAGCGAGAGAAGCCGTATTTAAAGGTAACGTAATCAAAGTGGGGGATGACAGCTTTGTTTCCATGGCGCTGTCATCTATGACGTTTAACTTTGTTCGGAAATAGATGGCACCTATAACTTGAGGTTGCCAACACGGCCATGCTGCATGGTGTCTGTCCCAGGCACCCCACGAGTCTGAATCTAAACACTGAAAATATTTAAGTACATATATTATTATTTATTTGTAGTAAAGAGAATGACAATGATGACAATGATCATTCGAGATCAGCTATATTGCTGAATACCAATGGAATGTTCTAAAAACCACCTGCACTTAGAGAAACTTTGTAAGTGTACCAGGCTCGTCTTTACACAAACAAAGGTTAATAAATAATAATTAGTGTTAGCATATGGCTTTAGTGCAACAGAAAAAGGATGATTTCGCAAGACTAACTACCTGCACCTAAAGGAACACTGTCACACTTAGCGAACCAGCTAGTCTTTCATTCAAAACCGCTTGTACTTAAAGGATCACTGTCACACTTAAGCTTTCCAAGCTAAGTTTTGAATCCTATGACTGTTACACTAAGCACGGTATAAGCTATAAAATATTTTTAAAGTTTAGATTTGGACTCGCTGAACATAGATAATAAGGAAAAGATAGTATGATACCACGTACCTTGCCAACACGAAGTACAAATTTATAAACAAAATTAATATTTTATTCAGTGTCCCAATCGTCTATGCAAATCCAAGCCTTCATATTTTCAGCGGCTACTACACCCGTATAAGGCTTTTGACTCCTCTCGCTACCTCTTAAATCCACTACTTCATATCTATCGTGACCTAATACTTTTTTTACTTTAAATGGTCCCTTGTAAATTGGCAATAGTTTTTCTGCTTTGACCCTCATTACTTTGACTTGGTATTTTAATCAAAACTAAACTACCTTCTTTATATATTTTTGCTTTCGTTCTTGGTTTATCAAATCTATCTTTATTATATTGTGCACTGCTTTTAATATTCTCCTCAACAGTTTTACGTAATGCTGTTATATCTGTTATATTTTCGTTGTCTAAATTAGGAGCTAAACCGTCACTGTCTGTACGTAACCTGTATCCTAACAATACTTCTGATGGCACAGCTTTTATTGACTTATGTATAGTACTGTTTAAACCCTGCTGTAATACTTTAACATATTGATCCCAATTGTCATCTGTTGTATTCGCACCTATCGTTCTCATGGCTTCTAGGATAGTTTTATTAAATCTTTCTACCTGTCCATTTGAGCGAGGCATTCCGGTAGCCACTGTATGTAAATGTATGTTTTTAGTATTGCAATATTTTTTAAAATTGTTCGAAGTAAAGCATGTGCCTGCATCAGAAATAATTCTTTTGGGGTTTCCAAATATTTTTGAAATATTGTCTAATTCCTTAATTACATTACTTGTTTCTGTTGACGGTACCGGTGAAATAAAAATGAACTTAGTAAATGCATCAACAATAACGAGAAGATATCGATTTTTATGTTTTGTTAATACAAATGGACCTATGTGGTCAATATGAATTGTATGAAACGGTTGCGCATATTTAGGCAGAGGATATAATTGTCCTTCTTTTGGACCACCTTTATTTTTAAAATATATACAATTTATGCAATTTTTAATGTATTTTTTAACAACATGACGCATTCGGGGGAACCAATAACGATTTCTTATCCTTTCAAGAGTTTTATCGAGGGCAAAATGGCCTATATCATCGTGATTACATTTTATAATCTGCCAAATACATTTTTTTGGTACAACCCAACGGCGACCACAACATGTTCTTTTATAAACCTTATTTCCCAACAGTTCATATTCGTTAAATATAGTTTTGTTATTGTCGGCCTCTCCTGATTCTAATATATTTTTAATCTTAGTAATCTCGGGGTCTTGTAACTGTACAGACAATAACCAATCTGCTTCAGTTATTGACAGCAATATCTCAGCTTCTGATTTTTCACCGGCATGAACCGGATTTCTACTGAGGGCATCCACATGTTGCATTCGTGTGCCCTCTTTATGTATTATTTCAAAAGAATATTCTTGAGTTGATAGTACCCAACGAGCAATACGAGGAATTATTTCCTTTTTAGTTAAGGCAAATTTAACAGAATTACAATCCGTAACGATTTTAAACGTTGTGCCTAGTAAATATAATCTAAACTTCTGTAATGAGCACACTATAGCTAGCAATTCCAATTCAAATGAATGGTATTTCTTTTCATCTTCGGAGGTTTGTCTACTATAATAGTGAACTGGTTTTTCGCCTCCGTCTGTTACTTGCATTAAAATACTGGCAATGCCATCTCTACTTGCATCTGTATATAAAATAATTTGTTTACTTGGGTCAAAAATCGTTAGTATACTCTGAGAAGTAAGCTTACTTTTTAATAATTCGAAGGCCTCCTGATGAGGTTTCCCCCATGACCACGCTATGTCTTTCTTTAGTAATCTAGTTAGGGGAATTGAAATTAACGCACAATTCTTTATAAATTTGCGAAAATAACTGATAAGGCCAAGAAATTGTCGAACTTGATGGACTGTTTTAGGAACAGGAAAATTTTGTACAGCTTCTATTTTTGATTCATTTGGCATGACACAATTAGGTCTTATTTTATATCCAAGGAATTCGATTTCCGTTTTAAAGAAATGACATTTCTTTAAGTTCAATGTTAGACCATTTTCACGAAATATCTTTAAAATTTGTTCTAATAACAATAAATTTTCTTCTACTGTTTCACTTATTACGTAAACATCATCCAGATAAACGATTACTTTACCAAAACGTAAATTTCCCAGAACTTTATTCATCATTTGTTGAAAACACGATGGTGCATTTACCAAACCAAATGGGAGCCTTAAAAACTCATAATGACCATCCTCTGTAATAAATGCAGTTTTTTCTACAGAGTCTTTGTGCATACTTATTTGGTAATATCCACTTTTCAAGTCTAAGCTAGTAAAATATTTATAGCCTTGAAGTCTGTCTATTAAGTCTTCAATACGTGGCATAGGGTATTTATCTTTAACAGTTATTTTATTTAATAAACGATAGTCAATACAAAGCCTTTTCTCTCCATTCTTTTTGTCTACAAGTAAAGCTGGGCTGGCATAAGGTGATTTGCTATCGCGAATTATGCCATATGATTGTAGTTCCGCTACTATATCACGTATTATTTTTCTATTAGCGTTGGGTGACCTGAAGGGCCTGCATTGTATTGGTTGTGTATTAATTAAATTAATCACCATCTCATGATTGATTACTCTTCCTAATTCTTTTATATTAGCTGCTATACAATCTCTATATGTCGTAAATAATTCTACTAATTGTTTGTAATGGGGGGCATCTGCCTTTAATTGAAGTTCATTTAGATTAAGACAAAATTCAGCATAATCAAATCTTAATTCGTTACCAATTCGTGAATACATCAAGTCTTTCCGTTCGGTAATATTTCTACCGATAAGAATATCGCAACCAACAATCTTATCAATAATATATAAGTCTACGTCAAATAATTGAACAGAATCAATTTTCATGTTAACTTTGACTTTAAATTTAACTGATTTAGAGCCTTCTTCAGAAAATCCTTGTAGCAAAACTGGTGTAGGTAACGGAATTTTCTCTAATGAATGTTTTATTATTAAAAATTCTGAGATTAAAGAACAACTACTTCCAGTGTCAATGAATGCTTCATGGGTAAAATTGTTTATAAATACGTGTTTAATGAATTTATCCCGTGAATTTAATGTCGAAATGAATTTAGTTTCCTGTTTTTCGGGTTTTTACGGCATTTTTCTTAAAACACACAGTTTCTAAATGTCCTCTTTTACCACAGAAATCGCATTTATTCGCATCGCATTGATGACGTTTATGATTTCCCCCACAAATATAACATTTGGTGGGTTTTCGAATAAAATTAGTTTGTGTATTATTTAGCTGATCCGGTCTCTTAGAATCCGTAGACGGAGATGGTTTTTTCAATAATCTGTTCCTTGTTATTATTAACTCGAGATGAACTATCATAACTGCTATTCTGCTTAGAAATCTTTTTATAAATGCGACTATGTAAGAAACTGGCCAGGCTATCGCAAGTACTAAAATTACTAGCCTCTATGGTGGCTCCAATATTACTATCTGCAATATTACCTACGATTATCGAAATTATATCTTTTTCTGAAAAGTTCAAATGCAGTTTATCTATCTTACATTTTTGTTCAAAATAAAATTCATATAAAGATTGATTCTCAAGTGGTTTCTTATTAATTAACTCTTTTAACAGTTCAAACATATTCCTATTTATTTGAAAACTAGAGGCTAATTTCAATTTCCATTGATTCCATTTCCATGATGGCCATTCTCTAACCGTGCGTACTAAGGAGTCGTACCATAGTTTAGCCGAGCCATTTAATTTATTTAAAGCCTGGTAACGGATCATCTCATCGGACCAAGCAAATGTTACAGCATATGTTTCGATAATACTAAGCCATGCATTAATGTCATCTTTTAACGGGTCGAACTCCGGGATAATGTTGTTCAAAGTAATGGCATTAGTAGTACTCACAGTTCTGGCATCAGCTTTACGTGGTACCTTTTTTGCCCGTGGCGGTGGCGGCGTAGCAGCACTAGAACTGCTAGAAGAGGATCGTGAGCGAACCCTCTTACGGCGTGATTTTCGTCCTCCCATAGTTCACTTCCCTCTTCTGATGTAAACGACGGTATATATATAAACACTCAATAGTTATTACACATTATTTATTTCCAACTTTCTCATTTACACCACATATTATAATCACTATTCACTTGTTATATATTTCATAAATCTATCTAATAATTCACTTAATCACTACACTTCACTGATTATATTACACTGACACTTATACACCATAACTTCACTTGCACAGGAATGAATCGTTCTTAGCGAGAGAAGCCGTATTTAAAGGTAACGTAATCAAAGTGGGGGATGACAGCTTTGTTTCCATGGCGCTGTCATCTATGACGTTTAACTTTGTTCGGAAATAGATGGCACCTATAACTTGAGGTTGCCAACAGAATTTATATTTTCATATTATATATAGTATATTTTCATTTTAAGATTTTATGCTAAAATGTAATCTGATATTAATAACTTTGTAATTCTTGTGGTATATTAAACAAAAATCTAACGTATTCTCATAGTTGTGCGTAATAATACATATATATTTAACTAGTACCTATATATACTTACAGAAAGGTGAAGGCGAAGCGTATATTTGCTGTGGTACAATTTGTTTTTGTATAATTTGCTGCGGTATTTGTACAGGCACTGGCACAGGTTTTGCCACGTACTGTACGATAGGTTTTATTGGTTGATACGCTTGAGGGTGTACACTAGGTCCAATTTTGGAAACCACTGCATTGAATCCATGAATTGGATCAGCTGTGTAATCAACTGTTCGTATGGAACCATCGGGCTCTACTAGAGAATATTGTCCTGAAATTAAAAATAAAGCCATTAAAGACTATATCACTAGTAAACTATATATTTTTACTGATCTTTAAAAATAACTATTGCAACTCTATAATAATAATAATATGTAAATAAATTCCATACAAAAACAGGATATAAATTGGAAAAGTTTCATATTTTTATACACGCTCGCTTGGGAATCCGAGTGAAGCGAGTTCAAATCCCAGATCTCGTACCTCTGATATTTTCATTTGCGAACCATTTCAAACATGATTACCACTTGTTTTACGGTGAAGGAAAACATTGCAAGGAAACCTGCATGTCTGGGGGAACCTAATCTAGAAAGTTTCAAAAGACGAGTGAAATCCGCCAACCCGCACTTGGCCAGCGTGGTGAACTATGGCCTTTTTGTATTCAGCAGTGAGACGTTAAAAAGGACTGAATGAATGAATGGGAATAGAACCCAAGACCTCATGTAGTATAAACCACGTTTCTAATAAATGAAACGATCAATTACTCTACCAAAGCTATAATAAGTACACAATAACGTAGTTAAATCTTAACCAATTATTTTATCAATTCATACGCCACATTTTCTACCACATAAACAATGGTGCTATTATGGAAAATGACGTTGTAACAAATTTTCCCAATCTCATGTTTGAATCATTAGAGGTTTCTACTAACCAATCGCTAATGACGGCATATTTTCAAACAATGCTCCTTGTTTAGTAATTGAAGTTAGAACTCACGGATTAAAATTGTTGAAAAGTATTGTTTAGGAGATTGTCTAATATTTATTATACAAGTTCTTTTCATTTTAAGCCTTTGTTTTGAAGCAATATCGTACTTAAATAAATAAATTTAATAAATAAATATGTTGGGACCTTAAGACCCAGCGCCATCTAGTTCCATGGTAAGCGACGAGGCTTGTGTTATGGATACCAGATAGTAGATACACTACACATATATTACTTTAAATACATACATATTATAAATATAAAACACCCATGACTGGAGTACAAACATTCATGCTCATCACACAAATTAATGCCCCCAGCGGGACTCGAACCCGCGACTGCTGGCACGGCAAGTAGGGTCACTACAAACTGAGCCAAACACGTCGTCGAGCCAAACATGTCGTCTAATGAATGAAATTAAAAAAAGATTATTTGTTATTGAAATATATATATAATATAACCTTAATCCTGTTGATGTGAATATTTATATCACTTGCTTTTTGTAATTATTGAGTAAGATAATTTTGTGTTATTTTAATTGTACTTTTTTATATAATAATAAGTAATAAATGGGGAAACCTATATTAATGAGAATAGACCAATTACTGTAGTTTGCTAATAATAAGAATAAACCATTATATAATGATTTCTAACACATAATTTACCTTTAACTACCTCGCCGTCTCTAGTTTCGTGTTGTGACTTAATGTCGCCAGTCGAATGATCCGCCACGCCATAGTTGAATGCGTATTGAGGGCGATCCTAAACATAATTTACAATACCATACAATATCGATATTTTTCTATTATACAATTATTAGCCACTTTAAAAATATATAATAGTTACATTATTAGAGTAAATTAAGAAGTAGTAAAATATGTAAACCTATAATTAAATATTGAAAAAGTATAAAAATAATCATTTTCTTCTCCTTAAGTAGGTACTAGATAAGTATTTATAAATATAATTCTATACCAACAGAAAATTAAAAAAATGATAAAATAAAGCTAATTAAAATATTTAAATGATTTCTTACGTTATAATATTCATACCCTGGCTCAAATACTGGATTGAACACAGGGTTTAGCTTCGGTTTTGCTTGAACACATCCGATCGCAACTACTACCAACACATAATATATACACATTATAAACTTTGTAGGATATACGACTGCTTCACATCGAACTTACTCCCTGAATACCACAATAGAGGGTTCACAGGCTTTTATAAATGGCCTTAGTATCGTCAGCCTTGGTACTCTAAAAAGATATTTCCTTAGATCCCTGCAGCTAAATGAGAAAAGTTTCGCACGCTACAATGACGTCTCATGTAAATTAGATTGCAACACTTTGCTACGTACAGGTGGACGTTTTGTATTGTAATAACTTCATAAGGCCCATATACATATTCTTAGTAGTAAAATACCTCGAATTAAAAATATACGAAGGCTCGTATAAAACACTTTGAAAGTTTGAAAATCTTATACATTTTTTTATGTATTTGTTATTATTAAAATGTATATTATTATAGAATTAATTAATTTTTAGATTTTTAGATTTGTTACTGTTTAGATATTATACTATAAATATAAAAACGAATTTCTTATGTAAAGGGCAAATGGCCGACAAGCGGTCACTAAAGCCACATTTTCTATAGCACATTGCACATAAGTGTTTATATACTCTATACAAATATCATCTGTGTATGGAAATCGAACCCACAGCCGTGATAGAATTTTTCTTAACTATAACACGAATAGTTTAATTTACTCTCACTATTAGATTTTATTTTATCTATTTTAACTTATTTAGCTATAACAAAAGTAACTTAAGAATTCACTCTTTTATAAAATTGATAAAAATTTTGTCAACTAACCATATGAGTGTACCATGTTAATAGGGAATATGCGTGTAATTTAAATGAAGGTAAAATATTTTTTATTTTTTTTTATTTTTATTGCTTTTGAATAAAGCCTACATCAATATTTTTATTGTAATTTCTTTTTGATTAAGAAAATAATTATTGAAAGTGTAAATATAAAATTAAGGTGGTAAATTCAAAATAGTTAAAACGCAAGGCCAGACATTGGTCAGACCGAATATGACGTCAGAGTAGAGAATAGAGAGAGAGAGAGAGCGATTAGCGATTTTGTCGCTACAAATTGAGTCGTCATTTATCCTGTGACGTCACGGCAAGCGCGCGAAAAGGCGGCCGTTTAAAGTTTCCGTATCGGTAAAATATCATATATTTTGAATATTTTTTTACTAAATTTTAGTTTTTTAGCTTTAATTAATAAGAAACCATGCATATGTTTATAAAATTTTTTTATTTTTACTGACGTAAGAAAATTTTGTTATTATTTGTCTTTAAAAAAGTATTTGTTTTAGCAAAACAACATGTACAATGTATTTATCTACTACGAAACTCTTACGTACAAATTAGTTGAAACCTTAATTCGGAGGTAATCACTAATCAACCATTACCATTGTAGTAATTGAAGTGTAAGTTTCATCAGAGTAAATACTACCCAGTGTTCTAATTTACGTGTGAACTGAAACTATCTCGTGATTGCTCAGTGATCTTGCCTAATATATGCCTATACTATATATTGATCTGTTACAATATATAATGATATGCCAAAAATTCCACAGAACCGTACCTATACTTTTTTCCCCTCTGTTACAATATGTATTAAGTGCCATCTCTACTTTTTCCCCATTATTTGATTAGGGCCTTCTGCGGTTACCATGAGACACCTACCCAATTTTAGTCCCTGAGTAAAATGGCTGTAACATATAAACAGACAGACAGACTAAACGACATCTCTATACCTTAAGGTTAAACCTTAAAACAGCTGGTCCCAATCTATACTAAAGGAAAAATCTAATCTAGTTCGTTCGGTAAGATACACTTACATATTATGTATGTAGGGATATATCGATTTAATACTGGACTTTGTTGCACAAATAACACTAACAATTAAAAATACATATGCCCGATTTCACCAAAAACCCATAAGCCACCACCTACGTATGGGATCCCTAGCTTAAAAGTTCCCCTAAACTAGCCCCTAAATTAAATTTCGTTTACCATCGTCAGAGCCCGTATTTCTAGTACCTATATTTGGGTGGCATTTTAATAATTTATTTTAATTGTTAGGTGACCCCTAACTGTCGGTGAAACAGAAAATGTCCCCTAACAGCCCCCTAACCATGCTTAGGGGATCCCTTAAACTTAGGTGACGTTGGAGAAATCAGCCAATAATCTCATCATACTTTAATTTCAATTTAATTAAATAATTCTAAAATCGTTGCCTTTAAAAAATACTCAACGTTTTTACGATTACATTTTGAAATACGTAACTTAATATCTTATTAAGCTACAATAACTAACCTAAAATATCTCAAATATAACATAGTAAAGGTGTATATCAATAGTTAAATGTCATACAAATTCGTTTATACATTTATGATCAATAATTGTGTATCGTGTGAAGAACCTTGCATACAATATATTCTTTGTATGTTAATACCAAGAAGTTATGGGAGAAGGACAAATTTTGTAACTCCGTAATGCAAGATTTGATTTCTATTTTTATTTATCGTACAAAGCTTTTTATAGAGATAGGTAATATTTGCACGACTATTATAGATCAAAAAGTTATATATTGTAAATCAAATATATATATATATATATATATATATATATATATAATATTTCTTCAGTATGTATCTACTTAGCATATCTTAAAGGTTAGTCAGATATGGTGAAGTTATTTTTAAGAAAGCATTTATTTATGACTAGCCTAAAGCCTTTATTAATAAGATCAAAATATTTTCCGTATTTAAATACCTATACGGTGCAATTTTCAAGTTGATGCGTGCATCGACATCGACGACGGGTTATTTTATTTTATAACAAAATTTCAAGGCAGTGAATACAGAATTTTGAGTTATTTGCGGCTTGGCGCAAAGTATTTTTATTTAGGTATGTACATTTATTTGAAAAAAAACTTTGATAAATTATAATTATAATATGAATATATATTTTATTTTATTAGGTATATAATTCTTCTACGATCACTCGTCCTTCTAGCAATAAAATAATATCTCAAGCCCAATGAATCATTGAAAATGAATTGTGAATAATATTTTCAATCAAGTAAACAGTTTTGATTAATACTACTTTATTGTTATTTTGCTTCTCTATACTTGATCTTCTCTTCATTCATCTTGTCTTGTAACGTCCATTACATTACAACCACCTTATGAATTATGAATTATATACTTTTAGAAAGCACAAGGTTTTAATAAAGCACAAATATGATATGCTTTGTATATTAAATATAAAAAAAATATAATCATCTAATTATTTACAAGAACAACACAAACGTCAATTTAAAATAAAGTATATGCCTAATTCAATAGCCTAGATTTAAAAAAAAATGAGCAAATAAAACACCTATTTAAGTTAAACTTTTATGTAAACTTATAAAAATATGTCTAACTTAATATACAACAATATTATATAACACATAACATTATATTACAATTCTAAACAACATTCAGGTACAATGTAATAAATAATTTGACAAAAGGAGATCGAAGGGAAATTTTGATCTCTAAATTTTTTTTCTATAACCTATAAATCTTTAAAATTAAAGATATACTATAGCCTAAGGACACGTTAGAGATGAGCGGCCTCATGAGAAGATATGGGAGCGGTCCTGTGGACGACGGCGTTGAATCCATTATGCTTATCCGCTGTATAGTCCACTGTACGGATTGAGCCGTCCGGTTCTACTACCGTGTACTGGCCTGTAAAGAAAAATATTTGTTATAATGCAATCACTTTATCTAATATATTTAAACGAGCAATTCTTGTATATATATATATATATATATATATATATATATATATATGTATATATATGTATATATGTATATATATACATATATAATACAAAGTTATAATTTATTTTTGTTTTTTTTTTTTAAAGAAAATTGTACTTTTGACCAAAAACTCCAAGCAAAGCTCGGTGGCCCGGTACTCTTAATAAAATGACAAAAGTATCAGTAATAGCCTGGTTTTGGAAAGCTAGCAGTGCTCTTTGATCTCAGAGAGCACGTAAAACCGTCGGTCCTGCGACTAATCTTTCAACGGTAGTATCTAATTCTCATCTCATCGGACATTGAGTAAAAGGAATAAAAAGGGCGAGGTAATATCTCAGTGAGGAAGACATTAACTGGTTTGAATTTTATCATTAGTAAAATACATACCTACAAAAATTCTAACATTGAACTGGTTTCTACTTTCATAAATTCTTACTCTACGTAAAACCTCTATCCTAATCAAGTTATACTAATATAAATCTGTGGAGTGGATTATACTTTATTATACTAATATAAATCTGTGCATTAAGGATTATTATCAAAACGTATTGTTAAAAAAATATTTAACAAAATTCATAATTAAATAAGAACGAAAGCAACATAATTTTTAATTGCTCGTTACGTCAACACAATAACTATTTAATGAACATCGATTATGTAAAGTTTGTAGTGTTTCCTTTACGGAAGAACAACTGATAAACTATCATCTTATTGTATATTGGCTTGACTTATTAAATGACTTATTTTGTATGTTGTAATCACTAAATATTATAAACTAGCGACTCAACCTCACTTCGCTCGGGTACTTTACTGGGTGATTCTTTAAAACTTAACTTTTTTATTTATAAAACGATCGAAATAAAATATTAAATGCTAAGTGATGCTTAAGTGAAAATAGCACCCAAATCGATTAAGCCGTTTCTGAAAAGAACGCGCACAAACGCACAGACAAACAGACTAAAAGTCAAAAATTCATTGTTTTGGGTTCTAATGCGTTAATAAAGACCCCCAAAAATAGTTTTTCTCAAATGTCTTACATATACAGACAGCAATCGGTTACACTTTTATTATATGTATAGATCAAAGTCGTCGAGTTGTGTTGATTTGGGATATTCTCAGAAAGATACGGATCTTCATGCGTCTTTTACGAATAGAAAGACAAATTATCTAGGAAGTTTCTAGACTATAATCTATTAAACTTTTGTGAAAATAAGCCACCAGCACGCTGATATTTGTGAATTAATCGAAGAATATCGTCCTCTTGAGAGCTTATGTAATATTGTATATACGAAAGGCATCGACACGTTTGACTCAGTTTGTAGTGATCCTACTTGCTGTGCCAGTGGTCGCGTGTTCGAATTCCGCTAAGGACATTCATTTGTGTGATGAGCACGAATGTTTGTACTCATGAGATAGGTGTTTATTTTTATAATATGTATGTGTTTAAAATGTGTACTGTATCAACTATCTGGTATCCATAACACAAGCCTCGTAGCTTACCATGCAACTAGATGGTGCTGTGTGTTAATGTCTCAACATATTATTATTATTTTTATATTTAGAAACGCACTCTGGAAAACGAAACTTCCTCTACCACACACTCTCATATAAAACAGACTTGTAACGTGACTATGCGCTTGTATAAAATGTAATTTTTAAAAACTTACAGGCAGTCACTAGTATGTGTAGTTATTATGTGTTATATTAATAAAAAAATTACTAAATACCTTTTACGACATCTCCGTCTCGGCTCTCATGATGGGTTTTAATATCTCCAGTGTGAAAGTCATTGACACCATATTTGAATACGTATTTGGGGTACGCCTGAAACATGGGAAATTCATTTTATATAAGACTCATCATTGTATTTTAATGGGTATATATTTATTCATATGTGGTTGATAGCCTTTTTCAATTAAAAATTCTATATAATACAAAAAAGATGAATGAGAATGGTTAAATCGTAGAAATTACGTCGTTAAATAACCAAAAACCCAAACATTCTCTTCTGCATTATAACAATATTATTTATAGTTTATAAAAAGAAATACATCACGAACTACTAGGCTATATTTTAACCTATACATATAATAAAATTGTAACTAAACCGAATCTGTACATTAAATATTTTTTGGAAAATCTTATATTGAAATGAACATTATTATTGATACAGAGGCCGAATCTAAAGTTTTTAGATTTTTTGTCTATCTGTCCGTCTGTCTGTCTGTTACCGCATCACAGAAAAACCACTGAATGGATTTTGATGTGGTGTGGTGATAGCTAGTTATCCGGGTCAACACATAGGATACGTTTTACCGCGGGAAAATATCTCATTTCTGAGAAAAAATACAAAAACTGCAATGTAAGAGTATACTAATATGTAAAAAATATATATAAAAATATATGATGCTATTAAAAAAATATATGTAAAATTAATATATCTATTCATCATATACAATGTCAAGCAGTTTAACGGTAGCTTTAGCTTGAAGCTACCATTCACGTATAGACTGATTTGGTCGATGGCTGAACTGGCTGCAAGAACAGTATTATAATTCAGCTAATTTTATTTTGTAGTTTTTAAATATATGACAACACTAATTTTCGATTTTTAATCTTAATACGGAGTTACAATGCTGGTCCTTGAAGATGTCGATATTAAAACAGTAGGCGGGTTTACTAGTCTAGGTGTTTTTAGTCGTCGTATGTCCTTGATTGAACAGATTTTATACTTTATTTTTTAGATCGATCCGAGTTAGATCAAGTCTGATATCGGAATCTTGGTTCGGTCAGTGACTGCCGCGCTTTAAAGTTTCTTTCCAATCACTTTTACTTTTTTCTAAGCCGCAACTAGAAGAACTAGTAACTTAACTATAGATAAAATGTGTATAATAATATTGATAAATGTAGCTTATAGAATTTCGATAACTAATTTATCAAATAAGTATTATTTTTTAAAAGCAATTTAGTGAAGAAAAAATTTGTTGCTCTCGTAAGATAAAGTGAAACTGGTCAAATCACGTATTACGTGACTAGTTCCTTCATTTTTTTATCTGGAAAACAAAGTTATAAGCAGGTAATCTATACTACTATTATAAAAAGGCAGAGTTTGTTTGTTTGTTTGTTTGTTTGTTTGTTCGAACACGCTAATCTCAGGAACTACAAAACTGATTTGAAAAATCTTTTTACAATAGATAGTGCGTTTATTGAGGTAGGCTATAAACTATATGTCATCCCGGAAAATTAATTTGTTTTGTTTATTCAAACTCGTCAATCTCTGAAAGTATCAGTCAGATTTGAAAAAAATATTTTATTTTATAGCCTATTTAATATCGCTTACCTAAATACACTAAGCGAGCGAAGCAGCGGAAGCTATCATGTAGTATCCCTTTTTTAGAACATTATTTGAAAAATATACCATATATCTTATTATCTCCGTAATTAAAAATACCATTATAATTTCTTAGAATTCGATGAATGTAAACTCTTACAACTTGTCCCAGATTAACTCTACCGTTGCAAGCGCAACGAACGAATTAAGCATTACAGGAAATTCTGCATTACAGTACTTCCTGTTAAACGAATCCTTTCTCTCTCTCATTAGCTACGAATAGCTAACCTTACTTTAACAATTATCTATTGTTCACTGAGTAATTAAAAAATAATAAAAAATACCACCAATTTGCCTAATTTGTAAGTATATGTATTAACTGCCTCAATAGCTAAGTGGCAAACGTGTTCGGTTATAGATTATCAGATCCCGGGTTTGAGTCCCGGTTAGAGCTAAGCATTTTTTTTTCTCTGTTACATTTTTAGTAACGCCGAGTTGGGAGCTTGACAGTGTTTTTTTTATATAAATATCTTCGGACACACAGCACCATCTAGTTCCATGGTAAGCATGGAATTAGATCTAAATCATCTTAATCATCTCATGGCTTGTGATATGGATACCAGACAGTTGATACACTACACATACACATATAACTTTAAATACATACATATTATAAATATAAACATACATGACTGGCGAAACAAACATTTGTGCTCATCACACAAATGAATGTCTCCAGCGGGACTCGAACCCACGAAAGCTGGCACAGCAAATAGGGTCACTACAAACTGAGCCAAGCATTTCGTCAAATGTCAAAGTCAATATTGCTCCTCCATACCTTGGAGAGCAAGTAAAACTGTTGATCTTGTGCCTGATTACGTGTATTTATTTCTTCGGACTTCAAGAGTGGAAGGAAAGTGAATGCGATTGTGCACTATAATATTTCTCGAGATAGATACTCTCAGTGAGATAGACCGCCGTAACCGAAGTCGCTCAGGAGGACTTCAATAATAACTAATAAATAAAAAATAAATGAATAATAAATAAATGAATAATAAATAAATAATTCAAAAATAATAAAAATAATAAATAAATAATTCAAAAATAATAAAAATAATAAATAAATAATTCAAAAATAATAAAAATAATAAATAAATAATAAAAATAAAATAACACCCATGTTTATTCATCCGTTTATGGTACATCGTATAATAAACACCAAAATCACAGTTGATTGATTTTCATTATTAATCCCTCAACGACCGCGGGTATAGTTAACAATGAATTTCTTAGAAATTTAATAAATATCTTAGAATTTACCTGGACTTAACAGGTCATACTACTATAGGTACTTTCATTATTGTCTATTCTGTAAATTCGGAAAAATTTAATGGTGATAGACGAATAGACAAACGACAGACGAGTTGTCATGCAAGAGCCAAGAGATCCGTTTTACAACGCATTTAAGGAACCCTACAAAGCAAAAACCTATTAGTTACTAATATATGCCCGATGCCTGCTAGTATGATATGCAAATCTATGTATATAATAAAATCGTAACTAAGCCAAATATGTACATTTTACATTTACATGTTACATTTTTTGGAAAATCTTATTGAAATAGACTTTGTTATCGTTGCAGAGGCCGAATCTATAATTTTTAGAATTTTTGTCTGTCTGTCTGTTACCGCATCACGAAAAACCACTGGAGGGATTTCGATAAAATCTGGAATGAATATGGCTGGTTATTCGGGTGAACATACGAGTATAGGATACTTTTTACTGCGGGAAAAAATCTCATCTCTGAGAAATCTGTACTAAACGTTAAAACGTATGTAAGGACGGAACCCGAGCGGAGCGAGAGTGAGTCGCCAGTATTATTATAAGTTTTTGCTTTAAATGAACTTGCAGTTTTTAATGAAGTCATATTGTGCTGTATTAAAATCAGCTTGGTCAGTGCTTACCGCATCCATCACATAATATTTAAATAACACATTACGAATCATTGCGCTTTCTTTTTACATAAAATAGTATACCTTATGTTTACTTACATAATACTTCAGTCTTACAGATGATTATACTATTGACTTGATTTACTAACATAATGAATAAGCTAATTTGCTAAATTGAGCAATAATTAAAAAACTACTAGCGTCTCACCCTGGCTTCGCTCGGGTTCGTCCTAACTAGGTTTTGACAGTCAGTATGGAATAGGTAGAATAAAAAATAAAATATTATAAATGTGAAAGTGTGTTTGTTTGTTTGCCTTTCTTTCACGTCGAAACGGCTTGGTGGATTGGCGGGATTTTTTGAGTGAAGATAGTTGGAGGGCTGGAGAGTGACATAGGGTACTTTTTAACGCGGGAGATTTTCTCTTTCCCACGGGAAAACACGTTATAATACAATCCAAAAAATATTTATGACCATAATCACTTGAAACTTGGTATAAATGCTTTTCAATAGAATTAATTAAATACGTGTTGTAGCATTGTTCGAAATTCATACCATGAGGGGGTAAAATAGCGGATGAAAGTTTGTATGAAATCTACCAATTTAATTTTTTTTTTGTAGTTTATGCGCGAGCGAAGCTGCGGGTTCTGCTAGTATAATATATTTACATGTATGATATAGGTAGATAGGTATGAAAGGTTGTATTATAACGTGTTTTCTCGGGGGAATGAGATAATATTCCGCAGTAAAAAGTATGTCACTCTCCAGCCCTCCAACTATCTATACACAAAAAGTCACACCAATCTGTAAATCTTTTTCGACGTGAAACAAGGATAAACAAACTAACACACTTTCACATTTATAATATTAGTATGAATAGGTACATGAAATAACCATGTAAGATACATAAGTCAATTTATGGTATGTGATGATTGATGAGCTTATATATGCACATAACAAATTCTTATTATAATATTTTTAACAGGTCGTCTATTCAACTCTACTATAAAGTCGGTTATTAACTGCCTCGGTGGTGTAGTGGCTAGCATGTACGGCTGCTCACCCGGAGGTCTTGGGTTCGAGTCCTGGGTCGGGCCAAGTTTAGTTATTGAGTCTTTCTATATATTAAGTCTCAGTAACAGCCCGGAGTTGGGAAGTTGGCGGTGTTTCACCCCCGTGCCTCGGAGAGCACGTAAAGCCGTCGGTCCTGCGCCTTAACTCTCATCGGTCGTGTCTAGCAGTCGTCCCACCGGAGTATGAGAGTGACAGGAATAGAGAGTGCACTTGTGTCTGCGCGTACACTTGTGCACTATAATATCTCCTGCGCAGTTGGCTAGTCTCAATGAGATTGGCCGGCGTGGCCGGAATCGGTCAGGAGAACATCATCATCATCAAAGTCGGTTAATCTTAGTCTTGAGATCAAACATCTAATATTCACCCAAAGCTGAAGAATTTGTTTTTTAACGACTTCTAAAAGGTAATCCGGGTGTTTTTTTTTTTTTTGGTATTTCCCATTTGTGAACCCATTTTTGTAATTCTTTATAATAAAATCATTCCTGAGAGTGAACCATTCGGTGAACTATTCTTGTTAAAAGTACCTAATAAATAAAATTACTCTCTATCTGCCAGCTTGATTGGAAAAATAGCGCAAATTGCGCAACTTTTCAATGTCATATTTTTTCAATTCCAAATTGAAAAGCAGTCAGGTGAAGCCAGGTCACAGCAATAGAACAATTAAATGTCTTAATAAGCATATCAATACTTACATAGTAATCTACATGCTCATCCTCAGGAATTTGGTGGTGGTAGTCAAAGGCTACCTTTGGTTGGACATGAACGAAGCTCGACGCTGGTTGCAAATCCAAAGGTCTTAGGTATGTGAACACTCTCCCATACACACATACTAATAACGCTGAAGAAAGTACTATATGCTGCAAAAAACAATAAGATAATTAAGTTTCTATATGCTATTAATCTTTTAAGTGCCATTTATTAGAGCGCATACACATAAACAGTAAACAGATTTTGACAGATTTTGTCCACCATTAAATAAATTGTTTTGTTTCAACTTATATAGTTGCAACATAATCGTTTTAATATCCTATTATTTTAAGTACTTTTTCTTTTTGCACTAATACACCATTGTTACTGACAATGCATGATGGATACAATTGAAACTAATAAAAAAGTATTTTTTGTACAATTTTCTCACACACTTTCGTTACACATCGTAATAGTTACGTGGCGATTACTAATTGATGCTTCCAATCGATGTCGATTTTCTATTTTCTTTGAAATGGCAACACGAAAAATTGTATGAGGATATATGTAGGTATGTCAAAAATATACTCATTTGAATATTTATGTAGCAAACAAATCATATTTGTATAATAATTTTGCCGTTATTTGTTTAAGGATGAAAGAAATTCTACTCAAGTTCGCCTAGATTGAACTTGTATTTAAATTTTGATTTTATTATAGAACTTCGCTCTTCAAAGTCAATTGTAAGAGTTGTTAGTTGTTTGGGAATCATTATTTCAATACAAATAAAATATACGTAGGTATAAACTTATACAATTAAAAAATATTTTAATTGATAATATACGAATAGTACCTGGGCGACCGACAGCCGCTCAGATATAGAATCAAATCCTTAGAACCGTTTATGAGATACACGAAATAAATTTATCTATCTATACATAAATAAAATTCTGAGTCGAATCTGTACATTAAATAGTTTTTGAATCATCTTATTGAAATAGTCATTACTATCGATCTAAAGACCGAATCTATAGTTTTTAGAATTTTTGTCTGTCTGTCTGAGAACGCATCTTGAGAAAACTACTAGACAAGTTTTGATGAAATTTGGTATGACGATAGCTGGTTATTCGGGTGAACGTATAGGATACATTTCACTGCGAGATAATATCTCATGTCTGAGAAATCTATACTAAACGTTAAAACGTGACTCGTTAAAATGCTAGTCTCAACAAAAACTTTTTAGAAAATTAATGAAAAACAATGGTTACATTTATTAAACGTATAGATATGTAAAAAATTACATTTTTAAAAATAACTGTAACCTTACAAACTTGTACGTTATAACTGATTTAAAGATAACCAATTATATCCCATTTTTTTTATATAACACAAATACAATATCTTAGAGTTTTATCAGAACTAGAACAGCTTTGTTAAATGAAGGCCGTTTTCGATTATTATTTGACAACTAGCGACTCACCCTCGCTTCGCTTGGGTTCGTCCCTAGGGTAAATTTTAAGTTTTTTGAGCGGACCCCTAATTCTTTTTCTAAAATAGAAGCAGCCTATGATACTCTCTATAACATCACCTATTTTCGAGTGAATGTCCCGTCAAAATCAGTCCAGCCGTTTAAGAGATTTTCCGAAACAAACAGACAGACAGATAGACAGACAAACAAAAATTTTAAATAAAAAAATGAGTTTTTCTTATAAGTACCGTATATAATTTCATATGCATTTAGTAAAACGCTGTTATTTTGACATTACAAACAGACACTTCAATTTTATTTACTTGTATAGATGTATAGATAATAAACATTTCTTAATTCAGATCTGAACTGATATACCCACTTATTAATTTTATATTTTTGAGATACTTATATTGCGCTCACCTTTAAAGCCATGTTATTGGTTTTATTTACACTTTCCGTTTTAAAGCTACACTAAACTCTATGGATATAATCCACTTGTTTCAAAAGACTGGTAACGTATGTGTAGAGAGAAACTTAACGAAGTATATATATGAATGTTAGTAGAGAGGGTGGTGGCCTGGTGGGTGTAACCATAGAAAAAATATACTATCTATTGTTTATTTACAAAAATGTCACCATAACTCTAAGCAAATGTTTTATAAAAAATGACTGACATTATTACTATGAAAGTCAGTTTATTCTTAGTATTCTTATACATGTACTAGCACTGCCCGCGGCTCCGCCCGCGTTCAGATTACCAAATTAGGTTTTACATATTAGTATACTCTTACATTGGAGATTTTGTATTTTTTCTCAGAAATGAAATATTTTCCCGTAAAAGATCCTATATGTCCCGATAAAAAGTATCTTATATGTTGACCCGGATGACCAGCTATCATCATACCATATTTCATCAAAATCTGTCCAGTGGTTTTCTCGTGATGCGGTAACAGACAGACAGACAGACAGAAAGACAGACAGACAGACAAAAATTCTAAAAACTATAGTTTCGCACTTTGTATCGATAATAATGTCTATTTCAATTAGATTTTCCAAAAAATATTTAATGTACAAAGTCGACTTTGTTACAATTTTATTATATGTAGGTATAGATATCTAATCTAATCTCTACGATGGTATAACGATTATTTTGTTTCGGTGAGCATTAAATGTTCTTGAAATAATGTTTCAAAGAAGAGTTAGTTTGGAGACAGGACAGTTAAAACGTTGAATTTTTTTTATCTGCTTTAAATATCAATGCACTTAAAGTTATTATCTTATTATAATCATTTAGAAATAAGTACCTAATAAGTTTAATACTAGAAGATGAATATATATCTAACTTCCAAAGTAAATAAAGCTGGACTACTATTATAAATGCGGAAGCTTGCATATCTTTGTGCATGTGTGTGTGTGTGTGTGTGTGCGTGTATATGTGTGTGTGATTTATTTGTTTGTTTCTCCGTCACGCTTAAACGCCTGGACGGATTCGATTAAAATTAAGTAAATAGAGAGATTATGAACTGGAGTAACACAGGCTACTATTAGACATCCAGGGACGAACCCGAGCAAAGCTATTAGATAATCTCTTTGACGTAATAAATGAAAAGAGATGTATAGGTATTGTACTTATTAATTAATTAAAAAAGTAATATGTAACTCTGCTATTGTTTAAATGCCTGGTTTTTCTTATACTTATATTATGTCATGTTCTATTTATAAAATGCTAACAATCAACATGAGCTGAATACTTTCCAACAAAATCCAATAATCGATCTGTTACGCGCCAATCGTAGAAATTATCTTCTATAATTATACTGCTATCCCTTACAATTCGAATAAATCAGAGAGAGACACAAGCTTTTAAATCACACAACGTACGTGATTGAATAATCTATTACAGATGCAATTCACAAAAACGACCACGTTTACTTCCTTCCGAACGTGGGCACAATGTTGATCGTGAGAATTGATAAATACCCTCTTTATTTGTACTTACTGTTCAGTGTTCAATGATTATGTTAGGTAATACAGCCATTTGTAGATGGCATATTTAAATATTATAAACTCTATGTCACTCCGTCAACTAAAATTAATATTACTCTCAAAGAGCATGACAAAGAACAAAAATAAATGCCGTATGTATACGTATAAATATATATGTGTACATAAACCAATCTTAATGAGTATGCAAAAAACTCAAAGTTGGTTTTTATTGGTTTTCAAAGTTAAATTAATTATTAGACTAAAGACTTATTTTTTATTAAAAAATTCAATAACTAATCGATTTCAAAAAAAGGACGTACGCGATATCGGTGTATCTGCCCAAGTTCCTTTTAGTGTAAGTAAATTTTTTAGTTGAAATGAAATAAAAAATAGTCTATTCGATTACAAACGAACTTACATAAAAGGCTATAGGCATACTTAGGCCCTATAAATTTTATTTTAAGTTATACATAGTTCTGTCAAAATTTTGGACTTAAGTTATATAGTCCTGTCACAATGGGGCCGAGTTGCCGCTATTGTCACTAAATTAAGACAAGCGAGGAAAGTGTGATGTCAATACACTTACATAATCCTTCTCGCATATTAGTGACATACCGTAATAGAATTTTCTACGGCCTACAATAGGATACTGGCAACAATTTAATGTGAAATCTTTAAAATTACTACATATTAATGAGAGTTGAGTTAGCATGTATTCGGGCTAATATCAGAAATTATTATATGGATTTTCATATGATTTTTACCAAAAAAAAAAAGGAATTAATTATAGGTTATAATTTATAAACATTTTGAATAAATAATATTAACAATAACAATGTTCTCCTGGCGGATTTCGGTCACGGCGACCAAACTCGCTGAGAATAGACATGTGCGTAGGATATTATAGTGCACAAGTACACAAGTCTCATAAGTCTCTATTCCTATCACTCTCGAACTTCTATGGGATAACAATCCGAAACAATAAGATGCAGGTTACGAGCAGGACCGAGAGCTTTACATGCTCTCCAAGGCACGGAGATGATGTTGTTACTGAGAATTTCATGACAGAAAAGCTCCATAAGTATACTTTTCACAACTCAAAACTCTAACACACTCAACCTTCGAACTGAAACCGTCTATGATCATAAACAGTCGGATCGGAAAAAAACAGCTTCTTCCAGTGCAAGTGCACACGTGCGAAGCGACAGTTACAAATATTTCGTTTGTATATTAGATACTAGCGGAACCCGCAGGTTCGCTCGCGTTAAAACTACAAAAAAAATCTTTAGCTTTATGTTATAAATAATTAATACAGAAACACCCCCACTCCCCTGCGCGATGCTGGCGCATCTACTATGCCGCGTAGGATTTCCAAGCACTATTTGACTCTGTCGGGAGATGATTTTGAAAAAAACTGTGATATACGAGCCTTATAATTTTAATTGAAGATTATGTGTACCAATTTTCGACTCAATTGACCCAGAGAATAAAATTATAGTTCCCTTATTAAATTTTATTGAGCATTGAATACTTTATTATTTGGGCCCTGATAATGCCCACAAGATTTGTAACCACTAAAGATGATATCAGTAGGATATGAATATCACGTCATATTAAAATATTTGCTCGTTAACAGTATGCGTACATAATAAATAGCTCGTCCACTACCATGCAACTACAGTTACAAATTATTTAATACAATTTATTTACATATACACTGCTGCAATGTTATTACATAACAAGCAAATTAAACAAGTAAATGGTTTTGTACATACATTTGCCGGAAAATCTATAGGAAGTGATTTGAAATCACAAGACATAGCTTTTACACTCATTGTATATACTATGCTAATATTTTTTTTTTTATTTCCACGATGACGTACAACTAATGAGCCTGCTTTACTTTACTTTAACCATTTGTATGCAACCCTTTTTAATGTCTCATTGCTGGGTATAAGAGAGGCCCTTCAGTACGAGAGGGATCAGGCTATAGTCCACCACGCTGGCCCAGTGCGGGTTGGGGGACTTCACATTTCTTTTGAAAACTTGCTAGGTTCTCTCATGCAGGTTTCCTCACAATGTTTTTCTTCAATGATTCGACTGACTTCATTGATTCCCACATGAAAATATCAGAAATGTGAGACTCGGGATTTGAACCCGCCTCACTCGGTTTCCTAAGCGAGCGCGTTACCTATCTGGGCTACTACTGCCTTCACTAGCCTTTAACAATTTATAACAGTATAAAACTGTATAAAATCCTGCCACCTTCATGCACGGTCTATAAACAATCTAGAAAAAATCACATCGACGGTTAAAAGGTAATAAGGTATAAGCGACAAAAACGAAATTGTTCAGGAGAGCTGTTTAAAGTTTGAAATTGCAGAAAAATGGACATAACTTTTTTATTTATTGTCATATCGTAAAAAAGGAAACAGTTCTAGAATCAAGAGAACTAAAGGCAATAATGGTCACTTTCATTTATATGATTCGATGTTGTTTTATGTTGATTTTTGCCGCTTATACCAATTGATCTTATTTTTCTTATGAGGTAATTCGGCGTAAGTTACATGTGCACATAAAAAAACGAAGAGTATAGACGCCTTAGCTACATTTGATATCCTCATACCAAGAGGTAATAGGGCATAAGTCACATGACAGTAGAATAACTTAAATGGGTAAAGAAGGACAAGTGACGATTCACATAATTATGCCAGAACGTAATGAAACATAAGATACAGTGCCTAGCAAAAACATTGTGAGGATGTTAGACATTAGTTACACTGTAAGTGAATTGAAGAACAAGGTAAAGTGGTACTTCCACACATCAAGATTTCTATACCAAGAGGAAAACGAGAACATCCAACTTACGGCATTATCTGGGCAAATGGTAACGTGGATTAAACGTCACGTCTTAAAATAATAGAATCACAACCAACATGATTCTCCTTTAAAATTCGATCCTGCGACGCCCCATTGAGACGTTTCTAGCCGGTGAGTCCCACATAACCGCATGTATGTATTGAAATGGTATTCGTAAATGCATTTCCCAGCATTGAAAAAGGTTAGTAAGTATATAATCTAATAATATAATAAAATAATTTAAATATATCTGGTAAGTATGTAGATACGTGAAGGTAGGCTATAAAGGCGAGTTTCTTCGAATACTATTCTTTGTAGATATATTAATAAAATAAAATAAAAAAGCCTTTTATTTCCTGCTTACAATCTTATAGGTTAATTTTAGGTAGTAGGATATATATATATATATATATATATATATATATATATATTTATAATTGCAGGAACCCCTCTCAGGTGAAGGCCTCTTCCAAAGCTTGCCATTTCTCTCTATCCTGAGCTATAAGGTGCCATTTACTTCCGGCTATTTTCTTTATGTCGTCTTCCCAGCGGGTATAAGGCCTTCCCCTATAGCGTTTACCGGTTGGGCCCTTCCATATCGTAACCGTTATGGTCCATCGCTGGGCTTTTAATCGTATCACATGCCTAGCCCATTTCCATTTCAGTCTTTGAGCGTGACTTAAAGCATCTATTGTCTTTAAGCTCGCTCTTATCTTGGTGTGTCTTATTTTTTGTAGTTTTTTCCATTCATTATGCTACGCTCGATACCCCTCTGGCAGGTAATTATTCTATTCCGGGTTTTGTTTGTAAATTTCCATGTTTGACATACATATGTCAAGCATGGGATAAGACATGAGTCCATAACCTTCTTCTTCAATGTTAAGGGCATGTTACTTTTAAATACTTTTTTATAACTCCAGTACTTATTCCATGTACGTTTAATTCTTCTTTCCACCTCTAGTTCATTGTTATTTCTGTTAAATACAACTTGTTTGCCGAGATAAATGTATTCATCTATGTATTCTAAAGGTTCATCGTCTATTGTAATGGTTGATTTTGTGTGATTTGTCATAATTTTTGTTTTACTTAAATTTATTTGTAGGCCTACTTCTCTGCTAGCCATATGTAGAGTCTCGATCATATATTGTAATTGAGTGGTAGTTTCTGAAAATAATATTAGATCGTCCGCAAATCTTAGGTGGCTTAAGTATTTACCATTTATAAACAAGCCTTGATTTTTCCAATTAAGTTTCCTTATAACTGATTCTATTATCGCTATGAAAATTCTAGGAGATAGAGGGTCTTCTTGTCTTACTCCTCTTTCTACCGTAAAGCTTGGGCCAGTACTTTCTAACTTCACTCTGCTAGAGCTATTGCTATAGATATTTTTTTAAATGTCTATGTATTTTTTCTCTACATTTTGAGCTTGCAAAGTCACCCATATGTTCTCGTGTAGGACAGTATCGAAGGCTTTTTGGTAATCAATGAATGCGATGTGCAGTGGTCTTTGTTGTTTTGTTGTTGTGGTATTTCTCTATTATCATCTCTACGGTGTGTATATGGTCTATTGTTAAGTATCCTTTTCCGAAACCGGCTTGTTCAATGGGTTGGTTTTGCTCTAGCGATAAACTTATTCTTTTGTTTATTATTGTAGAAAAGAGTTTATATAAGGTTGGCAGTAAGCTAATAGGTCTGTAGTTACAGATATCTTTTGGATTTCCTTTCTTGTAGATCGGGATAATAATAGATTCTGACCATTGCGATGGTGTTTCAGAGGTTTCTATTATCGCATTGAAAAGATTTATTAATGGTGTGATCAGTATGTCGTGTGCTACCTTTATGGCATCGTTAGTAATATTGTCAGAACCAGGACTTTTATCGCGTTTTAATTTTTGTATCGCCTCCATAACTTCTTTGCAATATATTGGCTCTATACGTTTTTCCGGTAATTCTGGTTCTACCGATTTGCCCTGACTTAAATTTGCACTAGTATTTGTGTAGAATATTTCCTCGCGATTGTACGTGGTTTCTCCTTGTTTGTTAAGACCTTCAATCCACGTTTTATTTGTTTTTAATGCTCTATACCCTTTTTTCAAACTTCCTTTTTGTTCTAGATGTGTCATAATGGTTTTCAATCTATGATTGTTGTAATATATTTTTATATTTTTACTAGTGAGCTTATAAAGCGCTTTAAGCTTATTTTTAATGGATCTAGATTTATTTTTTATTCCTTGTATTTCTTGTTTTCTTTTTATAATGTTTTTTGTGTAATCTAATAGGATGCTGTGGTTTTTCATTGAATTTTCTGACTTTTTTTCACACTGTAGACTATTTTTAATATAATTTATTAGTTTGTCATAGTAACCTTGTACTGACTCGGTCGGATTTATATTTTGTAGAGTCGCAATATGATTCTTTAATTTCTCTTTGAATATTGATATTTCTTCCTCGCTCTTGAGCGTACTATGCTGGTCTTTTTGTATTTGGCTCTACTTTTGATTGGTTTTGTTAGTGATATTACAGCTCTGAGTGCTCTATGGTCCGAAGGGTAGTTTACATTTAGTGTTTCAATATTTTGAAATATTTGTGGTCTGTTAGACATTATGAAATCTATCTCATTTTTGTACTGCCCATTGGGTGAACGCCACGTTCATCTTTTCTTTGGTTTTTTCTTATAAAATGTGTTAATAATTGCTAAATTATTTTCCAAAGCAAAGTCTAATAGTCTTTGTCCTCTCGCGTTTCTGTCTCCGAATCCATATTGTTTCATTACTAGTTTTTCGTCGTTACGACGCTCACCTATTTTGGCATTAAAATCCCCCATCAGAATGAAATCTTTATGTGATATTTCCATTGTTTTATAGATGTTTTCGTAAAAGATATCTATTTCCTCCTCTTCTGCGGCTTCTGTAGGGGCATAGACTTATATAATAGTTAGTTTCTTTTCTGATATGTCAACGTTTAATATCGCTACTCTTTCCCGATATAACTTTCTACGTTTTGTTTCAGGCGTTTATTTATTATAAAACCCACACCATGTTTGCTCAGTGTTTGCCCTGTATGGCAGAGAATAAATTTATCATATTCTGATATTACGTTACCAAGGCGTCGTACTTCTGATAAGCCAATGATATCGTATTTTATGTAGATAATATATTACGAGTATGTAAATAAGCAAGCTAGGTTCCAGAGATTGGGAAGGTAGCAGACGAAAGTATTTAGGGGAGGACGTAGGTAGTAGGTACTCGTAAGCTATGATAATGTAGGTTATTAAGCTTATTGTAACTACGCTTATTGATAACATAGCTAATGTTTAGAATACCCATGGCTTATTTGATAGGTACCTCTGTCTTAGGTCTACGATATGTCAGGTAAAATTAGTATAGATAGGCTGAACTACTAGATTACTTATTACTGCCTACTTTATTATTTTATATTATGCTCTGACTTAATTCTGGATGTGATGAAACAAAAATACTTAGGTTTTTTCACTATTTATTAAAAAAAACAGTTTTGTCAAAATAGTTTTCACGATGTTAGATACATAGTAACAAAAATAAACTTAATGAAATAACATAAGGTATCATTATTATAAAAATGTTATAAAAGATACTTCCAAGTCACTGCACGCGGCCGACTGATTTTGGAATAAGCGACTCGCTTAATAGGTACTTGAGTACTACAAAGTCATTAATATTGGCGTAAGCACCAATTAACAAATAATCATTGTAAAGTAATACGGCGTACGCGACAACGTAGTATTAAAATAGTAAATGGTAAATGGATATACCCGACACCTTAATATAAAATTTCATATTAGTAATTACGTATAAGCGACAACTATATCGTAAACTTGTAAATGGTAGTAAGGTATAACCGACAGTTTAATATCAAATAAGATTTAGTAATTGCGTATAAGCGACAACTGTATTTTAAACTTGAAAATGGTAGTAAGGCTTAACCGACGCTTAATGTTTTTGACGAAAAAGGTAAAGAGGCATTACTTCCAACTTTCAAAACCGGTGCTAATTGTAAAGAGTCTTAAGCGCCCGGAATCTTTATGCCAGTAAGAAGTAAAAATACCTTACCGACTATAAACCAAAATTGATACCATTTTTACAGGGGTACAAGTGCCTTTAGGGTAAATAAGGCCTAAAACTCGGTCGGTTCGACCAAAATGACACTTCGAAAACGCAGTTTTTTGCTTGGGCATAAGTGACGAAAAAGCCATCGTAGAGACATGGGAGTAAGCGCATTCGAAAAAGCTAAAAATTTTAAGTAGGATGGCATTCATAACTCATTTGCGACCAAAATGTCGCTTATTACCTATTACCTTTTAACCGTCGACATCAATAGCTTGTTCAAAACAAACAGATGCACTATATTTATAACTTGGTGACCCGAAGACGTACTATCCCAATTTAAATAAATTTATTTGAAATTTAGGAGAATTTACAACAATTTTAAAAAGTAAAAAGCATTTTAATTTCTTCTGAATTTCCCTGTCGAATATTTTCCCCCAAAATTTTTATTGACACTGTTACGAACATTTAAAAAAAAGGCCAAATTGGTCCAGCCGTTCTGAATTGAGGCGCTTACCAACAAATAGTATTTTATTTCTATATATAAATATCTGAAATTATTTTGTTTTCTCTTGCGTAAATGGCTATTCTGAATGAGATTGGTCGAACTGGATGAAATTGTGCAAGAAATTATAAGCCTAATGGATAAAATATAAAAAAAGTAATTCTCTTTAGTTACTTAAACTATTTGTGTTTCTTTTTAAATATTCAATGCACTTTCGTTTGCAACACGTAAAGTAGATCAGTCTAAGTCGTTGTAGCAAACAATCAGAATAGCAAAGTATCTACTTGTCTCATTTAACTTCTTAATAATTAATTGTTAAGCAAAGCACGCATTCAAACAGTATGTGCTATCTTATGTTATACGACTATAATATATAATATATAATGATAAGATGAATTCTGTAAGCATGAAATGTATTAGACATTGCAATGTCTACGTTGAAATATATATATATATATATATATATATATATATATAAGACATAAAAGACCTAGTAAAAGTTTCAATTATTATACAATGAAGGAAAAAAATATTAAAACAAACAAACTAAATATATAGGTACAGATTCCTTTCCGTTTTACTTCATCCGCTCTCATTATTATTTTTCTTTACAACAGGCAATTAAGTACTACTTTAAATAAATAAAACTTAAAAAATCTTATGAACAAACATGTATTAATAATTTTAAATATATTTAATAGAAATAGTAAACAATAAAATATTCACTAAACATTCACAGTTAATGATCTGAATGTGCTTCAAATACTGGGCCTTTCAATAAATATTGGTTCGATTTTCTTGTTTTTCTTTTATTATCGTTATGATAAATTCGGATTTTATCATTGTTGTAAGTGTCCATGGGCTTAATCTCTTTTTCTAAGAAGATCTCATATCCATCGGTCTTAGATTTTGCTTTATTTTTTTTATTAATATAATTATTTGAAAATTCGTCGAAATCGAACGATGAATTTTTCATCAATTCATTATTAAGTACAGTATTAGTTGGACTTATTTCCTTAAATGGGAGAGATACCTCTGACAAGGTATTATCCGATTTGAGTAATTTTTCTTGAGATAAATCTTTATTTGAATTCAAGAATTTGACGCTTTTGAGTTCCACCCTACGAATATATATTTTTAATTAAGTAAATCAGAAATAATATACGTAAGAATATTCTTAGAATTTAATAGCAGCTCTTTTTTGAATAGAGAAGATGACTCTGTAAATTATTTTTACTTTCCATCTGTTTGAGTCGACCTATGGAACCCAGCAGAACTGAATTGAAATTAAACTGATAGCTATAAAAAAATCTCATATACTTAAATTACTCTTATTGCCTTTATATAAAACTAGCGGCTCACCCTCGCTTCGCCTCTAGAAAAACAAAAACAAATCTATCACACACAAAAAAATAGCCTATGTGCTGTTCCAAATTATAATCTTTGTGCCAAATTTCAACTAGATCAGCTAAGCGTTCTGGCGTGATTGAGTAACAAACATCCATCCAAACATATTCTTAATATATATTATTAGTAAGAATATCCTTAGCTTAAACAAAAGCTAACAGAAATATCAGTAACTTAATTAAAATATATAAACTAGAAACGAGAAAATTTTATAACAAAATCACACAATACTTAATTATTCAACAGTGGCTGTTATATATAAGCAATGCACATTGCTCACCCATAACTTGAATCATCTGCGAAGTACTTAATATGTACTGGATTACCATCTTTGTCTCTATACGAATATTTTCCTATCACTGTTCCGTTTGGAAACCGTTTCTCATCTTTAAACTCAACTTTACTCTGATCACTACTTCTTTTTTGAGGAAAACCTACAAAACATTATTTTCATATTTTAAACAAATTATAGATAGTCTATTTAGAAAAAATTACAGGCAAATGTACTAAAAACAAAAATACTAGACCAATTTAAAATTTACCTGTTACATATACCAAATGTATAACTAGGAAAAAAAACGTAATCGAAAATCGTATAATATTTTTCATAATCTTCGCTAATAATTATTATTATTCTTCTATATTTTTTCTATAAACACCTCGATTATTCAGCATATAAAATGACACTTCAAAATAAACTCAGCTGACACTTCTACATTACAAAGAGAATTTATTGAAGATCTATGAGTTTCAATATATTTTTTTACTGATGGTTATATATTTTTAACTAACGTTGGTTTTTTCAATACTAAGACCTTCCTCACGATTTTTAATAGAGGTTATTTAGACGTAGAACCTACTAACCTACTATTGTAAAGTATAAAATTAGCATAACTACTACATATATATATATATATATGTTGGCAGCCACGGCAGCCAATCTCATTAAGCTTAGCCGTTAGTAGTGTGCACGCAGATACCACTGCACTCTCTATTCCTTTCACTCTCAGGTGCAGGATCGACAGCTTTATGTTCTTTCTGAGGCACGGGGGTGAAATACCGCCAACTTTTTTAACTCCGGCCTGTTACTGGGACTTCCTTAACAGGATGACTGATTTCTCTAAATTTCGATTCTCTTATTTCAAAATCGAAATACTAGCATGAAAACATAATATAATAACTACACTTATATGAAAGATACGATTTAAAATTGACCTAAGAATTAATATTATTATTTAATCAATAACAGTAAAGCGTGGTGGCACTAAAATATTCGATAATGTTTTTAGAGGTTGTGTCTTCTTCTTATGCGGCTTTCTCGGCCGACTCCAAGAAATAGATGGTTCGGTAGATATCGTATGTATTTGGGAAGGCGATTGCTCATAATTCTGCGTTAAGGATCCGCCATGTAACAATCTGAAAACACATAAAAGTAATAAATAATAGAGACCTAAATCTTTTTACTTCGGTTTACATGTCACAGAATATAAAACAAATTTAACGATGGAAGCATTAATAATACTTTCTTAGATTTACGTGAATATTTGACATTTTAAATGAGACTATCTTTTCGGGTTTTTTCGCGGATTTATTTTGATTTTAGGTTCCTGACGATTCGTATGCTTATAAGAATAATATAAAAAAATAATACTAAGAATTCAATTTATCTAAAATGATCATTAATAGTTTTACCTATACCCTTCTCCATCGGCTACATAATCAAATCTTTGGGATTTTCCTGTAGGGTCGACATACCCGTAGCTGCCGACAACTGTACCATTTGGATATTTCTCTTCAGTCCGGAATTGAATGTTTCCGGTTTGTTGATCACGCACGTCATAACCAAAAGAGTAGGTCCCTAATATACCTGAAGAACAAAACGGCACTTATATCATCATTATTAAAAAATTAATTAAATTTCTAATAAACCTATTGTTAACTGTAACGTCGGCGTGTTCGTGGTCGTGGAGGGATTAATATTATTACACTATACTATATTAAATAATGTAATTTATTTAATTTGTGATTACAAAAAGGAAACTAATATACTGCTTAATCTAATAATAATAATTAATGGTAGAGTAAAAAAAATATGGGCAATAGAATGTTGACACGCACTGGAATAGCCTAGGTCCCGTACGTCTTATTTTCCACAGGACCCTCTTCTCTAATCTTCCCAAATAAAATTGTGAAAAAATTGCAGATTTTTTTTAACACCAGATACATTCAAACTACTAATTCCGTTCCGTATAGTTTTTTTTTTTATACCACGTCGGGGGCAATCAGGCATGCGGCCCGCCTGATGGTAAGCGGTTACCGCAGCCTATGGACGCTTGCAACACCTGGGGCATCACATGCGCGTTGCCGACCCTTTAAAAACCTATTTACTCCCCTTTTGAAGGACCCCATACTGTAGCCCTCTTGGAAAACCTCGGCAGGGAGTTCATTCCACAGCGAGATGGTCCGTGGGAGAAAGTTCCTCTGAAACCGAACTCTACCATTCCACCATTTGGACCATTTGGGCTGCAATGTTTACGTTTTGCTATTTTTTATATATGTATATCCCGTGAATATTTTACACAGTACAGTTCATATAACAACAGTTCATTAATAATGGGTTTGCATGGACTGACGGATTGACATCGTAGGCTCAGGGCACGAAATCCTAAAAAGTACAAATGAAATCCAGCTGATCTAGATAAAGGCTTACATGGATTTTACTAGAACTATCCGCTAATATTAGACAAGTAATTTATAATTACATGTATTGCATGCATGCCCAACAAAAGTATAGGTACACAACTAATAATAAGTAAAATAATATCAACATCTTCAAATTAAGTCATTATTACAGTAAAAACAAAATGTATAAAAATTTAACGTACCATCAACATCTTTAAAATAATAGCTTGGGCTCTGTGCTGCTAAACTTAATCTTGGCTTTCTGGGAGCGGCTGTTAGCTTATTGGTCCATACTACCATAACTATCAATAGAACCTGAATCGAAAGTTGGTGTGGTTTAAATATTAAAGATACTTTTTTAGGGGACGAATCCGAGCGAAGCGAGGTTGAGTCGCTAGTCTACGTATATAACATCCGCAATGTATAGTTGGAGCAAAATCTCTCTCCTAAAAGCTATAAGAGTAAGCTTCGTTTTAAAAAAAACACAAAATTGTTATAGTGAGACAGATAGACATTTTAATTTAGTTTCCTTTCAATCGTTTATATAATCTATGTATATATATATATATAATAAAATCGTAAATAAGTCGAATCTGTACATTAAATATTTTTTTGAAAATCTTATTGAAATAGGCATTATTATGGATACAGAAGCCGAATCTATAGTTTTTAGAATTTTTGTCTGTCTGTCTGTCTGTCTGTTACCGCATCACAGAAAACTACTAGGGATTTGGATGAAATTTGGTACGGTGATAGCTGGTTGTCCGGGTCAACATGTAGGATACTTTTTATCGCGGAAAAATGTCTCATTTCTGAGAAAAAATACAAAAACTGCAATGTAAGAATATATAATATGTAAATCCTAAGAATTTGGTTTTTGGTCATCTGAACGCGAGCGGAGCCGCGGGCAATGCTAGTATTCGCAATATATTAACATTTTTCTTAATAATAATTTAATTTAATACCGAATAAAGTAATTTCCTTATACTATTCCTGAAGAAATATAATAGCAAAATATCTTATCAACGCGTCCTACACTCGAAAAACCCAAATATTGTGCGAAGAAAATATTATTTTATGTACACACTCTCATTATATCTCATTGCACTTGGATCTACAGAATCCTAACGTACAGTTATTTCAACCATAATAAATATCAATCAATGATTTTATATTAAAAGAACTTAAATCATTCATTGTATTCGCTAAAATCCTAAGATGAAATAAAAAAAATCTTCTCACATACATACATGGGTATATTTCAAATATTTTTTCCACATAATTATAGAAATGAAATAAATAAAATAATCAACGATGATTATTTTATATATTTTATTTCTATAGTAGGTACCTACGAACTAATCATACGTAAATCATGCATTTGTAAATCAAATCATTGTCAAACATCGATTATTATAATAAAACTTACGTGAACCTATAACTAAAAATTAAAATAACAAATATATTTGAGCATAAATATTCAATTAAGACCTAATGAAAATTAAAATGTTTTACATGAAGTTGATAAAGAATATGAAAATCTAACCTTCAATACGAAATCCATTTTGGCACCAGAATCACAAAATCGTACGCCACAGTAGAGGAAGTGCATGTGTAACTTCACAAAACGATGTCTTCAACATGCGTGAACTTTCAACAGGCGACTCCTTTTAGTGGTTTTTTAGTCGGCAAAAACAAGCCAGTTGTCTTAGTGGGTGAAGGCGACATCCATATCCGTTTGCACTGATGTCATACCATTAGCCACAGGATAAGGAACAACGTTTATGAGGTGATAAACTCTTTCGAACTCCTAACGGTAGCTTCACAGATAACATAATTACTCATTTAGGATTTGCGAATTCTACGATTCATTGTTTTGTTCAAACGGAGTTTTTAATTGGTTTTCTATTCGTGGGTAAACTTCGTTAGACATCGTTATACGTTGAAATACAACTAATATTAATCTCTGCCTAAAATGCGATGTGGGTGTTTAGTTCATAAAATCTATCAACACAATTAATTTAAATCTTTATAATTGTATTTCTTTTAAAAAGGAAGTGATTAAAATTTAAGATTAGAAGTTTTCGCCTAAGGGTCGAAATTCGGCCATAATCATTATTGAAAGCACATATGAATAAAATTTACTTATCATTATGAAAAAAACACACACAATTTTAATATTGAGCTTAAGTGTAAACAACAAGAAAAGACAATCGGTTGACAAATAGAGAAGAAAAAATAAAGGTCTGTTTTGTTTTTGCCTATTTATATATACGTAGATATTTCGGTCTTAATTACGTTTTAAGCTAGGTTTTAACTTTTAAAAAGGCAAACAATGTAACTTTTTTAACTAAGTCCAATGAACACGAAGTGAACACACTTTTGTACTTAAGACGTGACATCTTACTTAATGGTAACCAGATTATTATTTGCAATAACTGTTATAAAAATATCTAAATTTGAAGTTTAAAATATCTGAAATATATATCATGTTGTCATATCAATATGAAAATATTCATCTTATGAGTATATCGGCGTGGACTTAAACAGAAAAATGATAAATGTTCACATTTATCATTTCTTTTCAAAAAAGGCAACAGCAGAAAAAACACATTAGTATGAGAGATGTATATCGAAAATGACCATTAAAAATTCTAGGTGCCTTTGAGTTAGTGGTTTATACCTTCTCCTCGCCCACATTTTACCACTCTCTTATTTGGTAAACGATGACAGTTACTATTTTTCTGAAGAGATAAATTTGTAACTGCGATTAGCATTCCATATAAGATTGAGAATGAATTCTCACAAATAGACTAACGGACTGGTTTTCAATAAATATTCATTTATCTATTTTTGTGATAATTATATGGTAATTTGATAATAATACACTTATTAATGTCAAATTTGATGTAAAGCATTATCTTTTAAATAATAAAATAACTTAAGAAATGTTTAAACGTGCATATTTTGTTAATCTATACATATAATAAAATTGTAACTTAGCCGAATCTGTACATTAAATATTTTTTGGAAAATCTTATTAAAATAAACCTTATTATCGATACAGAGGCCGAATCTATATAGTTTTTAGAATTTTGTCTGTCTGTCTGTTACCGCATCACAGAAAAACCACTGGAGGGATTTTGATGAGGTATGGTGATAGCTTGTTATCCGGGTCAACATATAGGATACTTTTTACCGCTGGAAAATATCTCATTTCTGAGAAAAATACAAAAACTGCATTGTAAGAGTATACTAATATGTAAAACCTAAGAATTTGGTTTTTGGTCATCTCAACGCAGGCGGAACCGCGGGCAATGCTAGTTTTATATAATATTTTGTTTATTATTATTAAAATATATGAAAAAGTTGACTTACATTTAAATTCTGATTCTCAAGAGTTTAATAATAAATAGGTGGCGTATTTATTTATGATTTCATCGTAAGTGATTTCTTTACAAGAGTTAAGATAATGTTTAGTAAAACAATATTACATAATGCAGAAATATGTTTCGCAAAAGTGAATCAACGGTAAGTCCCAAAAGTCAAGGGCTAGTGACGAAATTGCAATGATTACTCAGATTTATCATTATTTTGGTAGAAAGATTAAATTATTAGTACAATTAATACACTCAAAACTTATATGGCAATATACTATAACTTGAGCCTTCTTTTATTCTTGGTTTGTTGTCGATAATAATTATCCATACATATAATAAAATTGTAACCAAGCCGAATCTGTACATTAAATATTTTTTGGAAAATCTTATTGAAATAGACATTATTATCGATACAGAGGCCGAATCTATAGTTTTTAGAATTTTTGTCTGTCTGTCTGTTACCGCATCACGGAAAAACCACTGAAGGGATTTTGATGAAATTTGGCATGATTGAAATTTGATGATAGTTGGTTATACGGTTCAACATATAGGATAGTTTTTACCGCGGGAAAATGTCTCATTTCTGAGAAAAAATAGAAAAACTGCAGTGTATACTAATATGTAAAACCTAAGAATTTGGTTTTTGGTTATCTAAACGCGGGCGGAGCCGCGGGAAGTGCTAGTAATTAATAAATTAACTAAAGTTTGAATAAAGCAATTACCTAATTATTTTTATTAAAATAATTTTAAAGATACATTTTTGTTATAACTCATTTATTTTAGTTTATGTTCTTTGAATTCTAGATATTATATTTTAATATCCATGTTGTGATAAATATATAAAAGGCAAAAAGTTATAAATTTTAAAAGGAATAGCGGAATAAATATAATCCGCAATAAAATTTAAAGTTATACGGCGGTATGACTTTAATAAAACATATATCCATATATGTATCTTTATGGTACGTTTTATAGTTTAATAGTCATAAACAGTTTGTATCTAACAAATATCTTTTCAAAACTGTAAAAATATAATATTTGCGATTTAATTGTAAAAGAAATAAAAAAAGCATAATAAAGAAATTCTATTTTCTAAGAAAGAATTTGTATTTGCAGTAACATAAAACCAAAGAAAACTACACCTTTGTACATTTGCCGTTATACAAAAACTAATATATTAAACATTTTTAGTAATATAGTAAGAGAAGAATAATTCACACTCACATAGATGTTTTAGAGAACCCTATACATACTAGCAGAACCCGTGGGCCGTGGCGCTTGCTCACGCTAAAACTACAAAAAAACTCTAAAAAATTAGATTTCATACAAATTTTCATGTCTCATTTTACCTCCTTTTGGGATGAATTTCGAAAAATGCTAAAACACGTTAGTATTTAATTGTATTGAGAACATTAATACCAAGTTTCAAGTAATTCTGATCATAAATATTTTTGGGTTATATTATAACGTGTTTTCCGTGGGAATGAGATAATCTCTCCCGGTAAAAAGTAGCCTATGTCTGTCTCCAACCCTCCAACTATCTCCACACAAAAAATCACGCCAAACCGTCGTTCTGTTTCCACGCGAAAGAAGGACAAACAAACAAACACTTTCACATTTATAATATTAAGTATGTATTAGTATGGATGTAGACAAATAATAAAAAAATAAACTATATAATTAGTCAAACCTTTATTGCTTATAAACACTTTTTGGCCGTATACTTTTTAAAATTATTAAAACAAAATATAATCCTGATTCTTAATAAACTTGTAACATAAGAGCTCCTAACTTATGCCACATGCAATTTACGTTCTAGTTCCAAAAAAGTTTTATGGCCATTTTAAATGGACTGTAAGTTTTACAGCAAAATAAAGTTAAATATCGCTAAAGTTGTACTTCAGATGCTATAATGGAAAAAATATCTTTAAAGTACATGTTTAACACATAATACTTTTTGGGAATCGCTTCATTTACTTAAATAAACACATTACCTATAAATAATGTTTACTAATTCGTAATTTTATCGTAAATTTAATATCTCACAACTTTCACTTCAGATAACATATTAATATGTCATATACTACAAAAAGCCTTATTTTCCATTCCATCTTTCATCAAAATATATACACAGAACCAAAATAATTTTTCCTACATCTAAAATATATTCTAAATCTACGTTTGCGAGTGTAACTTTGTAAATATTCTCAAATCGCCGAGTGTTTTACATTAGTGGTGTCCATACGAAGAGAGAACAAGTGTTGGTGCAGCCGCATAGTGTGCCACTTGTTTTACTGCAACCTATAACATGAGAAAGATAAATGAATTATTTTCGATACACTTATTGTTAGATAGCTACTTATGTTATACTAGCATTGCCCGTGGCTCCGCCCGCGTTCAGATGACCAAAAACCAAATTCTTAGGTTTTACATATTAGTATACTCTCGTGCTCTGTGTTAATGTCATAATATATTTATTTATTTAATTCTCCTCTAAAGATATATAGCTAAGTAGTAAACATTTGAATTTATGTATATATATGAGTGATTTAAAATTCACAATGAACGTTTGTAGCAGCTGTATACCTATTGATAGAGGTAGAGTCTTACTAGCGCTTAGCGTATCGTCCGTAATCCCTCTAGTATTACTCTATTCTGAAGATCAAAGTAATAAACTAATAAAACTTATTTAAATAACAATAAGGCCAAAAGTATATTTTATTGTTTTACGATATAACCCACCTAGGCACCATTAATATTGTTATGTCAAAAACACTCAAAGTGATATCTTGTTTCCTTATACGCCTAGGCACCGTTAGATTTGCGCAAGGGCCAGTATCCGACATGAAATCTAGTTTTTGCAACATATGTATATTTGTACTCATGATATGTTATTTTTTAAGTTAAGCTTATCGGACAAAATATAAATACAGTTAAGTAAATCAAAAACATAGAATAAAGAAGTAAACAGAAAACAAGCTCTGTTAGTAGGTAATTGTTCCCTCAACCATACTTATGCAGCATAACTGACTACAACAGGTTTGATCAATATCTCAGACTAGCGACTCACCCTCGCTTCGCTCGGGTTCGTCCCTACTTACGTTTTAAAGTTTAGTATCGATTTCTCAGAGATGAGATATTTTCCCGCTGTAAAAAGTATCCCATATGTGTACCCAAATAACCAGCTATCATGATATCAAATTTCATCAAAATCCCTCCAGTGGTTTTTCCGTGATGCGGTAACAGAGAGACAGACAAAAATTCTAAAAACTGTAGATTCGGCCTCTGTATCGATAATAATGTCTATTTCAATAAGATTTTCCAAAAAATATTTAATGTACAGATTCAACTCAGAATTTTATTATATGTATAGATTATATATAAGCAATATATAACGTTGAAAGGCGCTATGTTGACGTTATTAGAAATGCTTAAATCTAAAACAAATAACCTGAATGACTAATTTTAATAGGGTCATTGACTCTTTAAGGCACACCGTACACATTTTGTTAAGCAAAGCTTAGAATTTCATAGATTTTGTAAACATTATAGTGAACTTACCGGGTGTACTGCGTGTCCAGATCTATGTACAATTGCGTTGAATCCGGTGTGATCATCAGCGGAGTAGTTTACAGTCCTCGTGGTACCATCCGGCTCTACTAAGGAATAACTGCCTGAAAATACAAAAACAACATGTCGGAGATTTTTATTTAATTTATGGTAATCTTCTATATAAATAAAAATGAAAATAAATGAAAAAATCCTGTTTGTTGATGGGAATTATATTAGAACGGCTAGACCGATTTGGTAAATTGTTTAATTAACATACATGTTCGAGTAACGTTTTTAAAAGAAATATTTAAAAAGTTGCCTGGAAAATTCGGAAATGCTGTAAAACTGGGAGATTAGAAGCATACTGATTGAAAATTGGACATATCTGCTGGATCAACTAGTTCTATATACATACAGGTAAAAAATAGACTAGCTTCCAAATTATTTTGATTGAAAATATAATTATTCCTTCCTATTTCTGTTCATCATTCATCATTAATAACATAAGACCGTTGAGATTATACATATCTATCTTACTAAATAAAAAGAAAAAATATTTTTTAATAATTAATTCTTCTGTTCACAATTGTCGATATCGCGTACGATACAAGAGTTGATTGAGAGATGAGATCAAATTTTTAGAACAAAATATTTTTGGGCGGCAGAGTAAAGCTATAGACGTTTACATAGATACATAGATACATACATACATACATACATTCATACATATATATACATACATAAAGTCGCTATTATATTGTATACCTTCTCGAGTAGTAAACTGAATAGCGGTCACAACATCCTGCATACAATATAAGATTTCGAAATTCAACGAAGCTTAACGTGGTCTTTTAACTTTGTATAGGTATCTTCTATACATCCGGGATGTGAGGTACATCAACAAAATTCTAATCACTATTTTTATGTATATGCATAACATACATACATATAATAAGATTCTGAGTCGAACCTGTACATTAAAAGATGTTTTTGGAAAAGGTATGTATAGTTTTTAGAGGTTTTGTCTGTTCGTCCGTCTCTTTGGGAACGCATCACGAGAAAACCACTGGACAGATTTTGATGAAATATGGTATAATTATAGCTGGTTATTCGGGTCAACATATAGAATACTTTGTACTGCAGTATCTCATCTTTGAGAAATCTACACTAACTGTTAAAATCTATCTCGTCGTATCTAGGGGATAGAGACGAACCTGAGTGGAGCAAGAGTGAGTCGCTATTAAATATAATTTTACTTCTAATAACAAGTATAATAACAGTTAGCTATAACTAAATACTAAAATACTAGTAACCTTTAACGACATCTCCGTCTCTCTCCTCCTGCTGAGATTTTACATCACCAGTGTGCGGGTCCTTGACTCCATAGTTAAATGCGTACTTTGGATAAGCCTGTTCAATAAAATATTTTAAAATGTTAAAAACCAGTAACACATTTCAATATCATTTAATATTATGCATAAATGTATACATATAATAAATTGCTAACCGAGACGTATCTGTATATGAAAAATTTTTGGAAATTTTTATTGAAATAGTCATTATTATCGGTATAAAGGCCAAATCTATAATTTTAAGAATTTTTGTCTGTCTGTCTGGGAAAGCATCACGAAAAAACCACTGGACAGTAAGCGAATTCCTTTCGAGTCAGCATCCGATAATGTAGTCAAATAAGCAAAATATTAATAAGAATGTATTCATATTTTCTTAGATTTTGCGCGAATATTTGATATTTTAAATACAAATATCTTTTCGTCTGAAACGTCGAAACGTCGAAAATCAAAAATCAAAACAAGACCGCGAGAAAATCCGAAGAGATGGTTTTATTTAAGAACTAGCGACTCACCCTCGCTTCGCTCGGGTTCGTCCCTAGCTTGCTTCCCAATACAAACTTTCATCCCCATTTTACCCTTAACGGATGATTTCCGGGATAAAAAGTATCCTATGTCCTTCCCAGGGTCTCAAACTATCTTCTTACCAAAATTCATTTAAATCGGTTCAGTAGATCCAGAGATTACTCCCTGCAACGTCACAGACTCACAAACTTAACCTCTTTATAATATTAGTATAGATTTATGTAATCATAAATATATATTTTTACCTAAGACAGTTATTTTGTTACTCACTATGGGCTCGGCTACGGCGACTGGTGCGTGTATTAGCGGCGCATGCGAGTACACCGCTCCGTAATGTATGGGGACTGCCAACGCCATGCTTGCAAAGGATAGCAGAGCCAAAATCTGGAAAGAAACATATTTTTTCTATTTAGATAAACCTTAAAGTTTCATTGAAAAATATTCATAGATGGATCCAGCGGGTTGAGATTTTAGCGTATTTTTATATATACATCGTACCTATATACATATTTCATAAATATATTTGTATTGTACTTAAGAAATACCAAAAAGTATATTGCAAATAAAATTTCATGGGCAAAGGTAAGAAGTAAATGAGGATCTTTTTAAATCGAAGTTCATAATAATTAAAATGGAGAGCAAAATTTTTATAAGAAAACTAGAAGAACCCGCAGCTTTGCTCGCGCTAAAACTACAAAAAAACCTCTAAATGGTAGGTACCTAGGTTTAATACAAACTATCATCCGCTATTTTACCCCCTTATGGAATGAAATTCGAAAAATGCTAAAACACGTATTTAATTAATTGTATTGAAGAGTATTTAGGTATACCAAGTTTCAAGTAATTCTGATCATAAATATTTTTTTGGATTATATTATAACGTGTTTTCCCGTGGGAACGAGATAATCTCCGAAAGTGTGAAAGAAAGACAAACAAACAAACAAACACACTTTCACATTTAAATGATTATTAAAAAAAATATATATGATAACATGAAATCATTAATTATATAAATGATCAATGATATCTCTCACTCACCAACATATCGAAATTTCTAAGATTACTATTGGCTTACACACTGTAGTTTGTCCTGACTGAACGAACAAGGTGTCCTACGTTTATAAGAGAAGGACCCCTCCATCCACCGCGTGTTACACCTGCACTAATACCATTCCCGCGCCGTACTTTTTTAAGATTTCTGATATACGATGGAATTTTTATTACTAAAACTGTAGTGGCTGTTTGTATTGTGTAGTATTTTGTAACTATTACTAAAAAAATAATATTATTTTTTATGTTATTTTCAAATAAATCTCATGTTCAATAGAGAAAAAAACTCACAATAATTTAATTAATCGATCTTCACGATGTATCCATACTTTAATATTGTGAAAGGGTGTTTTTTTTGTTTGTTTGTCCTTCTTTCACGTCGTAACGGAGTGATGGATTGGCGTGATTTTTTCTGTGGAGATAGTTGGAGGGCTAGAAAGTGGCATAGGCTACTTTTCACCGGGGGATATTATCTTATACCCACGGGAAAAAACGTTATAATACAATCCAAAAAATATTTATAATGAGAATTACTTGAATCTTCTTATTAATGCTCTTCAATAAAATGAAATAAATACGTGTATTAACATTTTTCGAAATTCATCCTATAAGGGAGGAAAAAAGGGGATAAAAGTTTGTATGAAACTACATTATTTTCGATCGAGATTTTTTATAGTTTTAGCGCGAGCGAAGCCGTGGGTTCTGCTAGTATATGTATAAATTATATCAAATAATGCTATACTAGAACTTAGTATAATCAAGGTATTTGCTATAATTCCAAATTATTCGCGATTATCTTATAACATAGTTCGCAAATTATTCTGTAAATGATCTGAAAACAACGTATTTTTTCATTCCGCTAAAATAGGAACAATGCTTGTTGGTGATTGTGTTACTACAAATATTCATCCTGTGTAAGAATCGAACGTGTGATATCCAACGTTGAAAGCAACACCAATAAGATGCACCTAACACTGTACCAAGTTTATCAATATTGTATAATTTATTGCCTAACTGCGCCAGAAGGAGGATAATGTTTTTCAAATCTACTAGCATATGTATATATGCTTACATATACTCGTATATCTCTATTCATTTGGCAAGCTCCGTAATACGGCTTTGGTGTCGATAGTCTCTGTTGTAGAGTAAGATAGCCTAAAATGAATTATTTAAATATGCTATCCGGGTAAAAATATTTTATTCCTAAGAGTACCTTATGTGTTACTCAAAATAAATAAATATGTTGTGACATTAACACACAGCACCATCTAATTCCATGGTAAGCTACGAGGCTTGTGTTATGGATACCAGATAGTTAATACACTACATATATATAACTTTAAATACATATTATAAATATAAACACCTATGACTGGAGTACAAATATTCGTGCTCATCACACAAATGAAACCCCCAGCGGGACTAGAACCCGCGACCGCTGGCACAGCAAGCAAGGTCGTATCGTCAAGGTCAACTCCAGGTCATAGTCTATTCGTATATTAAATTTCCCCCAAATCTGTCCAGCCATTTCAATGTTACGGAGTAACAAATAAAACGCTAGTGAATAAATTATTTCAAAAATATTCATATAACAAAAATGCGTAAATATTTTTTTAACGAAGTCGGTTTTTTTTCATTTTATCTACATTAATTGTATATTAAAACATTTTGTGTTACAAAGGAAGATTATGAATTATCTGAATTCGATTTCATACTTCACATGTTTCAAATATCTTTAACATATAATATGTTCATATTATATCCATAAAGTTATAAAATAGAATAAGCTCAACAACATTTCTGTGTTATGAAATTAGTTCAACATTGGTGCATTTGAACGTGGTGCAACCTAAATTCGTAGCTAGATTAACTATCTTAGTGCTTTGCTATACAAGTGTCTGTTCACTGCACTACGTGATTAGCTTTAGAAAAGCTTTTATTCATAAATCATTCGAAAAATATTTTTACAAGCCTTTACCCGCGTCTACGCTCGTATATTTCTTTTACGTATACTGCCCTTTTATTTTTCATTTATATATACTATTTATGTTTCACTACTTAGTGTCGTAGAAAAATATAATAAATTAGTTATAAAATATTAAAATGAAATCAAATCGGCCCCTAGACATTAGAGCGTTCAAACAAAACAAAAATTCTAACAAATAAGCAATCTCATCAGCTTTATAATATAACTACAGATTATTTTATTTTATGCAATTCTTTATTAATTTTTTATGTTACGTTTTTACAATTTTAGGGTATGTATGGCCATTGAAACAGGTATTACACATGTATATATATATATATATATATGTATATATATATACATATATATACATATATATACAGCGACTTATGACGACTTTCCCTTGTCATAGCAATGTTGTTACGTTTATCTATTTTTTCTTTGTCGGTTAATAAAATTATAAACTATTCTCGCAAGCAGAATTAGCCATCCATCTTCATATTCTTACTGTTTACCAAAAAATTTTTGATGGTCACTATGTTGAAAACAATCTTTGACAATGAAATCCAAAATAAAGTATTCTTAAAAAAATTTATAATAACTTATTAAGATTAATACAAAAGCTTTTTTAAAACTTTTCTATTATAAATAAATTTTTTTTTAAGTGCATTGGCGGGGATTTTGTATATTCTCATTTCTTATTTCTTACTACATACCTACCTATAAGAAGGCAAAAATGAAAAAAAAAACAGTTTTTAAAACTAATTGTGAAATTCTATTAATCAAAGTTAATCGTTAGTATTATTAATTTTCTTTTACATAATAATATTATATATGACTTAATCATATTTGTAGTTTGTCTAAATATGCGTATAAACGTGTAGGTAGGTATAACGTGCACTCAACACTCTCGACTTCTTATTATACAAGTACTAAATAACCTGTTAAAGACATTTGTATTTATTTTAATTTTCAATCAAACAGCATATTTTAAACATAACAAAGCCAATTTATGCTATGTTTAATGTACTTATTTATTACAATAAAAGTAATACAAAATATTTACCCATCTACAACATTTATTTTATGGATCGCATAAATAAGTTGGTATTTCATGTTATTACTACGAGGAATTAAAAAAAATAAAAACCGACTTAAAAAAAAACAAAAAAATAACTGATTGGTAGTTTTCATTTACTAAAGATAGCTAATCACTATCAGATATTTTCGAAGTCGATGCCAGCCGATACAAATTAAAGCAATCCGCAATGTTTCTTTTTTTTTGAAGTCGGTGTTTACCGTTTTTTTTCAAGATTTTATTTTTGCATTTTTACCCTATCCAATAACAAAAGAATCATCGAAATCGGTTTACACTGTAAAAAGTTATCGGTGAAACTTAAAAACTCCTCTTTTTTTTCGTCGGTTAATACCTTGCGTCGGAAAATATCCTATATAAGTCAGTGTTGGCTACCCCAAAAATATTATAACATAGAACGTGTGTATCTAAAGTGAATCTTTTATTAAAATATTTTAAGCATAAAGTTTATCCAACGTAAACTACACAAACTAACACATACGTTCAGTAAATCCAATGCACAAATATATATGTGGGTGTAGGTACCGCCGGTTATTTGTTGGCGTATTATATAAGATTTTGTACGATTTAACACTTCAACTGTAAAGCTTATATTCCTTAGAAAATTCTATTATTGTTTCTCATACTTTAAAGATATGTAAGATATTACATAATATATTATATATCATAGTAAATATATATTACATAAGATGTTATTATTTAAACTCTTACGCTTATAAGTACTTAGGTGAAACTTACAGTGATGGTTAGACTATATTCTGAACAATCACTAATTTTATATATAAAAGCTATTACTTCTTCTTTAACTTGATTAGAGCTTATGAAATTTTGTAAAAAGACCTATCAAATCTAATTACCTACCTGTATATGTAGGACAGGACGTAATATGTTATATAAGAGAATGATTGAAACCCTTCGGACAGATACATTTTGTAAATGATTATATAACAGCACATATCAAGTATCCTTATTTCAAAATATTAAATGTTTATTAGAATTTAAATAAAAATAATACGTATATCAAATTAGTGTTCGGAAGACGAAGCGTGAGCAGGCCTCCCACAAGGTGCACCGACGACTTGGTTAAAATAGCCCAAGTCCACTAGATGCGGAAGGCACAAGGCCGGTTGTCATGGAAATTTTTGGGGGAGGCCTACGTCCAGCAGTAGACGTATGTGAGCTGAGACGACGAAATGAGTGTCCTAAAAATATCGGCCAAACATATTTTATACGCATACCCCTATTAATCCCTAAACGACCGCGGATACGCCGGCGTGTCAGTTAACAATAGATTTCTTAGAATTTTAATTACTTTCTTAGAAATTTATCTGGAGGTGTTAAAGTAAATTGATTAATTCTTAAAATTTCAAGATAATCCGCCTAACTCGAAACAATTAATTCACAATATACTTAGAAAATTATATAATTAAAGTTTTCTAAAAAACTTGAGAAAATATTTCAGACACACTACATTCAGATTGTTTATATAGGTCTTCGAAAAGACCTATAAAATCAATCTGTATGACCTAATCCTAGTTATTTTTGTTAGTCTTCATACACAATAGGTGGCATTGCCTATTTTATTTTATAAAAAAATAAACTAAAATATGTAAAATATAGCAAAATGCAAAACAAATAGTGACTAACCGTATATAAACCTGGTAAGCAATTCATTTAATACAAATAGTGCGATGTATGTTTGAATACACAATACAAGCTTATTGCCTAATGGCTGTTTTTAAAACAGTCGTACGGAAATCTGACTTCAGGTCGTATTGTTTTAAAACAGCCGTACGGAAATCTGACTTCAGGTCGTATTTTTCTTAATTATTTAAAAAAAATATATGGCATTTTGAGAACTATTTTTAACATTTATTATCTTTGCAACAATATTCCCCTATAGGTATTTATTTTAACTTATTTACCACTACAAACATAAAGTGAATAAAGTTAGTAGCTACAAACATTTTTTATTCTTGTTGATTTTGTGTTAGTTCAATAACTCATTCAATAGAATTTGACTTGTTGCACTACTGTCGCAATGTAACTTTCTCTATTTAGATGTTTAAGCACTGCTCTACTTGCACACCCACAGTAATTATGATACAACGTATTAGTGGTGTGACTGATATATTACTATGCTCTAAGATATTAGTAATCTTGAAGGATCTGTGTAATAGTAATCTGACAAACTCAGATATGCTAATATATCATACTAGCATTGCCCGCGGCTCCGCCCGCGTTCAGATACCAAAACGCTAATTCTTAGATTTTACATAGTTCTTAGTATATTCTTACAATGTAGTTTTTGTATTTTTTCTCAGAAATGAGATATTTTCTCGCGGTAAAAAGTATCGTACATGTTGACCCGGATAACCAGCTATCGCCATATCAAATTTCATCAAAATCCCTCCAGTGGTTTTTCTGTGATGCGGTAACAGACAGACAAAAATTCTAAAAACTATAGATTCGGCCTCTGTATCGATAATAATGTCTATTTAATAAGATTTTCCAAAAAATATTTAATATACAGATTCGGCTTAGTTACAATTTTATTATATGTATAGATTCACTTAATCTCTGTAATAACCATTCAAAATAAATCGGATAATATCGTCATTGTCAGTAAGAATTCTCGGATTCGTCAAGGGAACGTCAAGCAAAAAATAATCTTATTACTAGCTAATACGATCTTATTGTACCTACACATTCATTTATTACTATGGATGACAAATAAGATTTTTTCCGAATATCACAGATAATATTACTATACTATGTAGTTCCAATATAAAATACTTAGTTACAGGCCTACTTCAAGTAATATTGAACAGAAGTACAGTCTACTGTATTCTTGTTCAATACTCTCTCATTCTCTAAAGTGACACACCTGAGATAAATATCACTATTTTTGAAGTATTAGATTATTAGTATTAGTTACAATATTATAATATTGCAAGACGAATATATTAATATTACCGAATCCTGAGAAATATCGGTACTAACCCATGTCTACAACTTATTAACAAAGTATATTTTCCACCTCGATTATAGATCATATACCCATATGATGATGCAGACATTTATTACAATCTATGTCCTTCATTCAGACTAATTAAAAATAACTTAAAGTAATATACTAACAAAATCCTAGACATACCAATCCAAATCAAACTCGATAGCAATTTTCAAATAAAATGCGTTATTGCTGTTCCTAAATGAGGCATTTTATATGCTTTATGGAAACTTGTAGCGTTTATATATCAACAAAATGTTTAAGAAATGCTACACATGATATATATGAAAAATTATTAGGTACATATTTAGATATTTTTTCGTAATAAAACTGTAGACACATCTGTTCCACCCAAATAGGTGTATGTATTACAAAGTGGAAACGATTGCTTGTTTTATCGTTTCATGTTTGTAGAATCACTAATATATGAGAAACACCCTATTTAATAGAAGAAGGTTATAGAGTATGGAACATCAGGTACAATTAATTTTACATAAATAAACTACACGAGCGGACTAGCAAATAAGAGCTAGTGGTAACTGGTATATAAAAGAATTACCGATATATCATCCATACTAATATTACAAATGTGAAAGTGTGTTTGTTTGTCCTTCTTTCACATCGAAAAGGAGTGACGGATTGGCGTGTTTTTTTGTGTGGAGATAGTTGGAGGGCTTGAGAGTGACATAGGCTATTTTTTACCGCGGCACATTATCTCATTCCCACGGGAAAACACGTTATAATACAACCCAAAAAATATTTGTCGTCAGTATTACTTGAAATTTGTTATTAATGTTCTTCAATACAATTAAATAAATACGTGTTTTAGTTCAAAATTTATCCCGTCCCGGGGTACAATAGAGCATGAAAGTTTACATGAAACCTACATTTTTAGAGATATTTTTCTAGTTTTAGCGCGAGCAAAGCCGCGGTTTCTACTAGTATTATTATATATCAACACCTTAAGCATTATTTTCTTGACATTGAAAATCAAAAATCATTTATTATGCTATAAATACGCGTGTCATTTATTTAAGTAGAATAGAAGAAAATTATATAGACCGTGTGATTGATGACCACTATTATGGTGTAAAGAAAAAATATAGATATGAGACATATTTTTATTTATTCGTTCTTTTAGTACCTATATCTGTAAGAAAGAGAATTCGTAATAATATCTGTAAGAAAGAGAATTTTGGTTATTTATTATAATTACGTCATTTATTTATTTATGCTTTCAATTTACTAGTATATAAATATATCGTACTTATTTGGGTTAATTTAAGAGTAAATAAAGAAGTTGGAAGCAGTTAAAGTCACGGTAATTGATCATCAATTGTAACGCCCTAGAAAGTTTTTTATGAGATTATTTCTTATAGTGTAGTAAAAATAAACAATACCATGCCACTGCAAATAAAGAACACATCACGCGTTAAATCATGTTATATTTAGCTGACAAGTGGTGTGCATGCATAAACAAAGGCCCATCATCCGGCCATCTGTTGGATTTCGCATACTGCGGTACTGTCGGTATTGATGGCAAAATTATTTACATTTTTAGACGCAAGTCGTTTTAAAATTTCATTTTAACTATCAAATATAATGAGATAATAAAACGTGTATTATCTCTTAAATCAAAATAAGCGAAAATTTTAGTTTGATATTTATTTGAAACTAGCATTGCCCGCGGCTCCGCCCGCGTTCAGATGACCAAAAAGCAAATATTTAGGTTTTACATATTAGTATACTTTTACATTGCAGTTTTTGTATTTTTTCTCAAAAATGAGATATTTATCCGCGGTGAAAAGTATCCTATATGTTGACCGGGACAACCAGCTATCACCATATCAAATTACGCCAAAATCCCTTCAGTGGTTTTTCTGTGATGCGGTAACAGACAGACAGACAGACAGACGGACGGACGGAGAAAGTCACAGAAAAAAATTCTAAAAACTATAAATTCGGCCTCTGTATCGATAATAATGTTTATTTCAATAACATTTTCCAAAAAATGTCTAATGTACAGATTCGGCTTAGTTACAATTTTATTATATGTATAGAAGATATATAATAGTGTAAAGCGAGTGGATGTCACACCTTTTCCTATGCACCGGAAGTAATAATCGAGATGCCTCCTTAGATGCCTAACAATACCCGATAACGAAATTCATCGGCCATTTTGTGTATTTTAATAAAAATTAATACGATTTGTGAGAATAAACATACTTTTATCGGAATAAAAAATAACATATAGCACTCGGTGGTTATATAATTTCGTATAAGTCGAGATTACAATACAAACAAACTTACAAACCTCTACCTCTTATAATATTAGCGTAGATTTGTAGTTTACAAACTACAATTTGAAATCTCAATTTAGAGTATTTACAGTGTTTGATACTTAATGCGATAATAAGTACAGTTATGACGAGTTTTGTTCTATTCATGTAAATTAGAACGTTTTGACTTAGTAAGATTATTTCAAAGGTGACTTCATTTATCCCATATGTTTAACTGATCAATATTTTACCTCCAGATCGTGCTAAACAATACGTTTAAACTAAACATTTTTATATTAGCCATAATCTAAACATCCTCATGAAGTAAGTACCCACTAAGTACTTATAGCTAACGATACCAAAAGTACCTGAGCAAACAATTCAGAGCATCGCGGCCTACTGAGCGCCCGTTTCTCCATCGATATGGGAAGTGCGTTATTTATTTATTTCTGTCAACCTGAACAATCGCGTTTAACATAGTGCCAAAGTAGACACCGTATTGATCACACTGCATACATAAATCGATTGATTCACATATCGGTTAATGCGCGCCAATTTACCTCTAGCTGCACATGGAGTTCGGTTGTCACGACAAGGACTCCGGCGAAGTGGAGTGCTACTTCGAAATACGTAAATATCTGTAAACGAAATTAATTGAAAGATTTATCTTATTATTTCAGATTTTAGAACATTCGCATTGTAATTTATATTTTTAGTGTGAATGGTGTTGTTTTTGGGTCGCGTAAACATGCGCTCCCCTGTCAGTAAGTTAGTCGGGATGTCAGCGCAGTCTGTGAATGTTAGCCGAATTAAACGCGTTATGAGCGATTATTGTTATCTTTGTAACGCGATCGAGTACCGGGTTAAAGCATAGTTCACGATGCAAACTGAATTAAGATCGGTGAGCACTCGTCGTGATAACGTACCCAGTCGTAAGTAATTGTAGATGAGTGCACAAATTATGTAGAAAAATATAATACGAAATTAATTCATGAATTTAAATATTCTAGATTGTGATACGGGTACGACTTGCGCTATCACGATACAAATGCGTAAGTATTTTGACGCCAAAATGCAATTCATGATAAATAACATAATATTACAAAATATAAACAATAATAGCTTTCGCTTGAAAAATTTCGGTCTCAAAAGCAAGAGAATTAAGCTTCACAAAATTTAATATATTCATGCTATTAGTTGACGCCAAATATATCTATTTATCCCTTAAAATGTATCTATATACTAATCGAGTCACATAATACCTACCTAAATTCTCAGAAAATATTTTATAAAACATTAATCACCAATGTAAATATTTATTTCTTATTTTTTATATGTAACAAGACATACAATTTACAGATATTTTTAAACGTTTTTCAGCAAACCCTGAAGCAGTAGGATGCGTCGAAAAATGTGCGATTTTTTTTTCTTATCTTCTAGTTATTATAACTCTTCCATTTTCATTGTTAGAATGTTTTAAGGTAAAATTTTTGAGTTATTCTAAATGATTACATTTTTTTTTCGTAAACAAATAATAAAATAATGTTAATTCTCTTTTAGGTGGTACAAGAATTCGAACGTGCTGTCGTTTTTCGCTTAGGTCGATTACGAAAGGGAGGAGTAAGAGGTCCTGGACTCTTTTTTGTACTGCCCTGTATTGATACATACAGGAAAGTCGACCTGCGAACAGTGTCTTTCGATGTGCCTCCTCAAGAAGTATGTATAATGTATATATACATATATATATATATATATATCACGTCCGTGTTTTATCAAATTAAGTTTTAGAATCGTATCGTTTCAGTGAATTTTTAAGATACACAAAAATTAAAATATCCCTTTTTACGGTATAATTTATAAGTAACGCTCAGACTTATATTGGTGTGATTAAAACGAGTAGTTCGCTACTAATATAAATAATAAAATTTTAAAATATATAACAAATCTATAATTCACCTTAAAACATTTTTACGAAGTAGATATCTATTCCATTAGTTAATTATAGAGAATAAGTGATGCGCGACATAAAGATACCACTGCTTAGTCAACACAATGTTCTTAAAAAGATAATAATGTAACGTATATAAAAATGATTTATTTTTCATATTCTTCCCGTAGACATAAATAACCTATAACCTTTAGAAAAACCATGTTTTAACACTGAAGATTTCGCTTATTTAAACTATATTTCAAGCAAGATGCCAAGAAAATATACTTTTATATTTAAATAGTTAATCCTACAATACATAACAAAGAACACATGGCTACAAACAAAAGCGATTCGAAATTGGCAATGGTATTGAAAACAGTTAACCCAAATGCTGGCTATTCATTTCGCTTTTAATTGATGTTCCTATAAACTATCAATCACAGTTTTACGACATACAAACAATTATTTCTTGTAAACCAGTTGTCTAAGCCCGTGTACCTCATAACAGAATTATTTCCAACCTATATAACGCAGCCTAAGAAAATTCAATAATATTATAAAAATAAGTAGCTATGATTTACGCCCATTTTTTCAGCAACTTAATTGCTAGTAGTTTTAAAGATAAATAAATGTACTTATCAAGATATTGATGATTTTCTAACCGAGCCTTTTTCTTTGCGGTCTAGAGTATATAATACATATAATAAAATTGTAACTAAGTCGAATCTGTACATTAAATATTTTTTGGAAAATCTTATTGAAATAGACATTATTATCGATACAAAGGCCGAATCTATAGTTTTTAGAATTTTTGTCTGTTTGTCTGTTACCGCGTCACGAGAAAATCACTGGACAGACTTTGATGAAATTTGGTATGATTGGCTGGTTATCCTGGTCAACATATAGGATACTTTTTACCGCGGGAAAATATCTCATTTCTGAGAAAATATACAAAAACTGCATTATTACAGTATACTAATATGTAAAACCTAAGAATTTGGTTTTTGGTCATCTGAACGCGGGCGGAGCCGCGAGCAATGCTAGTATGTATAATAAACACAAAGACGAAACAAAATTTTCTCGACATTTAAAAAATAAATAGCATTTTCGACTTTTAAAATAGGAAAATAGTTATTGATTTACAATTTTTTTCGTGGGGCATAAAGTAAAATAGATATATTATTTTTTAGTATTTAAATGATTCCAAAATTCTTAGCCGTTTAGAAACAGTAGGAAAGGCAAGTCAAAAAAATACCATTTTTTTGAAATAAAAAAGTAATAGATATTTTCGTCCCACGAAAAAAATGTTCAAATGAAAATATTGTTTAAGAGTTGATGATTCACATATATTTTTTTCAAGCATTTCGGTCAAGCCATAAACGAGAAGTACGCTTTAGAAAGTAGCTCTTTGCTAGCCCTTGAGGGTACTAATCGCCTTAAGTGTTGATTACCTCAACATTTTTATATTACTTTTTTTCCACATCGTCTTATCCACATCCATGGTCACAGTTCAGCGTCGTTTTGTCCTCACAAGGGAAAAATAATTTGATCCTTGCTGAAATTGAGTTAAAAATAACAATTATTTGTCATTAAGGTTGAACTTTCTCAAAATCTACACATTCTGGTATGTAATGAAGCCCACAGACCTGAGTCAAGGGTACCTACTTCATTGAAATTATTAGATTATTCTATTAACAGCTTCCTGTTGAAAAAAAATTTCGGGAATTTTACTATACGGCATGTATTTAACATGGTTGCTTTTTGCCTAGTATGTGGTTTCAGGAATGCTCTGCGCTTTGTGCTGGAGAGCTCCAATGGCGCAACGCGCCTGCTGTTTTCATATTCCAGATTCTAATTATTTCTACCTTAAGTTACGTATATTTATGTAATAACAGTTATTATTATTAACATCATCATTATTTGTGTTTCTTTGCAATTCATGGGCTGGAAGGAGACCGGTTCTTTGGAAGGCTCGCGTAGGGATACAGGTTCAGGTCCCTTAAGAGTTTCAAGTTTTTTTTAATGTGACGCATCAGCCAGGATCGATCTCTGAGTAACCCATTAGAAAAAGCCCAAAGATGGTCTCCGACTAATGCGTAGGGACTATGGAAAAATAAATTTTGTTATTGATCATTATCATTATTAAGTAATAATGAAGATAAAGAGAAAAGATTTAATGTAGTTGAAAAAACTTCTGTCTTTACCTTCATTCTGTCGAGTATATGGTATACATATTAAAAGTTTCATCTTAAAGCACCTGTTTTATATCATAAAATAATAGACAGTGTTTATACATGCCAAATTTTACATCTAGTTTTAGCGTTTACGCTAACAGTTGCGACCTCATTTTAACGCACGAATTATACTTATAATTTGACTAACGACTTACCCTCGCTCCCTTCGGGTTCGTCCCCTTACATTTTAATGTTTAGTATAGAATTCTCAGAGATGAGATATTTTTCCCGCAGTAATAAGTATCCTATACGTTATCCGGGTCGACACCCGGATAAATACTACCTAGTTTGACCGCGCTTCTAAAACAGAGACGTTTGCGCTGGCTCGGGCATGTGCACAGAATGGAACCTTCTCGATTACCACGACGTGTACTTCTTGGTGCGATTGCGAACGCAAAAAGAAACGTAGGGAGGCCACTGCTTCGCTTTAAAGACTGCGCCAAGAGAGACATGGTTACCTTTAAAATTGACCACCGAAACTGGGAAAGACTTGCAGAAAATCGAACGGAGTGGCGCAAAAGTATTATGGAGGGTCGCAAGTTCTGCGATGAGACCGGGTTCGCGGCACTTGCTGACAAGAGACAAAGACGACGCCAAGGCGGCTCAGTACCATCCGTCGCAAACTTCTCCTGTCAGGTCTGCGGTAGGACATGTAGCTCTCGCATCGGTCTATACAGCCACCAAAAGAGGTGTATCTCCAACATTGCACCATAAATCGTCTGGAATAGACGCAAAGGCCTAGTATATATATCCGGGTGTCGACCCGGATAACCAGCTATCACCATACCAAATTTTATCAAAATTCCTCCAATGGTTATTCTGTGATGCGGTAGCAGACCGACAGACAGACAAAAATTCTAAAAACTATAGATTCGGCATCTGTATCGTTAATAATGTTTATTTCAATAAGATTTTCCAAAAAATATTTAATGTACATATTCGGCTTAGGTACAATTTTATTATATGTATAGATTTATTGCTTATCTATCGATTTCTGCAGTTTATTCGAGGATAGAAAATTTCACCCTCGAAAAGGTGACATTCACCCATAGTGTGAAAGCACACCTCGGCACCATATGAATTTTAATATTTGGACTATTACATACTCTCAAATTATCAAGTCAATCGGTTCAAAGAATTCTCAGATAAAAACTTTCTATAAATGGATTAATAAGAAAATGAACCTTCATTAAATAATATTTTAGACATGTATATTCAGTCAGAATTAAATTATAGATACTATACGAAGGTAGAACCTCTGAAGATAGAATTCTGCGAATTCATCTATTTAAATTAATTATATTCACGACAAATATATTATTATTTTAGGTACTAACAAGAGATTCAGTTACGGTGGCAGTGGATGCAGTAGTGTACTACAGAATAAAGGAGCCTCTGAATGCCGTGGTCAGAGTTGCAGATTATAGGTCAGTTTTGACCACGTTAGTTGTAAATGTAATATTATATATATAATATATAAAATTTCCATGTCACAATGTTAGTTACCGTACTCCTTCGAAACGGCTTTACCGATTTTTACCAAATTTTATATGATAAAATAACTACTAACTATGGAGAAAAACATTTCGACAAAACGTTTGAGAGAACTTAAAATAATTTGGGATGAATATACCAAAAACATATATCGTAAAATATGATCGATTTTATGAAAGCAAGTTTTTTTTAGAAAATAATAAAACAAGGTATAATATAAAATAATAATAAATAAAACGTTTGCAGTGCCTCAACTCGTCTTCTAGCAGCAACGACTCTACGAAACGTGTTAGGTATGCGTGATTTAGCACAACTATTATCTGACCGTGAGGCCATCAGCCACATGATGCAGGCTAACCTTGACGTCGCCACTGACCCTTGGGGAGTCGAAGTAGAGAGAGTCGAAATGTAAGATATTAAGCTAATTTTATTACTGTATCTGTATTTATACTCCTTACTCCTTAGCAAAAACATAAATGCGAAAGTGAGTTTCTTTATTCACTTGTCTGTATTATTGTACGACTATTTTCGTTCACTGGCCATCTTCTCGCCGTGACTGATTATGATGAAAGGCTAGTGTATAGGGTGTTTAACGCATGTTATTTATGGCAGTCAATTGAAATATGACACTACTATTATACATGCGAAAGTTTGTATGTGTTTGCTAGAGTAAAAACGGCTGAACAGATTTGGATGAAATTTAGTACACAGGTACTGTTAAGCACCTGTAATGTAAATATAAACTAGAAGGCTTTACCTATTACAACTTCACTTCTTTACTTAACAACAAAATTATCCGTTTATCCGCTGCTTATATCCATACTTCTATACTAATATTATAAAGAGGTAAAGTTTGTGAAATTGTGACGTGTATGGGGTAATCACGGAAATCATCCCTTAAGGGGATGAAAATGGGGAATAAACGTTTGTAAGGGGAATCAAGGCACGCATGCATACGAGCGAAGTAAGGGTGAGTCGCTTATATATTATATTTAAATACAAAATTGTAGATTAAAAAAGGTTTATAACTTATTTTACAGTAAAGATGTCCGTCTACCAGTACAATTACAAAGAGCGATGGCCGCTGAAGCAGAAGCCGATAGGGAGGCTCGAGCAAAAATTATTGCGGCGGAAGGAGAGATTAAGGCTTCCAAGGCTTTAAGAGAAGCATCTCTTGTCATGATTGACAACCCCACTGCTCTACAAGTAATAATTAATATAAAATTACTTTTTACACATAATATATTTTTGCTCTTATTTTTAATAAAGTACTTAATTCATTGAAAATCCTAATTAATTTAAAAACCATAAATTACCATATTTAGCTATTTCATAAGAATATGTTTCGGGTATTTATTTTTAATTTATTATTGTTAGTCATACTAGTACTATTACATTTTTAATAATAATATTATCAAAATATATTATAACGTATATAAAATTCAATTTTAGTTGCGGTATCTACAGTCACTTAACACAATATCTGCAGAGAAAAGTTCTACAATCATCTTTCCCTTCCCAATGGATTTCCTCAAAACCTTCTTATCTGGAACTAGCCACAGCATTCCGCCGTCACCATTACCAATTTAAAAAAAAAACAAAGTAGATTAAGTATATAGAAAAAAAATTAAAAGTAAGAAATATTAAAGGTATTGTGTAAAATAGACTTATAATAAATATTTTCATAAATAAAATTGGCTCTATTATTTTTATATCAAAAAGTAATAATATGTGTTCTTAAAATATCAGAACTTTATGCCATTATGTATTTTGTTATCTATGGTCTTCATATTGAATATTTGAACGTCAAGACGGAAATTAAAAATAGCTTTATTTACATCGATCAAATAAGTACTTTTTGATCGATGATTATATATTTAACTCCATTTTTGTTAAAATATATTTTAATGATAAATGGCTTAAAGTATAAAAAATAATACTTTGATCGTATCACATTTTATGACATATAAAATTATGGATAGTAGATCAAAAATAGACTTAATTGGTACGAGATTATGCAAATGTATTCTTATAATATTGAAGATTTACTTATTTTTTAATTATTCTGTTACAGAAATCAAACATGAAACGTTAACAGAAAAAATAGTTCGAATACTAGTACTGTTAATTATAGTATTATGTCCTCTCTCTTTATTAATTTGCTTCAGGGTAAGAAAGTTGTTGTAATATTTCATTGGTTTCACACTAACAGAAGTCATCACAGAGTTTGACGACACATTTGGCTCAGTTTGTAGTGACCCTACTTGCATTGCCAGCGGTCGCGGCTTCGAGTCCCGCTGGGGCATTCATTTGTGTGATGAGCAGGAATGTTTGTACCCCAGTCATGGGTGTTTATTTACATGGGTGTTTATGTACATATTTATAATATGTATGTATTTAAAAGTTATATATGTGTAGTGTATCAACTATCTGATATCCATAACACAAGACTCGTAGCTTAGCTGTGTATTAATGTCCCCAACATAAAATAAAAAAAGTTGCATTTCAATTCACAACCTCAGTTTTCAGCTTCTGCTCTGTGGATAATTAAAATATATTGTTTGATTGCTAGGTTGTGAAACAATATAAAAGAGCTGTAATTTTGCGATTCGGCAGAGTAAGAAGTGATTCTCCCGCCGGACCTGGTATTATTTGGGTAGTTCCGTGTACAGATAGCGTGATGTTCATCGATCTTAGGACACAGTCTTTCAATTTACTGCCTCAAGAGGTATTATATTATATAGTCATTTTTTTTTATAAACATAACATAGTATTTTCAAAAGAGGTTGTTCAAGCTCATCTTAGCTAAATCGCATTCCGAATGGATGGTATCTTCCCGACGGAGTCACGCCACTAAACCTATTTTATAAAAAAATTATTAACTTCATTAAATTTATAAAAATCTAATTAACGATTTTCGTTTCTGATTTTGTAATTTCTAATGAATGTACTAAAATCTATACCTACTATACCTATTCATATTATACAAATGCCCGTCCTAAATATAGCTATGTTTCGTTTCCTTTATATTTTAGTAATATTTTATTTAAATAAAAGGCAGTGGTGGCCCAGTGGTAACGCGCTCGCTTGGAAAACCGAGTGAAGCGGGTTCAAATCCCGGGTCGCGCACCTCTGATATTTTCATGTGCGAATCATTTCTAACATGATTATCACTTGCGTTACGGTGAAGGAAAACGTCGTGAGGAAACCTGCATGTCTGAGAAAACCTAGTAAGTTTTCGAAAGACATGTGAAGTCCGCCAACCCGCATTTGGTGAGCGTGGTGGACTATGGCCTTATCCCCCTCGTACTGCAAGGGGCCCCGTGCCCAGCAGTGGGACGTTAAAAAGAGCTGAATACATACAATACAATATTTTATTTCAGATACTTACAAAAGATTCTGTAACTGTCACAGTAGATGCTGTGGTTTACTTTCATGTTTTGAAACCGCTACATTGTTTACTAAATGTACAATCGCACAAGTAAATATTATAAATAATTTTGTCAAGAATAATACATGTATATTAATCGCCAAATAAAGAGGCCTAATATTATTGCAGGCATGCCACAGAATTGTTGGCTATTGCTATTCTAAGAAATATTTTAGGTCAGTACACGTTAACGGATTTGTTGACAAACCGTGAATCAATTAGTCACGCGGTCCGAAGAGAAATAGATAAAGGGACAGCTGAGTGGGGCGTCGAGGTGGAACGAGTGGAAATGTAATAATTTCATCGTGGAAGTTTACTTGACCTTCAGTAAAATTACTCAAATATTAAACGCGTTTCAGTAATAAAACATTGTTAAAATAACTTAAAAATGTCATATACAGACACATATTACATATCATATATCATAGTTACATGTACAGTATAATGTCATTGTTTTATTGTTTTACGTAGAAAAGATGTGATTCTGCCTTTTGAATTACAAAAAGCAATGGCCGCCGAGGCTGAAGGCACACGTATTGCTAAAGCAAAAATAATAGAGGCCGAAGGTGAAATTAAAGCTGCCGAAAATCTAAGAGACGCTTCAAAAATTATGATGGAACAACCACAAACAATACTAGTAATTGTACATTTATATTGCAATATTTATGTTCTCCATTATTTGTAAACTTAAAAAAATATATTTTTTTTAGCTACGGTACTTGCAAACGCTAAACTTCATTGCCTCTCAACAAAAAACTTCTATAATATTTCCGTTCCCTATTGATATTCCGGAGCAGAAAACGTTTAATTAAATGACATATAGTATATAAAACTCCTTACTTAAATTCTTCTGCGTAACAAAAGTAATGACAGTATAAGTCACTCAAAGCTTTAATATCAACCTCAAGAGTATTTAGTCTTTATAGTTAAATATTTTAATTAGTAAAAAATATACAATATGACCGAAAAAGAAAATAAAAAATATACTAAAGCAAACAGAGATAGGCCACCTGATAAGCAAAACCAACCGCCTTTACCTCGTACCACCGATGCTGTGTTAGAAAGAAATTCTCAAGAGCTTCAAAATTCAAAAGCTAGCTCCCACATAAGAATACCACGAATGCAAAATGAAAGAGGTAAATCATATAATGCCAATATATCAGATTATAAATAAGAAATATCTCTCGCTTAAATAAAAAAAATATATTTATATCTTCACAGAAAGTGATAAATGCATTGAAAAAGTAGTGATACTTATATCAATTATTTTGGTTGTCTTAACACTGCCACTGTCATTGCTCTGCGTCTTCATGGTTTGTTGGTTTTTTAACGTTGCGAGTAGTAATACAAATACAAAGTGTACCAAAAGTAACGCAACAATATAGTTAGTATAATTTTAATTTAAAAAAACACGTGATACACCCGGTAATAATAATAATATCATGTTCAATTTTGATGTTATTGTGAATATGCATGTGCGCAAAGCATTCTATTCCTATTACTATCTAAGACGTGTTTGACGACACGTTTGGCTCAGTTGGTAGTGACCTTACTTGCTGTGCCAGTGGTCGAGGATTCGAGTCCCGCTGAGGGCATTCGTTTGTGTGATGAGCACGAATGTTTGTACTCCAGTCATGGGTGTTTATATTTATAATATGTATGTATTTAAAGTTATATATGTATAGTGTATCAACTATCTGGTATCCATAACACGGCCTTTGTAGCTTACCATGGAACTAGATGGCGCGGTGTGTTAATGTCCTTACATTTATTTATTTAACATTTATTTTATTTAAGACCACTGATAACGATACTTCCTCAAAACCGGTGAGAGATCGGGTGTAGGACTTATAGCTGAAGGTGCTTGCCGAATTACGATGATAACACCACTAATTTCCCACTGGCCTGCTATGAATTTTTTAACAGAGAAAAATATCTTGAATATTTTTACAGCCATATAGGTATGCTAACCATTAGACCAGCGAGGCAATATACAGTATAGGGTTTCTTATATGCTTAATGACCTGCACTGTGTTGCTTGTGCACATGCATAAGTTTTACTTTTGGGACGCTATACACATGTAATTATTATCATAACATAATATTATTAATAAACTTTTCAGGCTGTCCGTCAATTCGAAAGAGTAGTCATACTCCGAAATGGCAAAGTTTACAAAAACCGTGCTTTTGGCCCGGGTCTCGTCTCGTATTTGCCTTGTGTAGATACTGTAAAATTTATTGATCTACGCACAATCGTTTACGCTGTTCCTCCTCAAGAAGTATAATACAAATAATGATTAACAAAAATAATTCAATCAAAATAATAAAGTATAATTGGGTACCATAAAATTTTCCTCCACAGGCGCTAACCAAGGATTCACTAACAGTTTCAGTAGATGCCGTAGTATTTTATAAAATATTCGATCCTATACACGCTGTTATAAACGTAACTCATTACAAGTAATCTTTATTATTATTTTAAGAACTTTCATTTTATGTATGACTTTAGTCAATTATGTTCAGCTTAAATATTATGAGGTATTATAAAATTATTATTTATTTAGTAAAACAATGTTTTCCTAACTAAATTTTGATCACGGTCGCTAATCTCACTGGACTGATAAAATAACTAAGACAGCCTAGTGGGAGTTAATATAGTGCACTAGTATATGTAGGGCAGTAGTATGTCAGGGCCAGAATCAACATTAGCGCCGCCCCTGGGCATAGAAAATAATGCCGCCTATTATCGAAATTTTATATAAAATTTGTATAGTTTTGATAAAGTTTTTTTTTTAAATATATATTCAACTTTTCTAAAAATTTACTGGTTAATTTTTTTTATAATCATTTTTTGGACAATACAGAAAGCGTTTTCGAGAACGCGAAGAGAATTTTTTTCCCATCCTCCGAAGTTTGCCGCCCTTAAAAATTTGCTGCCCTGGGCACTAGCCCCAAGTACCCCAAGTGTTAAATCCAGCGCTGTGCAGTGTGCACTGTGCACAAATATAAGTAATATCTCAAGTTTACTCTATTACTGTAATAGTCAATATGACGAACTAAAACAAGTGCATTGTGCAAAGAGATCTGATGCAGAGATCCTAGGCTTTAATTGCGTGTCAGGGATGTCTTAGATTTACGAGTAACATCACCAACCTTATCTTGTACAAAACATTGTACATGTAAACGTTGTTAGTGATTTTTTTAAATACAAAAACCCATTAACTATGTATTTTAGCTTGATCCGAGATTTGATAGCATTTTTACTGGTAGATGCTTGTGAGGCTACATATTATGTATAGTTAGTTTGATCAGAACCTAAAAGTAAGTCTAGAAGAAAGCAATGGGAAATATATGAACTTAGAGGAATATAAATAGTTCTTTCCTTTATAAAAATCAATGCAGAAGTATGTATTGGTCTATCTTTCTTTTTGTAATCTATACTAATATAATAATTTCTTTTACCACTACAACTTACACATATCTCAGGTACTAATGAAATCAATTATCGTTTTCCTATTTAGATCCTCCACACAATATTTGGCAGCCACAACACTTCGCAATGCACTTGGAACAAGGAAACTTGCAGAAGTACTAGCTAATAGACCAGAGGTCAGCCGTCAGGTATTTGAACTGATGAAGAATATAACAAGAGAGTGGGGTGTCCAAATTGTCAGAGTAGAAATGTAAAGAATTTAAATATTTTTTCTAATTTTATTGTCTTCAAATGAGAGCACTTTGAGAAACTTTTTTCTTTGGCTTTCGCATGCATACAAACAAAAAAAGAAACATGCATTTTGATGCATATTTTTTTGTACATTTTATGCCTGACTAAATATAAGATGTTTTATTTCGTTAAGATCAATATCGGAGTAACGAAGTATACTCATATCGTACGTACCGCATCAAGAACTTGTACAATATGAGAGGGAGATTTCTTACCAACAATTTAATCTTTTTAACTATTGGTATATCTAATACCTATTTATACTTTTTAATATTAGATATCACACAGAATTTACTAAGCTAGGTTTTTTTCTTAATGATACTTTTAGACCACTTAGCCTAGCCTACTTTCTGACAGTTAAGAAGTTTACTGTCGGATATAAGTATGTCGCAAAATATTATGTTAGTGCGCCTCGCTTGATCAAAGTTGGCTGGTCGCCTATATATTCTCTCAAACTTTCGTAAAAGAGATGATTGGACCGCTCCCAAGACGGAGTGAGAATGGTCGGCGAAATTTGGAAAGAATTGCATTATAACGATGGACATAATTTATCTTATATCCCAAACCCACTTACCACACGAGCTACAAGAATAAACTATAACAAATATAATAAATAACCTTCCTTTGGGCTTCGCCGCAGTCAGGTAATAAAGTTATCGACCTTTTTATAATTTCGTTTTACGTCTATATTGAATAAATTACAGAAAAGATATTCGACTGCCATTGCAATTACAAAAGGCAATGGCAGCTGAGGCCGAATCGACGAGATTGGCAAATGCAAAAATAATCGTTGCAAAAGCAGAAATCGAATCAACGAAAAACCTTCAAATGGCCACAGTTATTCTAATGGACAATCCTATGTGTATGCAGGTTCGTGCTGATTTCAAACAACAATTTTAAATTTCCTTAATTATTTAATTATATTCTATTCAAAACGTTAAACATTGTGAATATTAATAAGCTCTTTCCGGTATCGGGCCGGAAATATTCAATTACTACTTAACTGCTTAACTCTCGCAGTTTCCGACGATTTGTTTATCTTTCCCTCAGAGTCTCATTGGAAATGTGTTTCAGCTAAGATACTTGCAATCATTGCAAACGATCTCAGGAGATAACACACACACTATTGTATTTCCTTTTTCCACGGAACTTTTCAAGAATTATTTTCATAAATGATAATAAATATCGGCCATTACATTATTTTTGTATAATTTAAACAAAATTGATTTTATAAATGTTTATTTTAACGTCATTTAAAATAAATGTAATTAATAAATATATAACAAAAATATTATAAAACTAAAACAAACGTCTTTATTCTATTCATATATAACTAACTATATGACTAGTATTCGTCGGAGTCGTCGTTGGTTTGTTTCTTCTGCGCATATTGTAGAGGATCGTGCGGTTGACCTCCTGGTTTCTTGTGTACTGTCGCCTGAAATCATTTTTTTTTTAAATTGAAAAACGAAAATTTAATTTAATTAATTATTTAAATAAAATTGGTCTGATAAATAGGTACAACTCAAACTTGTGGATCTAGATTCTGAATTCTATAAAAATGAAGTTAGCCCAAAGTTTTTGTATAAAACATTCGTTAGCACTAAGGAATTCATCCACTAAGAGTCTACTTGAGACTGGAAGGTGAAGAATGCTAGGTTTATTTTGGAAGTTAGAAAATTAAAATTTATGATTAAGTTACCGATAATAATTATAATTAACCCGATTGCAAGTTATTTTTAATATACTGGAGTATTTATTAGTTTTAAAGATTTTTTGCCAATTTCAATTATATATGTACGTATTAAAACTATAGAGTGAGTACCTAATAACTACAATACATAAGGTTGTCCTTTAGATTAAAATATATATCAAATCGTAAGAACATAATTTAATTACCTGGAAACCGTTTTTGGGATCAGCTGTGTATTTTACAAGACGTATAGAACCGTCGGGCTCTACCAGGGAGTATTCTCCATGAACTACGTCCCCGTCGCGATATTCTTTATGATCTTGTTGATTACCGCTATGAGGATCTTGGACTCCATAAGCATAATGATAGTCAGGTTTGGCCTGAAGAAAAATTGAAAAAAAAAAACAAAATTTTAGAATTATAATTTTGACCTATTAAAGTTTTATGCTATAATTTCTCTGTTACTCTACTAGAGCATGTAGCGCATTAACTACTACACCGTTCAACCGATTGCCATGGAAAATGTTACATGTAAGTATTGTAATACAGACATTTTTTTTCGTCCATCTGATCCACAGCAGTGCATGGCTTGGTAAACTTTGATATTATTATATAACCTATTAATAATTCAACCTATTAGTAAGTCATAAAATTGTAATAACACAAGCTTAAATAAGTATATAATGTGCAGTTAAAAATATTAAATTTACATACTTTATAATCGACTGTTTTTAAACGATCGTATTTCGCTGCCTCCGGGTCAATTTTTCCCGCTCTGTGGTCATATCCGTAGTCTGCGTGCTGCTGCGCCGGAATGCCTTGCGCCGCAGGGACTTGGACCTCGATTATTTTCCCACTAACTGGACCACTGAATCGGTTGTATGAAAAACCACCCGGTGATTGGTTTCCAAGAACAGCTGACCCTAACGCTAATAACGTAAATGTCTGAAAAAAAAATTAAAATAATATTTAATGCATTTTAATCATGTAAGCCAGGGATATCTGAAAACTACTAAGACGCAACAGTTAAAAAGAAGAGAAAAGGCCGACCTTCACGGTTCATTCGGTCAATAGTACAGTATTACTCAATAGATGGCAATGAAAATTTAAAATAAACAATTTTTATTGCATGGAGTATAATCTACATCCCTTTTAAAAAAAATCATATATAATTGTTAATTTGCGTATAATATATTAGTAGGTACTAGGTACGTATATTATAATTAGTATAAATATTTGACGAAAAAAAAAGTACAGCTTATGAAAATTATATAGGTACCTATACATATGATACCTATGATATAAATATAATTTTATAAACATTATTGTCAAAATAGTACTAAGTTCATATTTAAAAAATTACGACTAAAATGCAATACCTTAAACACGAAAGCCATTTTAATGCAAACAACTATTAAGAATCTCTGCACCGTTGTCCGAGGAACTGATTCTCGCTCAGTCGATATTGTTGGTTTTATACCAGAGCGTTCTTTAAGAAAGTATGGGTAATCACGAACTTATTTAGTTGGTTGCGGCAAACTATGAATCAATAATTTTCAATTTTCAGCTACCTATAGGCCGTATAATTACAATAAATACTTTGTTGCGGTAGATTATATTTCATTATATTGAATCTAAGCACAGATACTTAGTATAAATTAACGTTGTTCTGTATAGATATATGGCCAAAATCAAGATTCTATACAATTCTTGGCTTGAAATTTTTTAGTTTATGTTATGTATGTCATGCGAAATATTTTCTCCGGTGATTTCGTGATTCTTTTTGAAGTGAAAACTTCTATATACAGGTTTGGATGGGGATTAAATTCATCTAAGTCGTCATCGACATAGTCACGTGACGTGTTAACGCTAACACATAAAGTGCCGATACAAGTCAAAACCAGATAAATGTTAACAGTTTTAATTTACAAATTTTAATTTAAGATCAAACAATTAATTTGAATATCCAAAAATAACAACTGTTTGTTTATAGAACAATATGACCAATATGAACAATATGACCACTTCGAATATTGGCGAAAAATTAGACAGTTATCTAGAGTAAACTAGTCTAAGAAGTCTTTTTGTCTATCTAAAGTTTAAATTTCCTAAATTAGAGGAAAAGAGGAAAGGTTGGAAATCTTGGAAGACAGAAACTTACTGGAGGAAGAATTCGTTGAATCAATTAATATTATGTTTATCTAAGTATTGTACTTAACGGGGTTTTTTTAAGTTAAGTCACCTGTAACTATAGGGAGTGTGCACGAACTATAGAGGGTAGCACTTCTGTCGAAAGTAGAGCGCCCTGATGTTAAATAAGAAAAACATAGTGATGTAAGCAGTGTGAACTATATATATAATAAAATTGTAACTAAGCCAAATATTTATTGGAAAATCTTATTGAAATTGACATTATTATCGATAAAAGGGCCGAATCTATAGTTTTTAGAATTTTCGTCTGTCCGTCTATTTGTCTGTCTATTACCGCATCACGGAAAAACCACTGGAGGGATTTTGATGAAATTCGGTATGATGATAGCTGGTTATATGGGTCAACATATAGGATACTTCTTACTGGGGGAAAATATATCATATCTGAGAAATCTATACTAAAACCTAAGCAGGGACGAACCCGAGCAAAGCGAGAATAATAGTTATGCCTAAATAATAACACGGTAATATTACATACAGTATTCCATCTTTATACAAACGGTCGGAAAATGAGTTATACCTACGCGCGTCGCGTTCGGTATACACTCGGTAGACAACCGTGCGGGGCTGCCAGATTATAATATATAGTATAATTGAATACGAAAATTGTATATGGTGGTATTATTATATATTATGTAACTTTTATAATTTAATACAAAAATGAACATTTTATTCCTACCGTAACTTCGCTAATGTTAAACAAAAAAAGAAACTCAAGTAGGTAGATGAAATTAACACCCACTCCGCCAGGGGCCATGTCCCCTATTCTAAACTGCAGCCTTTATTCCTATTTATATTTTCATAATCCAGTCCATAATAATTATATATTAAGATATTAAAATCAATTAAACACACCAAACCTTAACTTGATTGCTGTATAGCATTCGAAACGTCAGGAACCAAAAATCAATGTTATTTTGGGTTATAAATAATATAATTGAGCATGATTTCTTTGACAGAATACACATAACATATAACGCACCAAGCGGCAAGGAATAGATACTTTTTAAATAGCAAGCAAAGATATTAGATTATGCATTCTAAAATTTATCACTTTACACTCCCACTTAAATTTTAGAACTATTACAATATTAAGTTTCAATTAAGCTTCAAACCAACCTATTTTTTTAAAACAATATCAACTTTGAAACCTAATACATAATTACTTTAGAATTATTACAATATTAAACTTCAAACCAACTTATTTTTTAAACATTAGATAAGAAATTGTTATATAAAACTAAAAATGTCTAATTCTCTTAAAAAGTTGTAAATAAAAGAATGTTAACCAAAATTAAAACAATCCAACTGCATAAAAAGCGGCCTAAAATGAAAAGAACAAGATGACGAAGGAACATAGTATTATGCAGTTGTAGATATACATATAGGTACTATTGTACTACATGTTTTAGAATAGCTGCGTGCGTGTATGTCTGCGACTAAAAAATAATAATAGCATTATGTTCTAAAATTTATTACTTAACAATCAAGATAAATCAGCGACAAAATCATATAGTCTTAATTCATTACTTTTCATGTGTCTCTAATAGTAAGTTAGAAAAATAGTAGTAAAAAATTCCCAATTTTAACACTTCAACTTTATTTATTTTACATGTTCGTCAAGTGCTTCATGTATTCCCAAACCCAGAAAAGGATATACAGCGTTTTAACTTTTAACAAGTGGTTCAATGCAATTGGCGGTGATCTTGTGGGCATGGAGAATAAGAGCATATTTAAGTATCGCCGTGTGTGTCGCACACATTTTGAACTAAAATATCTATGTCGCTACAACAGAATTAGTAAGGATGCTGTACCAACATTAAATATGCCAGGTGGTTATGTCTATACTTCTATACTAATATTATTAAGAGTTTTTTTTGTATATCATGTAAAATTTTAGATGAGGACTCTGGAAAGGATATAAAATATTTTTTGTGAGAGAAATCTGAAACTCTACCATAATCTGTCGCTCCACCTAGCTGGAGGATGTCCTACACTATGTTTGCCGAGCCGTGATCTCCTCTTTAGAACCCTTCTAATTCTAATTATATAAATGTACATAGCTTTTTAAAATTGTATACTTTTTTTTAGCACCATGCACACTGAAAAGAATGCCATTGCCACAAATTTAAGACCACTCACTACCAATAACATCATCACGTATTTATACTTTTAACTAACCATGGTTTAGAAATTGACTAGTTGATCTTTTCATTATAGAATATATTTAATTATTGTTTTACTATATTATTAGTATTATTTTATTATTTATAATAATTTGTTCCTCACATTGTGCTGTTTGTACTAATGTTCTAATAAGTTTTTCTTTTTAGATTCCAACTATCTCACCAATTATTTGCCACATGCATCTATTGCCAAACAAAAAGAAAGTATTGGTAAGTATAATATTACACTTAACTATAAAAATAATCCACTCAAAAAAAAAGTGAAGCAGTTAGGACTTTTGCACTCAGATTTTAGATTTTCATAATAATATGTTAAAGTAAAATTATTGTAAATTACATATATATTATTATTTGCAGACCATGGGGCTTCTTCATCTTCATACAAGCCCCAAAGAAATACTAATATGAACCAGCAAAATCTTGGTAAGCAAGGATGTTTTTTATTTTGTGGATGAGTGTTTATGAATGTAGAAACTTCGGTATGGTGCCGAAAAAAAGCACTATAAGATTTAATAAATAGATCAATTTTTCAAGACGTCTTATTTTTATTTTTATAGTAAAACGGAAGACAGCAAGAAAAGTTACAAAAAAAATATTCCTCACCAAAGTAGAAAATAAACTCTACAAACAACTTGTAACTGCTAGAATAAAACTTAGCAAAACAAAGAATTGGATAAAAATACAGTCTGTAAACATAAAATTAGCAAAAAAATTTGCTAATAATCCTGCAGTGCTAGATACCCTCGAAAATTGCTCAAGTGCAGCAAAATTATTAATGCAGATACAATTTAGAGAGAACCGAAAAAAGGATAAAGGACGACGATTTACCTTAAAAGAAAAGGTTGTTGCTTTATCTATCTTGAAACAAGGTCCCAAAGGATATAAGTTTCTTAGGAGTATATTTATTTTGCCTACTAAGCCAACTCTCATCAAACTTATACAAAGGATTAATCTCAAGCCTGGAATTAATAAAAATATTTTTTCACAATTAAAAACGAAATGTGAATCAATGAAAACAGAAGAAAAGTTATGTAAACTTTTATTTGATGAGATATCACTTAAAGCGAATGTCACATATCATGAAAGAAAAGATGTAATAACAGGACTTGTTGACAATGGATAGCAAAGGAAGGCAGTGTCATACACATTTTCCCCAAGTGCAACCGAAGGCCCTGGACTAGCAAAACAAATAAAAGAGGTTGTGAAAGAGTTACAAGAAGCAGGATTGATAATCGTGGCCTCTATTTGTGACCAGGGAACCAACAAGAGACAGGCTCTCAAACTGCTACTAAATGAGACTAGGGGGGTCTATTTAAGAAAAGGAGAGGAACCAAGAGGGAATATAATATTATTAAATAACCAAGCAATAATTCCCTTGTATGACCCACCACACCTTCTCAAAGGAATTAGAAATAATCTGTTAACCAAAAGTTTAAAATACACCTCAAAAGATGGTGTTACAAAAACCGCGAAATGGTCTCATCTAAGGTTATTATATAATGAAAACCCATGTTACGGGGGCATCAGATTAATCCCTAAATTAACAGAATGCCACATCAACCCTGAAAAACTAAATAAAATGAAAGTCAAATTTGCCTCTCAAATATTTAGTCGTACTGTGGCATCTAACATGGGATACCTTGCAGGTTTGATTTATTTATGAGTATCATGGGTATTTATTTGATAGAATAGAGCTGTAATACGTAGTCAAAGCATTATGGTAAAAAAATTAACAGGCTCTAGGCCTGCTAAATGAATAGAAGTATCGTAAATATTGATTCAACTAAGTTAGAATTTTATTATATGTATAGATTTATACATTTGACCAAATAAAATAATATATATTATGTTGATAGATATTCAACAACTGACATATTATATATATACATCTATAATAAATAATAATGTTATACTTATATAGTACATAATAATAGTTAAATCTGATGATTAATGAGAAATTTGTGTTAGAAGGTAATGTATTTTAAAAAGGGGTTATAGAGGGGCATTGGTGGACGTGTTTAAGGAGTTTGTTCCAGAGCCACACTGTTCAACCAAGCTCCAACCATGCTATGAGAGGAACGGAAGCCAGACTGGTAAGAACATAGGAGGTTGAGAGGTAAGAAGTTTAAATTAAAAGAACTTTCTAATTATAATTTATTTGTTTTAGCAGTAGGTTGGATTGTTCTAGTAGCAATAACTACCTAGCCTGTAGATAGAGTTTAATTTAAATAATATTAAAATTGTTATTTTGTTTGTTGTTATTGTTACTTTGTGTGTAACAGATTAATTTTCCATGAATATCTTTTAAATATTGGAAAAGAAAACATCATCAAACAAACCTTTCTAGCTGGCCTTAATGGTTATTTTATGTATATTACAGATAAGGGAATCCTCCCTGCAGAGTGCAGAGACACTGCTGATCTGCTGATCTTTATGGACAATATTTTTTAATTAAGTAAATGGAAGCCATATGAAAAATAAAAACGCCAAACCTCTTCTTGGTCCAGCTTAACTAAACTCGGTTCATCAAAAAATGTGGTTAGAATGCATAGAATTATTTAATACTATGTCTTTTATAACTTCTAGTGGCAAAACAGAAACCGTTCCCACTGTGGCCAATTGGGTGTGGACACTGAAAGGAATACAAGTTTTGCTGAAAAACTTAAAAGAAGATTATGATGTATCATCAGTATGGTTGCGACACCTAAATCAAGACCCCCTCGAAAACTTTTTTGGTGCAGTGAGAAGCAATTTTTTTTTTTTTTTTTTTTAACGTTGGGAAATGCATTTACGCACGAAGTGTGGGACTCACCGGCGAAGCCAGTACTACCCACTAAAACCCAACAAAACCTTCCCCCGTCTTAATGGGGCGTCGCAGGATCGCTTACGCATTCAACTACGACGCCCCGACGGCAGGTCTGCCGAAGCAGACCACCACAACCATGGGGTTGCTCCACGGTCCACTCTGCTATCAGAGAAGTACCAGGAGCAACCCGCATGGTACACCGCCCTCCGAAGAAGGCCGCCTCCCACCGCCCACCGAAGCGGGCCACCACCCTGTGCGTTTCTTGGCTTCGCGAGTACGCTACTGAGCCCCCCCACCACGACAAGGTGAACGCACGTTGGGGGGGATACAGTCAGAAGCCATGGATGTCGTAATGTTAACTCCACTTGCGATCAATTTGAAGCTGCTTTTGCCACACTATTAATAAATAATTTAAGCAGTGTTCACACCCGCGGTAATTGCGAAGGAGACTTTTGCAATGTCTTGCACACTCTCGTCATCAACCAAAATACGAATCTACCGTCGACCTACTCATTTGATTTTGCAAAAATAATAAATATCAATTTTACCCATATAGGTAGTAATGAAAGTGACCCCCGTTTAATAGCACCAATTCAATATATGAGTGGCTATTTCTTGAAAAAAGCAAAATCTCATATTTTTAAATCTTGTGATGATTGTAATAATGATTTAGTCTCGAAAGACGAGCTAGAATATATAAAATATAGAGAATATGCAGGTAAACGATGGCTCTGCACTCCCAAGAAATCATTGGTTCAATTAATTTCGAATATGCAGGACATCATCAATGAAATAGTAAAAGAAAACATTGAAATATGTAATTTAAAGGAAATTATCAAAACTGCTATAAGCATAGTAGTTTATTTTAACTTTATAACATGTAAAACACATAAAAATACTTTAATTAAATATTTAATTAACATTGTTATTCGTTGCCTGATTTTTAATTATTGTAAAAATATTAACAATATATTAGCTGGAAAAAGACAAGTTGATGATGATCAGGATAGCTTCCAAATGAAGGCCAAGAAGTTAAATAAGTGTTTTAAAAGACATAGATAAACAAGATGTGTTGTTGCTGAGATGATGATGATGATGTTGAAGATCATGGTAAGCAAGCAAATAATATTTTCAATTACATAGTGTTCATCCATGTAGAAATATAGTTGGGGTTAATACTTACTGTCATAAATTTTTGCAGGAGAGCGAGAGCAGCCGGGACATCGACGCAGAGCTGAGAGCAGCCCGCGGGACATCGACACAGAGCAGGGAGCAGCTGGGACATCGACGCAGAGCAGGGAGCATCCGGGACATCGACGCAAGAATCTTCACTCAAGAACCAAAGGAATAGTCAATATATATGAACCAGCAACATCATGGTAAGCAAGCAAATAGGTGTTTATCCATATACAAACATAGTTGGGGTTAATACTTACTGTGATAAGTACCTGCATTCAAATAAGTCTTATTTTTACAGGGGAGCACAGAGTAGCCGGGGTATTGAGGCAAGAATCTTTACTCTAAAGAACCAAAGGAATAGTCAATATATATGAACCAGCAAAATCATGGTAAGCAAGCAAATAATATTTTTAATTTCGAGGTGTTTATCCATTTAGACATATAGTCGGGGTAGAAATATACCGTGATAAGTATCTGCATTAAAACTACATCTAGATCTAGTGATAAATGTGCTTAAAAAAGACAAAGACAACAGCTACATAAAAAGTTTGATTTGGGCACTTGCGACCTATGTACTATAAGATGTAGCAGATGGTTTATTTACTAAGTCTTATTTTCATTTTTACAGGAGACCAGAGAGCAGTGGGGAAAACTATAATGAAGACCCAGGCAACCGGGGCAATAGATTAATCCCTAAAGTGTGCATTTAAGGATTAATCTGATGGCCCTGTTACCAACATCAACGAACCACATCCAAAGAAAAGCAAATGTAATAAAAGTAAAATTAATGTCTTTAATATTAAGCCATACTAACATTTGTGCTCATGAATGAATTCCCTCAGCAGAACCCGAACCCGCGACCGCTGGTATAGCCAGTAGCGTCACTACAAACTGAGTCGAACTTGTCATTATGCAATTGAAACTTAAATATTTTTTTTTGTGTCCTATAAGCTATAAATATATTAATGACTGGACCTCGCTTCGCTCGGGTCCGTCATCATATCGTTTATATGTTAATTTATGTGTTTACCTTGTTAACCAACTGTCATCATCCCAAATTTTCATTTAATCTGTCCAGTGGTTTTCGAGTGATTTGGTCACAGACAGACAAATTGTAAAAAATTCGTCCTCTGTATTGTTAAATTGATTAACAAAATATTTAATTTATAGATATATAAGTTAGAATTTTGTTAAATGTATAGATAGATACATTTTACTCATTGTTTCTGTTATTTTTTAATTAGATGTATAAATATTATTTTTGTTTTAGTTGTTTATTTTTCTTTTTCTTGTCTTCTGCTTCTTATTTTTTTGTTATATGTGAAAACTTGATTGGTTTATGTAATCTCTTGTTATTATTTATTTAATATCGTGCTATTTGTGGCATATGCCATAATACAGTTCTCCTCGTACGGCAATAGAGACTACCAGACGGCAGACCTTCTATGTTGACAAAAATATAAAATCAGTAATGATTGTTATGTATATATATAATATGTTTGTTTCTGTATTTAATATTGTTTACTGTAAATATTTTTTGGTCATAAAATATTATAATTACAATTATTAGCAGGTGTAAAACTAGTGAAATGATGGTAAAGCATTTCCAACTTTGTAAAGTCTACTACTAAGTTAAGTTAGTTCTGCCCACCTGAGCCTAAAGTGCAGTAATAGACATTTTGGTCGGTTTTGAGTTAAATATATATTCTAAATCCCCATTTTAGTAGCTATCAGTCAAATTAATTCTTTTTTCTGTAGCGCTAATAAAAGTATTTTATTTTAATGTTTTTTCGGAAGGTGTAACAGCAAAAATATCACAAATCTGTTAAAATATTCCATGTTTACTAGCTAAACCGCAGTACAATTAATACTGCACAAGATTTTTCTCTGTTTCCTAACTAAACTGCAGTGTTTTATCATATTTTGTGGCACTTAAAATAGTAGTTTGTTCTAGGAGATTCAAGAAAAAACTTATTAAAATGCAGTATTATTCGACTCTATACAAATTGATTATACTGCAAAGGTTAAGAAAAAATATTTTTTATTTATATTCCTAATTAAAGTGCAGTATTAACATTCCATACTGCACATTAACTTGTGGGGGATTTTGTAATTTCTTGTGAAAAACTAAAAGACATGCAGTATTTAATAACTTTACTGCAGTTTAACTTGTAGGATGTTTTGTAGTTGCTTGTAAAAGACCATTTAGTTTACAATATTTATAAATTTTACTGCACATTAGTTAGTTTGCTTCATCCAATTCATACTACCTAAAATACTTAAAGTCAAATACTATTCCCTAATACTGCGTTTTAATAGGTAAAATTATTAAAATGCAATATCGCGGTTTGAGGCAGTCTCCTTAATCTGTGGCTTAAGGCTGACTTGACGTGCCAAGCTGTGTCTGTACCAAAGAGATATGGAGGGTAGAACTAAGGAGAACTATTTCTCGTATAAAAAGTAACCGCTGACAAGCATTAAATTGGTGGCGCCACAGAAAACAAGTATATGAATCTATACATCTATACAGATAAATAAAATTGTAGTGTCTGTTTGTAATGTCAAAATAAACCTTTTTACTAAATGCATATGAAATTATATACGGTACTTATAAGAAAAACAAATTTTTAAATTTTTTTGTCTGTCTGTTTGTTCCGAATAATCTCTGAAACGGCTGGACTGATTTTGACGGACTTTCAGTGGAAGGTAACTGATGTTATAGGGAGTAATTTAGGCTACTTTTATTTAAAAAAAAGAATTAGAGTTCCGCTCAAAAAAAAGTATCCAGGGACGAACCCGAGTGAGGCGAGGGTGAGTCGCTAGTTTAAAACATAACGTCATAAAAGTAAGAAGGTGAATTAAACAAGGAAAGAAAGATTTCCGCTTTGCTGTGGCGCACTTTTCTAAATAGCTCTAGCATAGGCAAACAACAATATAATTATATATTATTTTCAAGTAATAATAATTCAGCACACTTCATTCCGTTAAAAACTACTAACTTCACATCACATCTACTTGCTACGCTAGTGCTGTAAAGCCTAGTTCGCATTAAGCTAGTATTTTAGTCTAGTAGCGAGTAATTTAGTAGCTAAATTACTCGCTACTCACCAAAAATCGTTCGCACTTTGGTCGAGTACAGTTTACAAGTGAGTGGTATTTGGAAGATGAACAGCCTACAACGCAATAAAGTAAATATACTGATTAAGCTGATCGTAACGGCTATTTTAGAAGAGGTGGATGAGGAAATTTGTGTGATTAATAAAAAGAAGCTATGGGTACGAAAATGGATCGAAAGACAAAATAAACTAGGAGCTACTAACTGTCTTCTGAAGGAATTAGCATTGGAAGATCCCAAAGAATACTTCGATAGTTTGAGAATGTCCGAAAGTTGTGTAAATTTTCTGTTAATGAATGTTATGGTGGCAACTAATGAACTCGACTAATTCGACAGGTTCGTACTTACTAAACTAATCGACTAAATTTTTAGTGTTCAGACACGTTTAGTTACTAAATTACGCGCTACTAAACTAAAATACTAGCTTAATGCGAACTAGGCTTAACGGTGAGTTTCTGAGCTATAATTTGCTGCTCACTACTGGACACTTTTTCAACCTGTTTCCCATATAAGTTAATTCTCCTTAGTTCTCCCTTCCATAATCTTTTCAGACTATTATTTTTGTAAGACAAGAATACTCATTTAGTAATTAGTTATGTTCAGAAGAAAGATTTTATGTAAATTTTATTGATCCATGCATGAGAAATACAAGTGATATAGTTTTATGGTGGATTAACTAGTTAAGATTATCAACATCTTGTAAAGATTGTTATATTGTTAGTCATATAAAACAATTTACACTATTAGATTATAATGTACAATGTTTTGATGAATAGTTTTAATAGCATAGTCATAAATGCATGTCCAGTTTTGTTTAAGAAATTACATATTTTTATCAAAATTAAAGGTAATTTTATATTACTATAAGTGTGGAATATCAGTGTTTTTGTTCAAAAAAACAGATTAAATAGCAGTATTTTCATAATATTACTGCACTTTAGTTAGTAACAATCATGGAAGAAATGTCTAAAATGCAGTAATAACAGGATTTACTGCATTTAAAACAGTTTTTTAAAAGATTATACAAATAAAGTGTGTGTAGTAATAGGGGCAAAAAAATTAAAATTGCCATAATTATAGTTTTTTATAAAAAAACTAACGTAACAATGTTTAGTATTTTAGTTTGGTACATATTCTTTCACTTTCCATTCAAGGTTTTATCGAAAAATCTCTTTTTGATATATTTTTATGGATTCTAAACTTTAAGCGCGTTTTTCTCGAATTCGTGTTTTTGCTGTTACTGCACTTTAGGTTCGGGAGGGCAGAGTTGAAGGACGATGTCTATATTTGAATTTTATTGTTATAAGAATTATTAATGTTCAAATAAATTATAATACATCATGTATTTTTTTTATTTTTACCCTTTGCGCCTAAGTAAAAATATTAATGAACAATAATATGAATATATATATATAGCTACGTATATACCTAAATAGAAAGTTTCACACTTTACAATAGAGATGGCGCTTTTTAAGCATTACCAGCTTCGACGACGAGTTGTACCTCTATTTATAACCTCTATTTATATATCTATTAATATATGTAGCAATATTTCCCAGTATATATCTATACTCTTTGAGCAATATACTCTATGCTCTTAGTTGTGACTCAATTAATTCATATTTAATACGAGATAAAAGTGTATATTCAATATTTAATTAAAAAAATGGAAAAAAATACAGTAGGAAAAAGGGGGAAACATAGTGGACAGCCTACAAAACGTACTAAGCATACTAGCGACAATATTGAAAATTCAAATGAGGATAAATTTGTTAAAGCCTGTAAACAAGTTTCTCAAAATGCTTATTATAATTATAATAAACGGTTGAAGCTTTTATCTCTTCCATATTGCAATACTTGTATTCAATCTTCTACAGAAGTAAGTAGAAAATAATGATACAGTGTAAACAGTAAACTACAACGAAACTCCAGGGACTGCTCCGTCCATTTTTGACTTTCTACGTTATTGAAAGTTTTCGTCAATTACGCGTTTAGTTAGGTCTCCGGTAGGAGTATATATGTTCTGTGAGTTAAGTAGTTACGGTAGTTGAGTTTACACTGTAAATATTTAATAGAAGATAAAAATCTCAAGAAAGTAAATATATCATATTGAAAAAAACTTATTTCTAACTCGAACCTTTCATGTTTACAAACTTATCTTAAAAATATTTTTATTAAAGCCATCAGAAATGTCTCAGGAATTGGAAAGCTTTAAACGTGAATTCAATCTGAATATGTGGTATGAAGCTTTGGAAACATGTTACTATAGCATAACACCGACACAATACCTACCTGCAAATGTATTACTGGGCATTGTTGAGATTATTCTGGTAAATATTGAAGTACTTGTAATTACTTTAAACCTGTTTAATTATAATTCTCATTTTAATACTAAATATGAAACAAAACGTTTTTTTCTTTTTTCAAATGAGACTTACAACTACTTTTGATATACATTTATATGTAATAAAATTGTGAGAGGCAACCAAACTAAACTTGATATCGAAATATACAAACTCAGTCAAATTAACTTGCATGGAGTATTAAGTTCCTTGTTGTCTTGTCGTCGGCCCTTAACATCCCACTGCAGGGCACGGGCCTTCGTTCAATACAAAGGGGATCAGGATATAGTCCACCACGCTGGCCAATTGCAGGTTGGCAGACTTCATATGCCTTTCGAAAACTTGCTAGGTTGTCCCAGACAAGCAGGTTTCTACTTGATGTTTTCCTTCACCGTAAGACATGTGGTAATCATGTTGGAAATGATTCGCACATGAAAATATTAGAGGTGCAAGACCCGGTATTTGGACCCGTATCACTCGACTTCCCAAGAGAGGGCATTACCACTGGGCTACTAATGACTTTAATGGATTAAGCTCCTTACATGGGTTAAATTGGTTCTACTAGTGTTTCAATCATGAATATGTAATTATTTCATTGAATACTTTCTCTATAAGATGTTTATTTAATAAGAGTATCAACTATATTTCAATAAAAATTTTGTATTGAAGTTAATTAACAGTGCTATAATGGCATGCATGTGTGTATTTTTCTACTTTAATGATCAATATACTAAGCTGCCATAAGAATGTATAACATAATTATTTGTATGTTATATTCTTTATCATACACATGAACGTTTGGACCTGTGTACTAGATTAGTAGTCTAGCTTAGTAGTTGCGAGTTTGCAGATTTAATGAGAAATCAAGACTTTAATTTTTATTTAACAAACTGAACTCATCTGATTTACAGTAACAAACTTGGTATTTAGATATATCGAAAATATGGTTCATATTATGTATATATAAATAATAAAAATTAGGAATTAAGTACTTATTACTATACTATTCTTTTTCCAGAATGGACGTGAAAATATTTCAACTCAATACTCAATGGTACAAATTATAAACAAGTGTCAACAAATATTGTCCTATCATTTTAACATGCATCCACCTTGCGACAATCATTCCAAAATTATGAATTGCTATAAAACCTTTTTAACACAAAATATGGAAGTCAAAGAGCAGAAATACTCAAAAAGAAATGATTTTGGTTACACTGATGGTATTATTAAATACTGTTTCAATAGATTAGAGTATGAGATGAATGCTAAAAGTAATGATGATCCTTTGTATAGTACGGATGAAATAGATTTTGAATATAACAAAATATTTAAAGAAGGAACAACAAATAGTCTTACAGTCAACAGTATACACCGGCTTAACTGGGAGCAGCAAAACTATCAAATATTTGAAATGTTAAACCGAACAGAAAGAATCAACAGGCTGATGGCGACTCTATATAGTTTGGTTGAATTAATACAATTTGACATTTATGACTCTGTCAGGTAAAATAAAAAATACTGCACTATGATACTAAAACTTGTACTGAACAGCATAAATAGGCCAACTGACTCTTTTGTACTGAATACAAACACAATAATGACTTGCACATAGTTGCTACATATTTTTTATTTGTGAAAGTCTAACACCCACAGACATACATTTGTGCCTTTTTTGAGCATTTTTATGATTTGTTGTACAATTATAGAAGCAAAAGAATTTCCGAACAAAAATAGAAAAACTGAACAATATTATAGGGTCGGGTGGATTTTAAGAATCCACCCAAATTAGTTTAGTGTATTATATGCAAAGTTGATAAAAGAAGAAAACTTTAAGAGTTGCTACATATTAATTAATAAATTAAAGTACTCCCATGCTGAATTTGTGTTCGTTCAAACTAATCTCAAAAACTATGGTATAGTGTTTACTAAAATAAATTAAGAGTAAATAATCATTTTTAAAAACAAGCTTTTATATAAATGCTCTAAAAAATAAGAAATTAAACTTTAAATTAAATCCATCAATTCATCATAATATTATACAATTTATATACATAATATAAAAACTTGTCGTGTCTAAAACCCTCACAGTCAAAATGAACAACTCCCGTATATGTTTTGGAAATATTTTGATTATTATGAAAGAATAGGATTAAAAATTTCTGTCCATTCTCACATTCCAGAAATAAAAAGGTACGCGACTCATTTCTGTATGTGTTATTTGAAATCGATACCGGGACGAATCAATACAGTAATAAACTTGGCAAACAAATAATGGAGATATTTGCTTATTTAATCCATCTAGATTATCCCGATGACCACATTAAAACTATGAGTGTGAGTATTAATTACCCGACTGCGGCAAAGCCCAAAGAGGATTAGGTGTTTGACCTGTATGTTGGATCCTATGTTCTCCTTATATAGTTATTAAAGGGCTTAACTGATTTTAATAATTCATTTCAATAGAGTAGTCTTAATGCATATGTTGCTACATAGATATTATTAAAAATCAAAGTGAAGGTTTTCAGGCACAGTCTGGAAAATTTTTTTTTTGTCTAAACCTATAGAGTGATTCGAATACCTATTAATATGAAGGAGACTATCACAAAAATATATACAACTTACAAGTATTTCGGATACTTGGTTAGCGTCTTTTAATTTTATTAATACTTTCTCAAACATCAATAATAATACTAGGGACTCACCCTCTTGACTCGGGTTCGTCTCCAGATCGTTTTTACAGTTTGTATACATTAGATAGACTATATTAGTGTATATATATATATATATAAATATATATATATACTAGCAGTACCCGCGGCGTCGCCCGCGTTCAAACTACAAAAAAAAAAAACTTTGACACACCGACTGCAGCCTCACCTACCGGGTCCAGTTGTATTTTCAAACAATCCTGGAGCCCATTGAAATATATATACAATATTTCATCCAAATCGGTCCAGCCCTTTAGGAGGAGTAAGATGACAAACACACGTACAGAAGAATTATATAGGTATTATTATTTAATTTAACTTTTTTTAATTTGATCGCAGCGCTAACTGTCGGGACAGACTAAAATTAAAATTCGAATATTATTTATAATTTGACACTGCGATGGTAGCGCCGTCTGTCGGATCCAATGTAAAACATTCCAAAATAAACAACTACTAATAAATTAAAAATTAATTAAAATAAAGTTTATTCATTTGATTAAACAAATTTTATTTTATAATAGTTGCTAAACTATAACGTTAGATGGCGCTGTTATTTAACAATGAAAACGTAATGTGTAATAAGCTGCGATAGATGGCGCTGTATGATTCTTTCATTATTATAAAATTAAGTTTTACATTTTTATACATATTTATACACAAAATTGTGAATCTAAACCATTCCCAGATCCCCTTGAACACACACAAAAAATTTCATCAAAATCGGTCCAGTCGTTTAGGAGGAGTTCAGTCACATACACACGCACACAAGAAATATATATATTAAGATATATATATATATATATATATATATATGTATATATGTATATATATATATATATATGTATATATGTATATATATATATATATATATATATATATATATATATATATATATACTAATCCTATACTGAGTTAGTTCTTTACATATTTATTAAAAGTATCAACATTAATTTAGGATTAATTATAAAATAATAAACAAATTATATCATTAAAAATGATGTTTATTAATACTTTAATTTATAACTTTGGATAAATTTAAATCTAATTTTTATTCATAATTATCGCAATTCCATTTGGTTCATTTATGTTCCAGTTATATTTTTTAACTGGACTGCTGAATTCATCATTTTAATATTTAGTCCCAAACACCTTTCAAGTTATTCACAGCATACAACCTGTTTTCTACACTTTTCACAAGTTTTTCACAGTACTTATTAGGTGGAATATAGTACCCACGTTCTTGTACAATGTACTCGCGTTTTCAAGACGAATCTAATGACGTATGAATCATCAAAATCGGCCCACGCGTTTCTAGTCTCTAGAATGTATAGGAACAAAAATACATACATACATAGACTGATAAACACATCACCCTCCCTTGCGTCACGCAATCGGGTAAAAAGACCTCATAAAGACCACGGTTCTACTCTATTTGAAGTTCAATGGAGTCAAAAACATCACCTATTTAAAAAACAAATTTTTATTTCAGCTGTGGTTAAATGCGCTGTTCGAAGTATTTTATTTCACAACGACTTTAGAACAAGACTTTCCGCTGGCAAGTAGTGAAATAACTAATTTGGAAGCTCAATTTTATGATATTATTAAAAGTAAGTCTCGTATTTACTATGATTGTATTATTTAATAAACATATTATGTGTATCAAATACATACATGAGTATGTAAAATAGTTTAAACAAAATCACAGAATTTCTGAAGCTTAATAGAGGCCTTTTTTTTGATTTGTGGGAAACTTTTCTTTGGTATGTGGGTCTCCTGTCGCGAGAAGCGTGACAGACTACCCACTAAAACCACCACGGTGATCCCTATCGCAAGAGACGGCCGCGGGACCGCTTGCGCGTTCGACAGCGACAAGCTTAAAATACCTATCACAAAATATACCGAGGTCTATGGTATTGAGTTCGAGCGGCCGACGCATCGCCATTTCCTGCAGTTGTAATTATTTCTATGTAAAGTTTTATAAAGAAATATTAAAGAAAAGTGTATGTAATTACATTTCTTTTGAACTGACGTATATTCCGGTATACAGTTTACTAAATAATAGTAATATTGTAAGGATATATTTACAACTAATTCTAAGCAATTTTAATAGTTTTTAAGATTTTGAAAGATTTTTTTGTAGAAATCCAATACTTATTATCATATTCAGAGGCCGCTGTAAACTCAACCACTATATACGAGACATTATTATTTATTACATATACACTGGCGTGCAAAAAAATCGGGCCACCTAGAGAAAATGGACAAACTTAAGATATGATATTTTTTTTATTAATTATGTTATTATATATGGGTAGCTGTATACCCTAGGTACCTAAATCAATAATCGTTGAATAATTTAAATAAAAATTATTGCTCGAAAATAGAGGAAAATCAAATTGAATTTAATTTTTCGCGAGTTTGGTATAAAAATGTAAGCCGCAAATTAATGGGAAAATTAAAAGATTTCGATTGGTGTCATGGTTTTTTAATAATGCGTATTACCGCTTCTATTTTTAATTACAGCTTTTAATCGGTTTTTCAGAAATTTGACACACTTTTTTAGATAATCTTGTGTAATAGACTCCCATGCTTTCAATGAGGCGCTTTTTAATTCTTGAATGTTGCTCGGGACTACTACGCGATTTCTAACTTTTCTTTTGAGATGGTCCCATACATGCTCTATCGGATTGAGGTCAGGGCTTCGCGCTGGCCAGGCAATAGTAGACACTCCGACCTCTTGAAGATACTGCCTTACTGATGTAGCAGTGTGTGGGCGAGCATTATCTTGTAGAAGCAGAAAATCTCCTCCAATGAACCCAGTAAAAGGCATCACATGATCTTCTAAAACCTCCGTTATATACCTAGCGGCTGTAAGGGATCCATTTTCTATGAATATAAGCTCGGTTTTCGCTTCGTAACAGAATCCTGCCCAAAACATAACTGAGTCCCTTCCATATGACACTGTTTCCCGCATAGTGCATGGTGCATATCTTTCACCTGGTCGCCGGTAAACAAAATTACGGCCGTCGGCACCATGCAAACACATTCTGCTTTCGTCAGTAATAAAAACCTTCCACTGCTCCAAATTCCAATTCACGTGATCTCGGGCAAAAAGTAATCTTGCAATTCGATGTGCAGGGGTGAGTTTGGGGCCAGTTACGGACTTGCGTGGAGTCAGGGAAGCGGCTCTAAGTCGGCGCCTTACTGTCCATTCGCTAACATTAACACCTCTCACTTCTCTCAGGAGATTTCGAACGTCAACCCTTGTGCGATGACGATTTCTTAGAGCTGATGACACAATAAATCGATCATCACGCTCTGATGTGGCTCGTCGTCGGCCGGAACCATGTCGTCGTACAAAGCCACCAGTCTCTATGTAACGTTTGTACACTCTCTGGATCGTAGAACGGCTCACAGAAAAAGCTTGAGCCACTTGACGTTGACTTTGTCCATTTTCAAGCAAAGTCACAATTCGAGATGATTCAGCCTCGGTCAGATCCATCTTGCAGTATTTCTAATAATCGCAGATCAAAGTAGAAGTGTCTTGTTCAATAAATGGAACTCAACTAAGCTTCCAAAATAACAAAAAACAGTATTTGTGGCTTCAATCCATATTAAGCAAATATTCACTAATTACTGCTAATTGACTATAATTAAGCGCACACGTGCATTTCCAGGAATTTTATGACTTTTTTGAAGGAAACAAAGGCGTCTAATCTCCTTTATTACATTTGCGGTATTATTTTTCACCAAACAATTGTCACACAAAAATTATGCTTAAAATTAAGGGTGGCCCGATTTTTTTGCACGCCAGTGTATACATTTCATTTCGTTTGCTTATAAGTAGTATTTTAATCCAGGTGCTTGAAAAAGTGCCGTCTAACCGTAAGGTTTTAACGAAAATATTTTTTTATTTGAAAGGTCCATGAATGCCATTTACTATGAAATATGACATTGTTTAAATGACCACCGCGGCTTCTTACTATGGACCGGATCCGAGAGGTCCAATTTTCGATGATTCTGCCGCATAACTCTGACTGAATTCGGGCGAAAGTCTGGGTTATGTTCACTTTTAGGGCATCGGTGGATTGAGGGTTATTGGCAAAGACCTGCGATTTCAGAACACCCCACAAGAAAACATCGCACGATCGCACGGGGTCGATGATCAATCGCACGATCTTGGTGGCCAATTCATATCACCTCTGCGAGAGATAAACATACCTTGAAATCATATTTAACAAGGACCGATAACAATACTTAGTGCTCCATGTTAGTTATTTTAAATTATAATCCATTGGTACGATTTCTAAAAGTAGAGTGATATAAAAATATTGTACAAACTACAAGGCAGCCCACGCTTTGGTCACAATAACATCAATTTCCTCGATAATAACTTTATTCTTATACTAAAAAATATTTTTTACTTTTCGCTTTGGTTGTTTATCAAAGCGTGTATTTAATGTTTTTTAAACTATAATTTCTTTAAATCAAATATACATAATTTGTACTACGTTAACATAGCAAAATGCATTTTGCATTTCAAACAATTTATTTAAAACCAGAATGTAGTTTATTTGATTTTTTTTCCTTTTTAACCAACTTCCAAAAAGGAGGAGGTTCTCAATTCGTTGGAATCTTTTTTTATGTATGTCCACCGATTATTCGAAGAGTCCTGAACCGATTTGAAATTTTTTTTTGTTTCAAAGGGTATAACTTCCCAGGTGGTCCCATATAAATTTTATCGAAATCGGTCAAGCGGTTTTTTTTAAATCAAGAAATAAATTCTTTTTTAAATAAATTGCTTAGTCGAATATGTTATTAAAAAATTTCTTCTTACAAATTACCTGCTTATTACGTCTAGACTAAAAATAGAAAAACAAAAACTTGAAAAAAACCGACTTCCAGGCACTAAAATGTAAAAAATAACTAAACGGGGATTTTCATTTAGAATAGATATCTAATCAGATATTTTCGAAGTCGGTGCCAGCCGACAGTATTTTAAGATATGAATATCTTATATCTAATAGGTAAATATGTATTTTACGTATCGAAATATATTAGATTTGCTTTGCATTGGCAAATTATATACAAGAATAGCTCGTTTAAAGATATAAAATATATCTATATATATATATATATATATATATATATATATATATATATCCGCCCGCGTTCAGATGACCAAAAACCAAATTCTTAGGTTTTACATATTAGTATACTCTTACAATGCAGTTTTTGTGTTTTTGGATTTTTTCTCAGAAATGAGATATTTTACCGCGGTAAAAAGTATCCTATATGTTGACCCGGTTAACCAGCTATCATCATACTAAATTTCATCAAAATCTGTCCAGTGGTTTTCTCGTGATGCGGTAACAGACAGACAGGCAGACAAAAATTCTAAAAACTATAGATTCGGACTCTGTATAGATAATGTCTATTTCAATAAGATTTTCCAAAAAATATTTAATTATACAGATTCGACTTAGTTAGAATTTTATTATATGTATAGATTAATAAAATTTTGTCTCTGTGTACGGTTAATCGTTTTTTATTATTTTTAATCAAAAACTACTTTTATTTTACAGAATTACCACCCCAGTCTATTATCAAGATATTGGAAAGAATAGAACCTCCATACATAAAATACATTATGAGTCGTAGATACTTTAATGACGAGCTCATGTATGATCACACTAATGTGATTGATGCTATATACGATTTTATACAAAAATCATATTGGGAAAATTTTCCCAAAAATAATGAACATTTTATTAAAAATGAAATAAATCAGGGTATTGAAGCAAATGACATATTGAAACTTTTATCGCAGATATGTATGAACGCGAATTTCAAATGTAATGAAAGAGAAGATATCTATAAAAAGTTTGATGAAAATTGTTTGTCTGAGAGTGAAATGACTCAGAATGATGTCATAAAACTTTTATATATATCTCTTGAAGCCCTTTTGGATGCTTTTAATGTACGAAAAGTTCACGATGCAGTACAAGGAAGTACACAAGAGGAAACACCAGTACTTACTTCGTACCATGTAACAACTAACTTGGAAATCGAATATAAAAATATATATAGAGCCCAAAAAAATCTAATAGAGCTGTTACAACAAAAGCAAGCTGCAGGAGAATTACCAAAGTTTTTAGAGTGCCTTAAAATTATTTACATTTAGCTGTTTTTTTTTTTTTGTATACAATCAAATCAACATTGGTGAAGTAGTGGTAGTGCCCAAATGGCACTCCTAGAGGCCACGAATCTAAAGAATTGAATACAATCAATTCCATCCTCACGATATTTTACTTCACTGTATGACAAGAAATAATTATGTTCAGAATAATTTACAGATGAAAATACCAAAGGAGCGAGACCTGGTTTGTATCCACTTCACTATTATCAGTCACTGTGCCAGTAAAGGCTAGTACTAATTTTTTGTGTAATAATTTTTATATAAATATACTAGCGGATCACCCTTGCTTCGCTCGGGTTCGTCCCTAGGTTGATTCCCCATACAAATTTTCATCCCCATTTTCACCCCCTTCAGGGATGATTTCCGGAATAAAAAATATCCTATGTCCTTCCCAGGGTCTCAAATTATCTTCTTACTAAATATCATCATAGCTAGTAAATTTTTACTTTGTTGTGTAGTCGAAAGTATGATTGTTAATTATAGTGCATGTTATTAGACTATTATCGAAAAACACCGTTTTTTTTATTTGTTGAAACCCCTTGATAGGCCCCCTAGACCTGGCCGCACATAATTATGAGCATTGCCCGCGGCTGCGCCCGCGTTCAGATGACCAAATGACAAATTCTTAGGTTTTACATATTAGTATACTCTTACAATGCAGTTTTTGTATTTTTTCTCAGAAATGAGATATTTTCCCGCAGTAAAATGTATCTTATATGTTGACCCGGATAACCAGCTATCACCATACCAAATTTCATGAAAATCCCTCCAGTGGTTTTTCTGTGAGACAGACAAACAGACAAAAATTCTAAAAACTTTCGGTCTCTGTATCGATAATAATGTTTATTTCAATAAGATTTTACAAAAAATATTAAATGTACAGATTCGGCTTAGTTACAATTTTATTATATGTATTATAGATATTGATAGAAAAGGGCACTATGTATACTTATACAATTATATAAATAAATATTTTTATCTTTTATAAATTCTATTTTTAATATAAACATATAATAGTCTTAGGATGTAAAGGTTTATAATGAGTCTTTACTAAGGTTAATGTTCTTCATTGATGTCCTCCTGACCGCTTTTGGTCACGATGGCCAATCTCACTGAGAATAGCCAGTTGGCAGTAGTGGTCAATTTCAGGTCAGGAAGAATTTATTTTTTATATATACATTATTATAGGTATATTTAGTATTTACTGTGCCATAAAATAAGAAAAGCTTTTTTGACTGTGTATGTCTATTTCTTGGATGATAAGAGTTATGTTGAATAAGAAGCTATAATAATATAAGTTTATCTGCAATAATTATAATGTTTTAACTCCTACAGTGTTTCAATTCAAACTATATCCTGAAACGAACATTATATGCATGATCTATGTGATATAATAATGATAGTTTCATTTAGTGGAAACCTTGTAATTGAGAAAAATGTAATTTTAACACAGTTTCTAAGGATTGAATTATAACACCTCTCATGTAACATGCCAGAAAACAAATTTATTACACCCTTAAGGTACCCTTCGCAATGAATCTGTTAATATGCTTAAAATATCTCGTAAAAACTAATTAAAAACAGTAGTTCCCTATAGCGCCATCTTGTGGATGGAGCCCAAACTACAGGTAGCATATGTACACAACTTTGTAACACTAACAAGACTTTTATCAAGCAAAGTTTAGTGCCTATTTTCAATTCTAAAATTTCCATTTGCTACAAGATGGCACATTAATACATTCTGAAAATATCTACACAATAATAGAAAGTGCATAATATCAAGCATTTAGAAATTAAATCAATAGTCTACAGAATAATACAAATAGTTGATCATAACAAGTTGAATCTTATTAAGACTGGTTTAGGATATTAAATATCTACTTTATAAATAAAGAGATAAGATTGAAATAAAACAACAATTATCAGTATTTATTAATTTAATATTTTAATACATAGGCATACAATGACCTCTGGCTTTTTTAGAACGTTTTGCTTTTTCTATATCAACATTAGGGTACTCAGCTTTCAACTTTTCCAAATCCATATTTGGGAAACGCTTTAAAAGTTGCTGGACATGATTAAAATCTCTGTTACGTGCCTTTTTCAGTTCCTGTCTTTGCTTCTCACTATACAATCTATAGAATTTTTTGACTGCCAAACTATTAATGTACCCATGTTCAAAATATGATCTAACCCAACGAGTATTCATAAACTTGGGTAAAAAGTATTCTTTTTTTTCATATTTTTCAGGTAAACCTAACAAATTTACAACATCCTCAACTGGTCGTTCTCCAGTTTCACCTGTCTCTAGTTTATAATAAGCAACATTCCTTTCTCTGATGACAGTCTCTATATTATTCATAGATTCTTGTACTTTGTCTATTCTTTCAGGATTTGGAAATAACCGCACTTGATCTTTACATTCCTCTTCCATAGTATAAAGCATATTACGTTCTTTTAGTAAGATATACCATAGTTTATGTAAATCTGTGTTGGATTTTATTCTTAACTCATCTAACCTCCAAGCTCTACCCACTCGTATATTTGATTCATTCCAATTCTTTTTTTCATCGAAAAATTCCATTAAGTTGTTTAATTTACATGTTGTATGTATACCCTTTATATCTTTTGGTACTCTGGAAATGCTTCCTAGGTTATTTCGGCGGTAAGTTACAGCTACTACATTCCGTAAAACATTCCTAAATAATGTTAAATTCATTTCGGAAATAAATATGTAATAAAGCGCTTAAGCGGTAAGTTGTTTATTTGATTTCACTCATATATTTATATAATCTGCTATAGAAACAATAATGTAAGCGAATAATTTTAGTAACTAATTCGTAACCTAACCTAATCCAGACTTTTGAGTTTCGCTTTCGAGTTCGTCATAGAGTATATTGTTACAGAGTTCGTTCTATAATCTTTTTATGGAACAACTGTCAGAAGTCAGAACTCAAAACTCAGATTTGAAGTAATAAACAATAGAATTCTATGTCAAGTGTGAACTGGAAAGCATAGCCATTAAAAAACATAAGTCACATTACTAACATTTATCAGGAAGTCAAAAATAAGTTGTAATATAGAAGACTTCACCTTTTTCTCCGGCCAGATGTCGCGATCACTATGATCCTAAGTATATTGTAAAGCTCTGTTGTAGTGGATGGTTTTTTTCTTTAATTTTAAAATAAAATAAATGAAAAATTAAGAAATTGTGGGCTAAAGTAATAAGACAATCTTTATATTTAACAGACTGAATGAAATAGATTATACGTTTAGCGCTCTCCTTTCAAGAAGTCTTCCCCCATTGGGTAGCAATTTTGAAACATAAATTATGGTAGCTTTGAAAATACATTTTTAAAGTTATATTTCTTTTGGCGCGTTAGTGAAAACATGATGAGAGTCATTTTTTACGATGCGAAAGATTTAGACTACAGTTATAGTATGAAGTTAGTCGTTAAATCTCCCTATAATATAGTGTGGTGATATATATTCAAGATATTTATTCCGATATTTCTATATAGTATATACAAAACAGGACGTTTTTTATGTGGACAAAAATTATTACAAACTTTTATTTCGTTTCACCTGTCCCGGTGTTTGTCTGTAATCAAATCTTGCAAGTTAAATTTGACCCAATAACCAGTGTCCGATTGAGCTGAAATTTAGTACACATATTTGGTTCTTATGACTGCATGATTACCTAAATGCCACCAATTTTAATCAAATATTCAACTATGACGAAGTTACGGCCTTCTTTCCCAGCATAGTAATTTATCAAAACCTCATTAAATATATAATAATATGTTTTCCTGTTATAGTTTTTTGTCCAACAACTTTTTTGAATATTTATTGACATTAAAAAAAAAATATTATTTTAACTATAAGAGTATTGTTTCATCTTCCTTAAAAAACCTAAAGAGACCTCATAATTAAAATAATACATTTAAATTGTATGAAATTAAAAAAATATGAAATAACACTTGTATAGTTTTTTTGAACGTGCAATAACTTTTAAAACTAGGAGTTGTAGAAAACATTCAAAATACATAGTACTAGCGAAAACAAAAACAAACCTATCCCACTGAAATTGTAAGTTTTTCCGGGATAAAAAATAGCCTGTGTGTTATTCCAGATTATAATCTATCTCTGTGCTACTCCTCCAGATCCGTTGAGCCGTTCTGGCGTGAAGATTAACAAACACCCATATCACTCACGAACTTTCATATTTATATACAGATATATATTTGACAGAAGAGTGATCTAAAATTTTTGGTGGTTTTACACAATTATAATTTATATTTTAAAATGGACAATATATGTTATAAAAAAGGGTAAACTTACTAATTAATTATTTAGACAGTTCAATGTTACACAATGTGTCTGCATTTGAAAACATTTTTCTGCCTTTGGAAAATTAACAAGTAAAAAATGTGTACATTAATTAGAAGAATGAAGAAAGATAACATAATAAAAAGTATATCTATAATAATATTAGAAAAAAGAATATGTACTCTTGTATTTTCTGTTGTGACGGGAAGTATTAGTACGACAGTCGCAACAAATACGAACACGTATTTAATTATCTATGTTCATGGAGATGAAGAAGTAAACTAAACGAAACGATAGTGATACAACAGTGATTGTTTAACATTGGTTTTGTTTTGGTTCTATAAAATTATGCACAGTGATAACAGTTAATTCGGTTGGACATATTTAAAACTATATTGTGAGTGAATATGTGTTCTTAGCTTAAAGAATTAATTTTTGCATCATATATACTTTGTTTCCAAGAACCCTAACGTGAGAAGTCTCATAAAAAGGTACTTTTAATTAGATTTTTTTGTTTATTTTAACTTTTTTGTATATATTTCGTGCTTAATAATTCCTTCTAACATTTTTCTACAAAACGTTGTCGAAATAGATTGTGAAAAAGTTAAGAAAAAGTAGGTAATTACAATTTCAAAAATAACTATGTCTCGACTGTTGCTTTGTAAATATATAAAAAAAAACATAACCTAAATTATTTAATTACATTGCTAATTTATTTGAATTATATATAGTATTATTGAAGAATAAACATATAGAAACGTTTTATTAAAGTTACAGCAAAAGGATGCTATTTTATTTTAAAAATCTTCCTTCCTGTACCAGTAAAAATAATTTTTTTTTTAGTTAAATTCTCAATTTATATTTACTACATGTTCTTTTTAAAAAAGTATCAAAAAAATTGTTTACTTTTTGCCATATAGAAAAGTTAACTGAAAATAGTGCCTGATGTCATATCATGGGTTTGAAAAATTAATTCATAGTGCCTTATGTAGTTTTCCTTTCCTCCTTTCTAAAGTGCTATTTATTATATCATGGTATCTTGATAAATTTTATTGGTAATCTATTGTTTGTGACAAGAATTTGATAACAAATTTTGTCCATTTTGTCTTCGAGCTAGTATTAAAATTACCTATTGAGTCTATTCAAGTTAACTTTTGCTGCTTTGGACCTCAACAATACAAATTTCTAGATGTTATATTTGCTGAACTAATTCTCAGTGAAATTAATGTATCCATTTCTGTTAAATATTTGAAAAATTAAAAACGTTTGGTATATTATTATTTTTTTTAATTGATACAAAAGCACAGATTTTTAAATATTTCTGTTTGTAGTTTTTTACTGAAGTTTATTACTACTACATATTATAAAATAATTTCGCCCACCGCATCTGTCTGTCTGTGTGCTTAACTACAATAAACTTTAAAACTACCAAATTGATATTCATTTGATTTGCACCAATAGATAGGGTTTGGTGTATAATTCATTAAGGTTTTGTGTAAATTAGCTGAAATATAATGATGATTGTTGAAGATGTCGGAAAAAATCATGCTGACTGGGAGCTTTATTGGTGTATACTGCATAAACTGATAAAGTTATATAAAAACAATGTATTACAGAATTATTCCTCTTAGAAATATCTGTCTAATAAACTGTAGTATTATGCTTTATGCCCATACCGAGGGACAGACCCGAGTTGAAATTATTTCTTTCTTAATTGGATACTCTAAGGAATCAATAAATCGTAGTTTGCTTATTATAGTCGAAAGAATGATATGATACATTATTGTGTACTAGTTGCATAAAGTATTGACTTATATATATATATATATATATATATATATATATATATAATATATATATATATATATAAATAAAATAAATAAATATACTCCTTGGGTACTGCCAAGAAGTATAAATCAAAAACTATTCAATAATTCCCTATATAACATTACAATATATTTGGTTTAAGGATATTGGATATTTTGAGATTTATTCCCATAAAAAAAGCTAAAATATATTACTCTTTTTTATTTTTAAATAATGGTGAGTAATTCTTTGAACCTTTTTTCAATAATATTGAAATTAGTATTAAATTGCTTATATGAATATCTAGTCATTGTTTTTAGCAATAGGTACATAGGTGTGCCAAAATATATCCAAATCTATAAATCTATAATTGTCCAGTTAACACTAGCAGCAACATTTTATTATATTATTAGATTGCTTTTATTAACATTTGAATATAATAATTATTATTTTTTCTTTTTGTGAGAAAAAAAGCATAAGCATAATTAGTTAATACTTTCAGTTGTGTGATTGCTTATGATATTTTCTACAAAGGTATATAACTTATAACTTCTAAATCTTTGGTTGAATAATTTCGAATCACCATTAATCTATAACATCTTTTGCGCTTAATTTTTTATGTAAGACAATTTAATAAAATAACATATTATCAATTTAAAATCCTTTGATGTATATTTTATATTTTATACAGTGGTTTTTCAGTGATGCGGTCACAGACAGACAGACAGACAGACAATAATTCTAAAAACTAGATTCGGCCTCTTAGAACAGGGCTGAAGCGTTTGTAAAAAGTTTTAAAAAATGAAAAAAAAATTAATAATAGGATAGGATGAAACCCATTGGAAAAGGAAGAGAATATAACAAAAATGAAAGGAAAAATAATTTATGGGCGATCTGAGGTCGGGAACTAGGAGGGGGTGAGTTTTTAAAAGTAAAAAACTGTTTATCTCGATTACCGGCAAAACTACAACTACCTATAGAAAAAAGTTAAATGGCAAAGTTGTAGGTAATAAAAAGATCTACAACTTATGTATTTACACTTTTTTTTACATAACCTCAAAATTTATGTGAAAAACTCAATTACTTAACCAAGTTTTTGGTTTTTATTTTTAATATTTTACAAAAACAAAAAATCTCTTCACGAAATTTGGTGAAAACTTACTTTTTTATGTCCCAAACGTACAGAATGTTTTTTTTTGATTAAAAATATTTATTTTGACTTAATATCGAACAAGCACCCTAATTTTCAATCGTAAATTCTCGCGTCAAAATATCTGCTTTTTTAAAAAAGTTCAAAGTCTTGGTTATTGAACATGGTGTTGTTAAGGGGCTTAACTACCTTCTCAAGAATGGTATCTTGATACACTTGTGCCAATGTTTTGATACCTTTTTCACAAAAATACCGACACGAGAAGAAAAAGAAGATCGGCGCTCTGTGTAAAAAAAGAAGAAAGATTACTGAAAATGTCTCATTTTGAACGAAACTCCAAATTAGACCTAAGTTTGGCGGTTCAAACGTAGTATTAATTGTAGTTTTTTTCTCTCATAAATATATTTTCTTATCAGGCACACAGTCTCATTTCA